GCGCGACTCCTTTTTTGGGGGACACTTTTTGTTCTGTTGCTACATCCTGTTGTTGTCCTGCTAGTCACGTGGCCAGATGTTCAACTTACAAGGAACAGTCAAGATTGGCAGGGTTCTCTCTCACTCTTTTCTTCTTTTTTGTGATTATTATTCTAGTTCCCTAATTGGAGGCAACGCTGTACGTGTGCTCGTGGCAATTAAAATTGCTCACATCCTGCACGTTCGTCCTTAAAGGCAATTAAACGGTTTTAATTAGTTTTAACGACAAGTATTTTGCACTCTCATTTGTCACTGGTCAGAGGGTCCATTAGTGGAATGAGAGGTACTTAAGATGGAGATAAGTAAAGTGTGGCAAAGGTTGCGGTTAAGGTTCTTCAAACTAATTGGAAAGAAAAGCTTTGGTTAAGCAAAGAAAAGTACTTGATTTCGGTTTTCTGTTATAAGAATTGTATTTCTATATGTGAAATATAGTTGTTGCTAGTTAAACTTACTTTCACTTTAGCTATATATCGCTTATTATGCCTATTACTTAAGTAGGGAAGATGCACACATCAACATATAACACCAAACCCAACCAGTTTTTAATGATTTGTAGGCCATTAAAGAGCTACCTTAATATGCATATTGACTTGGCATGTCTTCACCGAAACCTGAAGATGTCTTTGCAAGCTAAAAAGTGAATGGAATTTTAAGCGTGCATATAGCGGCTCAATGGTCTAGGGGTATGATTCTCGCTTTGGGTGCGAGAGGTCCCGGGTTCAAATCCCGGTTGAGCCCGTACATATTTTATTTTAATTTTTGATCAGATTTTATTACGCTTAGATAAATATGAATTTAATAAATAATATTTGGCTTAGCCACTAGCTGACTTTAATAAGCTTAAATCAAGTTGGGCTCTGACTGTTATTGGTTCGCTCAACATGCAGCTGAGGCAGGACGAGCACAAGGATCCAATTGTTTAGACTGAGAAAGCCAATCCCTCAGCCAATACTCCAAGCAATGATGAGCAATTGAATTCAATATATTGAGAGTCAATTTCTAATGTTGCCATGTTGCCTCCCCACCCACTTAATCCGTCTGGAACAACCTCATCTTCTATATTTTATGGTTCCTTCCCCACACTCCAAAGACTGACTGTCATGTTTGTTTGCCCGTTGTCAAGTGTTTCATATGCTTGTCAAATATATATCTATATATATATATATATATATATATATTGGCAACACTTGCCTCAGCTGCTGCTCAACCTCTTTGCCCTATTCGTCTGGATATAGAGGCCCCTTCAGAAAAACATGTCAAGACACTTGTTGTCAATGAAAGATGTTCGAGTACTCGAGTGTCGCTTTCATATTTTCCATTGCCTCTCGATAGCTACTTGAAAGTCAACCGAAAAATTACCGAGTTCAATTCCTCTTGATAGTAAATTAATGTTTATTGCATTTTATTAGCCACATCTAAATGGGAATCTGGTTGATTTTTTATGGCCCCCTCTAATCACCATCAAAAATGCCTCAATTAACATGCTCAGACGAGCATATATACTCAAGGACTCTCCATGGCAAATATGGATATAAGAGCCCGAAAAAAATAATTGTTCAGGCAGTAAAAAAAAAAAAGAGGGAAAAAAACAATAAAGGACCACATGTTAGGCTGCCAGGACAACGAACCGCACGTTTTCGTGTGGGTCAGGAACACGTTTAAGTGGCCCAGAGAACAACAATAGAGGCTAAAACGAGAGAGCCTGCAAAACAAATTAACAAAGTTAAGAGGAGGGAAAAAAATATACACACACCACGCTTCATAGGGATCACGGTTAGGGAAGGTGGACTTCGTTCAGATACACTTTTATCAATATTCATCTCCTGCAGCGTCAGGACTAGTACATGGCAATTCAATCAGCGGAAACCCCACAACAGACAGCCGCCAAAAAAATCCCCACAAACATATTTGCCAAATCAAAAATTGCACTCAGCCATACAACACATCCCCCCAAAGAGCTCCACTCAACTACAATAAATTCGATTTTATAACTCGCTGCACGTCCCCTCTATGTATTGACCCCCCCATGTGAAAATGCAAATGGTTACGAAACTTTTAGAAAAACACACAAAAAAAAGGAAGCTGAAGACTCAAACGTATCAACAACAAAATTGTCCAGTGACTTTTTCCAGAGAAAAAAAATTGAAAAACGGGGAAAAAATATCAAATCAAAATATCAAACCAAATCGAACCGAAAAACCAGTGCCAAAAAAGAGTGAAAACTTGTTCAAGGCAAATATTGTGCCAACAGCAATATGGAGCAGTTCCATTCCAATAAGATTGATGGCGGCAGCCGCAACTAAGGCAAAACTAAATGGACAGTGTGTTGGGCAAAAGGCAACTGGCGAGTGCTTTCAAATAAACGAAATTGCCTCTACAATTCCTGCTCGGACACTTGACCATGACCTTAGGCGCATTTTCACACGACCAGCAACACATACTCAAACAAATAGAAAAAAACCAACGGAAAATTTGAGCCTCCCAAGACGAACTTATGGGAAAAAGACTACTCAACCCGTCTATACCCTATACATTTGTTATATATTGTATATATTGTATATATATATTGTTTTATTGCACAATATAATATATTTGTTAATACTTAAATGCTGTTTTTATAGAAAACAAAAATATATGCTTGTATCCGATCGCCTTAAAAGTTTTAAAACCCCCATCCCAAAAGTATACAACTCTTTCTTGCTAACAATTCCCTTTGATAAGCCGTGTCGTGTCTTGCCAAAAAAGCAAGATGGAAAAGGGCCCATAGAGTAGTGAGCACAGTCTCGTGTTAGCCGCACATAACTTCATCAAGACTCGCCCAACTCAGTGGCTCAGATACAAAAACTACCTCGGGCCTCCAAAGAAATGATGGAACAGAAAACAAGAAAACCAAACGCCACACATGATACTCATAAAGTAGAGAAGAAATTTTTCGTGGCATGCCCCAAAAACACACACACACTCAAACTCTAGGGCATTATTACATTTTTCACGCCAATAAAAACAAATACAAACAGCAAAAGGGAAAACTTTGCCATGATGATCAACTGCCTAAGCTTTTGAATGTCAGAGGTTGGCCTGGTTTTTCTCTTTCCTTTTCCTTTTTTACTTTCTTTCTTTTTTTTAGCAATTTCCTCTTTTGGGCAACGGCATCCGGATGAGAGTTTGACTTGGTCACTCACGAAAATTACTGAAATTGTATATCCGTTTCCGGTTTGAAGTTGGGTCCCGGCCATCCTGCTTTGTGCCCAATTTTTGACAGGCATATCGAGTTATTTATTGAAAACCTTTGACCCTGGCCACCAGCAAAAATAGTTGGAACATAATTTATGGCACATCGCGCATACGCCGCATTGCACACATGTGTCTGTGTAAAAGAGATGGCCGAATGAGAAACAGTTTCGAATCTATTGACGCGGGCATTTTTCATTCGATACATGTCCCAGCCCTCTTGTAATCCCTTAAGCCTACACAAGTCAATTTGCAGGCATCGAGCATCGAACTTGTAGAACAATTGCCCAAGCAATCAGCAGGCAAATTGTCAAAGCAACAAATCTCTGCCGCAGGATTGATACACTGGAAAAAACTAAGAATTTTGTCATAACACTTTGAATTTTTGCAAATGGATTCTCTTCTGAAACTTATTAATATAATACTATTAAAACAAAATATGTTAAACTAGTTAAAGATATTTAAATGTTTTGCTGTTGTCTTTATTCTTTTTTCTAAAAATGTTTAACTTTTATTTTAATTTTAATTATTAAAATAACACAATAATTTAATATAACATTTTTTTCCTCTGTGACTCGAAGTTATTACCAAAATGGTTACCCATTCGAACCGAATGCATCACTTGTCCGTCCAAAGGCCAAAAGAGCAGTTAAGTGGCAACTTTTCTTCCGGAGAACTGGGTTGGGATGGTACTGGGGATTGCCGTAATCATTACGACAAATTGCCAGGCCACCGGCAATAATGATTAATAATGAGTCAGCCGTTGCAGTTGCTCTGCCGCCGGAAAATGGCCAAAGTTTGTACTGCCGCTTGTGGCTTTATTAAAATAAATAACTTAGGTTAAGGCAGTTAAGGTGAAGGTAATCGCGACGCGACCCTTGCTGCTACTTGCCGCTTCCGTTATGAATAATAAACTTGCCACCGTTCAAAGTTTACCGATGCCCGGGGCAAAGTTATAATTTGTCTAATTAAAAGTTTTCCTGATTAACCTGCCGGCTAACAGGGTCAGTTGGTGAGTGCAACAAAGCGTTCTTACCCCAACAAGACAACGCAACAAATCAACGAGCAATGAAAATCTGTGGCTACTCTGAGGGTTACATTCTCACCTAACATGGACGGGGAAAATTGTAGCAGTTTAGCAACTTTGGTTGTGGTCCCAGAAATTGACCCACAACCTAAGGCCACGTGACTCGTGTGGCACATATCAACCTAATGCACATTGTTTTGCAGCTTCCTCGTTTTGTTGTGCCACTCTACTTGCATTTTATTGCAAAACTTTTTTCCGGTCATGTCCTGCGGAGTTGTCATGTGCGGTAGACCAAGGAAATTGTTGCCAACTTCTGCAACTAAGAAAAGACAAAATATATGGGAGAAAAACCGAGGGTTCGGGAAAGTCGGAAAATATTTTAAAATTATTTTAACACCAAGATACAGAGCCATGGTCATGAAAAGTTCACTTAATGCTAAATTCACTTGTTCATTCAAGTAAGAGAAAACACATTTACAGGTTAGAATTGAAGAATATATAAAAAGCAAATATTATTATTTTAAATACAAAGAATTATAAATTTGTGCCCGCAAAAGTAATTTAATGTAAAAGATAATAAAGAAGATAACTAATTCATTTTTCATCTATTTTTTCAATTGAATAGCTTTGAAAATAGTTTTTTGATTGCTTTAACAAATTTCTGTAGTATAATTAAGGCCTCATACGAAAGTAGCACGGGCACATGGATAGAGCTATAGTCATTGGAATTTGGTGGACTTTAGTCGGGCCCTTAATAGTGAATGGAGATTTTCGGTTGCAAAATGTGATTTGCGAGTCCTTCGACACTTCAATATCAAATTTTAGTCGTTGCGAGATGAAGGTTGTTCGACGGGGGGTGTCAGCCTTCAGTATGGTTTGGAAACTGTACAAAAAGCCCATCAATAATGTGGATATCAATGTGTCACTGTACAAGAAATCAAATGGCTATCGACCATTTCTCTTCAATCAGACATTGGATTTTTGTTACTACATGAGGAATCCGCGGGCGCATCCATTAATTTTTATGATGCACAATGTGTTTTTATCGGAGTCTAACATAAATCATTCATGTCCCTATGATGTAAGTAAATATTATTACTTAAAAAAAAGTAATTTATTATATTTCATTACAGCACGATTTAATAATGAAGGACTTTACCTACAAGAAGAACGACATGAACGATCTACCCATACCAAATGGGGAATATATGATAAGAGTAAAAGTAGCAACTGAAAAAGTGTATTTTGTATCCATAAAGATTTATATGAAAAGAAGTGATTAAACGCAGATCCAAATTTATATGAGAAACATTCGTATTAATAACGTACTTAACTTCCTGACTGGCTCATGAGTACATTTTTTTGAAAAAGAAAGCATGAAAATTATAATAATCTAATAATTAAATATTTAAGCCCAGTGTTTGTACTGAAATCCCAAACAAATGAATCCCAAATGTATTCCATTTCAAGTAATCGCATTTTAATTTCTAAATGATGTTTTGGGGTTGACTAGCTTCGAAAATAGCTAATAATTACGACTGAAATTTCAACTGTAAAATAAAGTAACACAAATACAGATAATAATAAATCTTGTAAATGGGGTTTTTTTTTAGTGAAACGTTTGACCATTCAATGCTTATACTTAAAATATATTAACTGCATATTATGACACTTTTAAAAAAACATTTAAAAAAGATAAATAAAATTTTTTAAACATTGTAAATTGGTACGGAAAAGAAAGTGACAAATCCACGACAAATAACGATTTTTTTTCAAAGGGTAACTTTTAGCGATCACTGTGGGATACACAATAAATGTGTTTATTTTCGACAAATTTCTCAGTCAGCTTGATTTAGTTATAATGTCAGTGAATTACTCATCCGAAATGAAATCAAACTGTCGCCAAAACCGCAACAAACAACATGAAGTTTCTGTCCATTACCAACCTGATTTTGACTGTGGGCCTGTTTTCCAGCCTAGAAGGATCGCATTTTCGGTTTACAAACTTTCATTGCAATAGTCTGGATCCAGATTTTGTGGAGGTCAAAGAGTGCTTCCTGAAAATGGTGCGCCGAAATGTCGTGGGCATGAATTTTCATCTGGCAATTAAACACAATCAACCAATCAACAAAATTAAGTTCAACCTGAGCATTTTTCGAAAGTCAAATGTTTACAGATTGTTTTTGATAAATCACACAATTGACTTTTGCTATTATATGCGTACACCACAGCAATATCCGATTTTCTATATGTTCCATGAATCCTTAATGGCTGCCACCAATGCTAATCACACGTGCCCATATTCCGTATGTATATTCAAATTTGTATATGTTTTTATAAATCATATTTTGTATACCAACAGGAGAAGGATATTTATGTGAAGAAAATGATATTCAATGAGCAGACAGTTAAGGACCTTCTTTCTTTCTTACCTGAAGGCGAATACAAGCTGGTAGTATCTGTTAGTGCTTTTGGAGTCTGGCGATTACAGGTCAACGTCTACGGCGTGCGTGATTAATTTTGCAATTATTATAATAACTAACCAAACAGTTTAAAATAAGATATACCGAAGATAATAAGAATCAATTTTAATCAATCAAAACAATCCAGCCGTTAAATAGAGTATAAACAAAGCCAGACAAGCTAATAGTTTAATATTTTCCATCGATGACACAACATGAAAGATCGGCTATTGAGTTTAGTACTCCGCATACTAATCATATTAGATTGGAGCGAGGGGAAAGTTTTTAAAGTCACCAAAATGGAGTGCAGAACCTTGGATCCTTCGTTTACATATTTTAGATCTTGTAAAGTGGTTCACAGGGAAAATGGTCGAGCAGCACTTTATATAAATGAAGTCTTTCTCTATAAAGATCCCATTGATGACATAATTGTAAGTTGGATAGCAAAGTGTTCCATTACTTAATATTAAATAATTATTTTTTAGCTTAACCTTGGAATTTTTAAGATAGCCAGAAATCGACGCTTTCAGTTCCTAAATGAGACTTTGGACTACTGCCTCTTTAGTCGGCAGTTTTTGGCCAGTGGATTTTTTGGATTTCTAATGACTCCATTATTGAGAATATCGAATGTGAACGGTAGCTGCCCCTTGCAGGTTAGTATCTATGGGATTTTAGTTAGTTAATCGTTTACTTACAAAAAAAAATTCAGCAAAATATAATTATCAATGGCTTCCCCGTCAATGAAGACACTATTAAGGAGATTCCAATCCCAAACGGTGTTTATATGTTCAATTTGCGAACATCAATGAAGAAAAAATGGAGAACAGACGTGAAAGTCTACGCCACAAGAGTCGATAATTATTCCAAATAACTTTAAAGATAATAAAAATTATTCACTTATCTTTATTGTAAGTGAAATTCCAATAACAATGTCCTAAAAAGGTTTTTGAGTATAAAATAATAGAAATCACATTTACATGGTAACTACATCTCCAATGTAATAAACACAAATTACATTCGACACTACATGTTCCCAATTCTGCAGATGGTGGCGCCACTTTCACATTGTACGCTAAAAGCCGACGCAAAAGCCGTCGGCATTTCGATCGGGCAAATTTCATCTCAGTGGTCATTTTTTCGTTATCATTTGTTTACAATATTTCATCAAAACAAACATAAGCCAAGCCAAGCCGAAGAAACATTTTTCTGACTCAGTAAAATCTGGTTGTCTACAAAGGATTTTTTTAGAAGAAAACTTTTAGTCTGGGTAGATACGTATGTTTTTATTAAAACACTGCAAAATCGAATAAAATACAAAAATGCTTCTGGTACATATGAAGCTTTAGTTTAAAAAAGGGTATAAATGATTACTTTTGATTAAAAAGCTTGTTCAACTCAGAGCCGTTGTTGCTGTTATAGTATATACGTAATTTATGGTGAATATCTCTGGCATTTCTGCGACAATTGTCTAGTTCTCTTGAATTCAAGCGATCGAAGATGTTGTGCCCATTGGCCAAAAAGAAATCCAATCTGCCAACATCAAGGCGTTCCACCAATCGGCCCCACATCTCCACCAACAGAGGACCCTCGTCCCGACTCCAGTTAACCCTTCTTAGTTCGCCAAGGAGAACCGTTTTCAGCATGTAGCTGGACAAGTGCGGCAAATCCCTAGAATTTCCATCGCGTAATCCCTTCATGAGGCGCAAAACGTTCTTCAGATTGTCTGAGTTCTTGATCACTTCACGTTCCCAATGAGGAGCACAGACCATAAAGGTGCGATCGTCAGAGCTTCCCGATTTTTTTTGAGGTATAGCGAACCAGGGATATTGTAAACGGACTTGGTGAGGAACCGGTGGATCAGTCAATGGCCATTGAGACCCATTAAACTCGAATGCCGGCACCATATCAAAGGATATGGTGCGATTTCCGCACACGGCTTCGATGGAGTGGGCGCACGCATATCCCTCATTTGTGTAAGTAACAGAATAAGAATGGCCACTTCGGTTACACTCCAAACTTAAAGTTGAATAAAACACCTTCTTGAAGATATTGCGCAACCAGTATTGGAGCTCTTTGCGACGAATATAGCCATCGTTGTAACATCCCGATAGTGAATTTCTTCCTCCAGTTGTGTATAAGTAGACAAATCCATTTTCGTCATTTAATGGTTTGATTTCAAACGGAAACTTGAGTTTCATGTGCAAATCAAATTCATCGGGAGTCCTCAACTTTACGCCATCCAAGTAACTTCCTAATACGAAAAAGAACCTAATAAAATTACACTATTTGGCATTTAAAGTTAACTTACCACCCAGACTCAACCCATCATAGGCATTGCGAAAAGTTGCGTCCTGCTTTTTTAACTCTTCAATAACATAATTTTGGATAGCAATAGCATCTTCAGTATATTCGCAGCGATCATTGTCAGAAATTTGCAAATGTTTCAATATATCCTTTAACTTGCTCATGGTTTTACGGAAATGATTTCTTTGAAATTCAAGTTAAACTTTGCTCGACAAGCTCTATCTATACTCTAAAATGTAATGAACTTATTGTGGGCTTCCCAGTTTTACAATAACTCAGTCAGTTACGATAACACTATCGAATGATGATGCTCTGTTACTAACAGTCTGTTGACTAGCAGTTCAAGATATGTAGCTCGAAATAAAAAAGCTAATAATTATTTATTACCTAGTTTATTTTCAAGACATTTCAATGCCTACATATGTGCATATCAGTATCTAATTTAGTTTTTGCAAAATGATCTGCTTATAAACATAGTTCATACATTTAGTAGTCCGATGTAATCGATATTAATCGACAAGCAGGTATGATTTAGACTATTTCGCTTAAATTAGCTGGTCACACCACTGGTTTCCTCTTTTTCTCTCTTTCCTTTTCTAATCGTGAGCAAAACCGTAAGTAAAAAATGTGTGCTCCGCAAAAAGTTTTGAAATTTAAATTTTTGGATGCAACAGTAAATATAAATTTGCTTGCCAGAGGCTAAATAAGCCGCTGGCAATCAAAAGATCCAAAGTTTTCCGAAAACTTTAAAGATTTCTGTGAATAATGAGATTCCAAAAACTAACCTAACTTTTCCCTTGCAGTGCTCGATTGAATTGTCGGAACCATGGTAAACGGCCGCATACCCTCGGTCTTCTCGAAGACCTACGTGACTCCTCGTCGCCCCTATGAGAAGGCGCGTCTGGACCAGGAGTTAAAGATCATCGGCGAGTATGGTCTGCGCAACAAGCGCGAAGTGTGGCGCGTCAAGTACGCCCTGGCCAAGATCCGTAAGGCCGCCCGTGAGCTGCTGACCCTCGACGAGAAGGACGAGAAACGTCTGTTCCAGGGTAAGTGAACTTGGTGCTTGGTAGAGTCAAACATCCCTAATGGAGACAATAGCAAATATGCGCACACCTTATTGGTTCTACTTTGCACGTGTTTTAAAAAATATTATTTTCTATCAATTAAAGGATAGTTTATTTATTTAGCTTAAACAAATATAATATTTCTGATTTAATTTTTAAAAATTTATATTACCTTTGTGAATATTTGCTATTTTTATTTGGAAAGTTTGACTGTTTAACCAATCAAAACTTGACATGATGAACTGTATTAAAAAATTTATTCTGACACTTCTTGTCTGAAAAAATATTTGACGTTAACAAATACACACTGAAGACAATTCCATGTCCAAGCTTATGATGCCCCTTTGCAAGCTTTATTAAATATATTTATTTCCACACCAAAGGTAACGCTCTTCTGCGTCGTCTGGTCCGTATCGGTGTCTTGGACGAGTCCCGCATGAAGCTCGATTACGTGTTGGGTCTGAAGATCGAGGACTTCTTGGAGCGTCGTTTGCAGACTCAAGTGTTCAAGTTGGGATTAGCCAAGTCGATCCATCACGCCCGCGTCCTGATCCGCCAGCGTCACATTCGGTAAATATCGCTTGGATAGGTGACGAAAACGTCACCAGGCTATCTCAGATTCAACTCTGTCTTGTTCAGTAAGACCACTTGGGAGTCGAACAAGATCCAATGCTTGCACCGGCTCTCAACGTCTTGAGATTGCGTATGTGACTCCATTCACTCCAATCGAAAAAGCAAAATGCCCGCATAGCGTAAGTTGCACTGAACGTTTATTAGCCTGAATCCTGCAGCCTGACCTTTTCCACTGATTATTACCTAAAACAATCTTAATTTTTTTTGTTTCCGCAGTGTGCGCAAGCAGGTGGTAAACATCCCGTCGTTCGTGGTGCGCCTGGACTCTCAGAAGCACATCGACTTCTCCCTGAAGTCGCCCTTCGGCGGCGGCCGTCCCGGTCGCGTCAAGAGGAAGAACCTGAAGAAGAACCAGGGCGGTGGTGGCGGAGCTGCCGAAGAGGAGGAGGACTAAGCAGCGGTAGCCAGCTGCAGCCAAAAAAAAATACATGGCGCAGACTTTTGATAAAAATCATTTTGTTTTACAAAAATAAATGTAAAATGACCATCTAAAATTTCCTTCTGGATTTAAATAATAGATATGATATATGGGACTTATCAAATAGATGCTTTTAATAGTTTTTGATAAATAAAAAAAAGAAGCGTTAAAGTTAATTAAGTAGAAACAAAAATGCATAAATAGGAATTTATGTCGATTATGAAAAGTATTTTTTTGGTATGTAAATAGTGAGAAAGTAAAACAAAAAAGATAATTTTATCAAATTCTTATTTTTGAACATCCGACCAGGGATGAAATTCTAAGATATCGATAATAGGCAAACAGCTGTTCTTTGTTTACATTTAAGTTGTTTATTAAAATGTCTTCGAAAAGAGTTCGAGGGAAAAACTTTTCTGAGCAAGAAAAGCATGCCCTCATTGATTTAGTGCTATTAAACAAGGATATTCTGCAGGACAAGAAGAAGGATGCCGCAACTTGGCGGCGAAAAGCAGAAACGTGGAAGCGTCTAACCATAGAATTTAGGGCCCAAACGGGGACCGATCGATCATGCGCTGCGCTTCGGGAGAAATACGATAATATGAAGAAAAATTTCCGGAATAAATACAGAGGAGTTAAAAACTGGGACAAGGAAAAGGAGCCCAATAGTGCTGGAAATTCGTGGTGTTCCATGTCGTCGACATCGGAAAACAATGGTAAATATAATCGAGAAATCGCCGCCACACCGCTGGAAACCCAGTTTGACAGTAATGGTAACTAGTCCTACAACATTGAGTTTTTAGATTAAAACAATTACTAGAAATAACCAATTAGAGTACCTGGTATTTAATAAACCATCCCTAAAACTCCCACTTAGTTCAAGAAGGAATTTAATATTAAAAGCAACTAGAGTTGCTCATATTAATATACTGTATGTATAAAATATAACTTTTTGCTTGCAGGAAATTTTCAGTTATTAAATGTTGCCAAAGAAAAAAATCGTTCAATTAGTTCGAAAAATTCTGACATGTCCCTTTTACAACAAGTGAGTTTAAAATGTTTCTCTAAATATTTTTACTTTAATCCCAGAATTTTTTCAAGGAAAATATGGACGACATTGGGGAACCCGAAATAGACAGCTTGGAGTCTTTACAAGATTGGGCGACAAACGAATTCCGGGAATTCGGTTTCTCAAGTTTGCAGGAAAGTGTTGAGCAGGAGCAGTTGAAATTTCTTAAATTACAACAGCAATATTTTAGAGACCAAAATTCGAGAGCTGCTGAGAAACATAAATACGAAGTAGAGAAACACACTGCTGAACTACAAATTGCACAATTAAATAAGCAATTAATTGAATTGGAAATTGAACTGAAACGTGATGAACTGTCTAGAATTAAGACAAGAACTTTAAGTTAGTCTAACTTCTCTTATAGGTTAATATATTCCGATCACTTCACTTTGATTGTTTTTACGTACTAAAATTTAAGTAGTTTAAATATATCATTTAATAACTATACATTTTAATTAAAAACTGCCATTTTTTTCATTTTCTCCTTTCACATAAAATATTTTCAAAATAAATCAATGTAGTCATAAGAGGTTAAAGAGATCAAATAAGCTTAAAGAGCAGAAAAAATAAAAAATAATAATAAGCAATTCTTGAAACGGTTTTTTAAAAAACTAGTTATCAAGCTTAAAAAGTCAGTAGTAGGTCCTGAGCTTTAAAAATACTGCCGTTACCGACATATGATATGGTATTTTTCAAGCTTTTGACGATTACCTCACCAAGACTGATTGCCATTCTCACAAAACTGACTTTTGAAAATCACTTGAGATTCGAGTAAACACAAACTTGGAAGAAAAACAACAGCTGGAACTTAAAAGGAAATTGTCGATAAATAAATATCGCCAAAAATGCCGAAGCCCGGTGACAAGGCGAAGGTTAAGGTCAACGTGAAGGAGCGAGTAGTGGACGAGTCCTGCGACTTGAGCCTTTCCGAATTGAGTGAAATACCGGTGCGGGAGATTGTAAGTATTATTAATGAATACCAATTCAAGGTGTCTCTTTATCTGCATTATCCCCAACTCTTGCTCCCTATTTGGGGGCCACGTCTGTTGTCTGGCGAATGTCTAGTCACAGTCTATCTCACTCTCGCAAATATTGTTATGGAGAGGGGGTGGTGGATGATGTTGGCTGGAAGAAAGAGAGACATTCACTTATTTTTCCCATATGTTGTTGCTGTTGTTGTTCTGCCGGCTGGCTTGCAATTAACGCTGACGTTGACTTCATCTTCCACTCTCTCCCTTCCGCCCATTCATTTAACCCTTATGTGGTTGAAAATGCAGTTGAATTTGCTTGAGAGGGTTGATTTTTGGTCTTTGCCACCCCTCAGAAGGTTGCCAAAAAAAAAATTGAAATACGAGTATGGAAATAGGGCTGAGTGTCCCGTTTTTAGAATACCTCGTACTTCATTTTTCAATTTTTCTTTTAGCTACTCCTTGCCATTTTGTTTTTCTGAATACTTAAATAAGCACCTATTTTTACTAAGACTACTGTCTTAACACAGTGCCATGTTTCTTAAACATTTTTTTATATATAAAGTTTTATATTTTAAATAGATTTTCATTATTCTCGACATTATTCTCATTATTTGCGTAATGATAAAAAAATTAAATTTGATAACGACAAATTTTCTAAATAAAACCATGAATTTGCTGATCTCAAACATACCCTCTTTATGCTTGACGAATAAGGGGTGCAAAATAAAAGAAAGGGATTTTTAAAGCAGTTACATTTTTCGGGGTTTTTTTTCGGTCATATTTTGGTACTGTTTCCCAGCTCAGTTTGTCCTTGTCCTTTGCAGGCTTCGTTCAAGCGCGTCACTGTATTGGATCTATCCAGTAATCGGCTGGTCAACCTGGGAGTAAGTATGAGCTACTCTGAGGATCATCTAATCACACATCCTAATTTCACTTATCAACCCAAAAAAAAACCGTTTGCGTTAGAAAAACTTTTCGATTCTCACACGTTTGGTGCGACTGGATCTGAGCAAGAACCAAATTACATTCCTGCCCGAGGACTTTGGCCAGCTAGAGCAGCTGCGTCACTTGGACCTGTACAACAACTGCTTGGAGCACTTGCCCATTAGCTTCGGTCAGCTTCGTCGTTTGCGCTACTTGGATCTGAAGGGGAATCCCCTAACGCCCGCCTGGGTAAAGATTGTGGGTTGCTGCTCTACGCAAAAGGACTGCCAGCAGGCGGCCAAGAATACAGTAAGTGGTTCTCGACTTGAGTGGCCCTTGAGTGGCACAGCTTTGAACCTATTTTTTTTTTTCATTTAATTTTATTTCGCTTTCCTTTATTTTTCAGGTCAGTATCTGCGCCAACTACAAGCCAGAATTCATTGAACGCGAACGTTTGGCCGCCCAGGAGATGCAGAAAATGGCCGGAGCCGGAGACTCTAATGCCAACTCAAATCAGACGAATGGCGGAGCTGTTGGTGGAAAAAAGTCCACAAAGCCCAATAATAAGAAAGCGAAAACCAAAAAACTCGCCGGAGGGGGAGATAATGAGCTGACAATCAAAGCAGTGAATACAGGAGGATCATCAGGGAGTGGAACTGTATCGGGAGCTAAGTCAAATCAGAAGAACAATCAAAAGAAAAAGAACACCAATAGTGGATCCTGGCTAAATCTTTTATCAAGGGCAGCATTATCATCACTTATGACATTCCTTGTTCTTTTCATTATCAACCTGTTGATTATCTATATGATCATGTTCAAGAACCCGGACATCGCCGACAAGCTTGTTGAGTATATACCACACCAGTATCGTGATTGGATTCTAACCAAAACTGAGATCTTTCGGCTGCGTGTCACCGATTGGATCTCGGAGTTCCGAACACCGCCGGAGGAACACTGACGGTTCATTTATTTGAAGCCATAAAGCGCTGGGCTTCAAATAGAATGAATCGCTTAACAAAACTCGGATAAATAGCGCGTGTGTGGAAGGAGATATACAATTTTGGATACGTGTTGACCACCTGAACGAGTTATACGACTGCTACTTTGATATACCATTAACTGTAATTTACTGCCATTTAATTTGATAGATATTAAGTCAGAACGTCCATTGACAGGAGATTTTAACAGGAAGACCACACGCACTCCGCAACTGAAGAGGCCACTTAAAAGACACCAAACTACACTCAATCACTCAACTTAATCGAACTCAAGATGAATCCACAGCAAAGCTAATCATAGCTCAAGCTCAACGCAATAGTAACTGAATACCGGTTTAAAACTGGCCAACGCATAGAAACTACAGACACAGTCAGACCAGCCACCCTCGTAATATCCACATCGATCAGATCGGATCGAATCAGCAACAAATGATATACTTTAATCAATTTTAAGAATATCCTGTGCAATTCCATTTTAATTAAAAGTCAAGCTCAAATTGTATTCACGTTAGCTTGACCATTTTATATTTGTAGATTTCAAATCTCATAGGACTCATCGAAATACGCAAAAGAAATGTTTATTACCATTGATTGGATTTCCAGAAAATCAAAACGAACTTCCAGAGGTTTCATATGATTTCAAAATTATAATATTGTAACAAAAGATTTGCAAAGATTTTTGGAATAAAATTTTACATATTAAAACTTAATGAAAATTATCTTATCAATGGCTCTATTTTTAGTCAAATACTTCAGAGTAGAACTCATGTGATATGAGAATATTTTTGGAATAAAATGTGTATCATTGATATATTGGTAACGTAAATCGATCAACTAAAGCTAGTTTTATTTCCCAGGAAATTGTCAATAAAACTAATTTCAATTAAGATTATTTCAAATTCAGGCTTATCTATTGATTTTGTCATGTTATCTTATATTTATAGCCCCCCAATGGGCACGCGAGTCTTTATCAACCTTTGTTTTTTTTTATTAAATATAAATATTGAACGATTCGCAATCTATTTTTTTTTTTTGCCTTTTTTCGCCATTTGTGTTTTCTTTCTGAATATAATAAATCACAATCCAGAAACTTTCCCAGAAGTATGCTCTCTTATATTGATAAGCATCACATAACACCCAATGAGAGTATAAGTACTTGTTAAATTTACACTCATATGATGAAGTGTTTAAAAAAAAAATTTTTATAAAATGAGAACATAGGATCGGATTTGGTAAAAAATACTAACATTTCATCGATAAAAAGTTAAAATTATATTTTAGATAATTTAATATTGAAAAGCGTACAATTATTATCCTTGCAAATCATCCTGATATTATTCCGTAAAATGGTATTTATTAATATAACGTTTGAATCTTCATTCCTCTATTTATTCGGTAGCTCAACCTAATCATTTCATTCGCATATCACAAATAATTGATAAATGACTTGCGAAACTAAACCTGTTCCATGCCAAAGTGAATTTCATCAATAGAAAGTTGTAGAACGATGACGTACTTTTGAGCGGGAGTTAATTATAATTGAATATAGTGAGTGAGCAATAATTTGGATAAACATTTATGTTCATGCGTATGTTCTGTTCCCAGAATAGAAATTGTACTCTATATTGAATGGCTGATGCAATGCTCTTTATCAATTTCTTTTCAAAGGATCTCACCGCTCTACCCGCACTCCAACTTTAAAGTTTCGTGTTTCCACCAAATTTGAAATTATAGAATTTGCCACGCTTATGAAAAGCACGACTTAGATTTCATCATCCAATAATGATGGAAAGGCCCTTGCCCTTTAGGAGTTGTTCTCTGTCTTCATCTCTATCTTTCTCTTTTTATGTCTTAATACTCATATCTCGCTCCCTCTCCATTAATTCAGCGTATCCTTGCTGATTTGGTCTTTCCTTTTTTCTCTTTATCTCTTTTTTGCTGCTTAGCTACAACTGGTAGCAACTAATGCCGGTTTTGCTTACTCTCTTGTTCTCTTTTCTCTTTTTCATAGTCATAAATTTCTTTAGCGGAAAAAGGTCAAATCAGCTTTTTATAAAAATTATAAAATATAAAATTCAACAAAATCAAACGTCAATAATTATTAGACTTTATAACAAAATGAATATGAAAAGTGTTATATCGTATAACATTCAATTTGAGTTTTATAAAGAAAGGTTTTACCGTATATATTTGACTACTTCAGCTAACAATTAAATAGCTATTTTGCCACAGCTATACGAAGCCGGCTGCGTTTTTGGCGGGCTCTCGCAAACGGCTCTCTCGCTAAGTATTTAAACAGGCAACTGCCAAACGCTCTTTGCAGTTGCTCAGTGGTCGTCGCGTGGGAGGTACCTCCGAATTTTTGGTAGCCAGCAGTGCTACGGTTGAAGTGTTGGCATTATTAAAACGATTTTTCGGTCAAAAAAAGAAGAGATAGTGTTTGATTTACGCGGCGTTTCGTATACCTTCAGCACTCCAAAAGAAGAGGAACAAAATACTTAAAGTAAGCCTTTACGAAAAACCAGAATTTCTAAATTGTACAGTCGACGGATAAGGGAACGGAAACAAAAAGAGGGCGACATGTGAAGCACATGGCAGAAACAGAAAAATTGGGTTTGTCTGAAAATAGCAAAGGCAGAGTGCAACTGTCACACACATGTGTTATGTATTCGAAAAACATTCGAATGGAAGCCACGAAAAAGTACATATATGTATTATCAATTGACATTGTCAAAAAACTGAAAAGTGTAGTGTAGGTGAGAACCCTTAACGAAAAACGTATTAACGTGTCGCAGTGATAATTATAACCACAATTAAAACTGAAATCTTTTTAAAAATCCGACAATTTCAACCATCAAAAAAATAAAAGGGAAGACACGCGTGCATTTGCTACGTCGACATAAATGATATACATATACGAAAAAATTACCACGTTGCACCTGTCCCATTATTTGCATTCTACCAATTAATTTTAGGAAGTTTTTTTTAAAATAATTTTCTTTTCCTGAGGCATGAATGGAATATTAGCATTTTCTTGAGTGCCCGCGCTTTCCACTTTAATTTAGTGTTGTTTGTGAATGCGATAGTTCAATGGCTGCGAATAGGTTTTCCCATTTGACTTGCTGATGTTCCACGTTTCTTGCTAAATTTCAATACGTAATTTAGCTGTAATTGAGCACTTAGCCAAGGGAAAGTTTAAGTTCCCCCAATGCCAGCGGACCAAAAGAAAGAAAAACAGTGGTAGAAAAGCAAAGGGAAAAAATTGGACTACTATCATAGCTATCTGCACACGTCAATGCAATTACCTCACCTATACGGAGTGGTGCACCCACCCATTTTCAGACCGATCCAAACTGACTCATCAAGGACACAGCCAAAAGAAATCCAGGCCGAAATGGGATGGGTGCACTGAAATAAATCTAAGATTCTTGTCATAGTTTTCACATCAAAGTCAGTTTTTTTTTTTTAATATTTAAAAATTTATCAGTATAGTTCGCTTATTAAAAATAAAAGCTCGTCTTAAAACTGCATGGGTTATTTTGTTCACATATTCCATTGTATAATGATTAATATAGAATTTCTTAAAAAGAAACATTCCTAATAATGATTCACAAGAGAATTATTAAAAGATTAAGTTCTTGAAAATATCAAAAAGTACTTTAAAATGAATAAAAATTCGTTTTACTTTATTCGTATAAATTTCTTTTTATAAAAATTAAAGAAAAATATAAATATTTTCTGTGTTCCGTAACTTTTAATACCAAGGTGTGTGCTTGTTTTGGCCATATCTTTACGACGTAACCATTTCCCTCTTTACGCGGCCGTATTGTAGTTGTGTTATTGATTTTGGTGCTGTTGTCGTTGTTGGTAATTAGCATAACAGAAATTTACAAGCAAAAGTCAAAGACGCAGTAAAACTGTGACGTCAGAGACTGGAGTCCAACTGGGTGAAAATATAGTACCAACATCAGGGAAAGAGAGAGAGAGCGTGGTTGCAGACAGACAGGGAGGGAGCAAATGTGGGTGCAACATGTTGATTGCGTAGGCGGCCTTCGAGCCATTTGACATATCCCAAGAATAGATATATTTTACATACATCCGATTTTGAGATTAGGAATTTGAAATAATGTTTTGAGTTATAACAAAAGACTTGTTCAAACTTAGAAAAAAAAGATACTCTAATTGAATAAGATATATGCATGTGGGGCTTATAACACACGTAAAACATGTTTTAGATTTATGAACTTGGTATTACTATTATTTTTGTCACCATTGTATTAGAATAGAGCATTTAGCTCTAGGTCTTTGCCCTATACTTACCCTTTGTTGTTTACTGTTATTCTTGCTGTCCATCTACTGCCTCCGTCAATCGCCTCCGCTATTTGCCATTTTGCCATTTGCGCAATTTGCCAGCAGACATTACACTTGACCGCCTTCCTTCCTTCTTGCCTCGCTCAACTGACCGGACAGAAAGTGATTTATTTTTAGACGCAACTAATTTCCGTAACACACCTGAGAAGGTCGTTTTGTTATCAGGCTGCCATTTTACCCCCCAAATCGATTGGACCATTGAACGTCAGTTCGATAAACACTTTCCAATAAAAAGTGCCGCATAAAAGCAATTATCAAAAAAGAAACATTAAAGCCATATATTCATATAGCTAGGCAAATTATCTAAAGCGATAATGTGACCTTTGTGGCCGTGTTCGTGTGTTGTTATCAGGATTGGCATTATGCAACAACCGCATGCAAACTCTCCAATTGCTGTTAATTATTTTAAACACCTTGAAAAGCCAGGAAAATTGCATTTGTTTTCTAAAGCTACTGTAGATAACACGAAGGGGAAGATAGATACTGCAGTTTTTGAATCGTGTCTTCGTTTTGATAAGAAGACTTTGTAGAAGTCCATTTGGGGTGCTCTATTTGATCAGCAGTTTCTCATTGAAATTACATCGGACTACTATTCATATGCATATGGAGGCTAAAACCTCTTTCTAATGACGTAAATGACAGACAGATCGGAGATTGATCTTTGAGCTCATTAAAACGTTAGAAGACAGCTGTTTAAATATTTTTCGAGATTTATAGATTCATAAAAGGGGATCTAAAAAATGACCTACGCCAGAACAGGAATACTTAGAAATCTATTAGAAACATCGAAAACAATGACCTAAAAAAAAGTGTTGGGTAATAGTACTCCTCTCCATTAATATAGTTCTTGTATTCTTATCACACCTTCCGCAGACATGTCGAGTGTCATAACCTTGTTTGCTTCCAAGAATCATGTTCTACTATCTCTGAAATTCCTTGCAAACCCAACAGCAAAGTAAAAAAAAACGATAAACTGGCAATTCATTTCAGCATGAGTCCCCAAAATAAACATGCATACGTAACCCTCAAATGGGGGGAAATCAAATGTCCACTTTTTTGTTGACCACCAGATAAGGAGCGTCAACCTAACCATTCCAAAAGTGCGGCAAATGCATTATTTAAGGAGAAACCAAATCTTAAACTTTTGGCTGATGAAATGTTAGGAAAGCTTTGCAACACGTTGCTGAGTGTTGAACTTGAGGCTAAAAATAAACAGATTTTGCTAAGAATAAGAGTATCGTATTATGCTAACGCAGAACGCACATGGATATTTCGACGAGGGGAGGAAAGGGTTGGGTTTCCCATGATTACACACTCCTTAACCGTTTCCGTTTTCCTACTATAATGAGTCAAACATAACGATATCTTGCTAATGGGTGCGATAAAAATATAAATTATTAAGAAAGTCTGAACTCTTTTAAAGGTTCATGCGAAATGACTTTATGTCTGGTACGACTAGCTATATAACACGTGGTTGCCATTTTAGTCTGAAGGGGCTCGACCGGGTGGGTTTTTCTCTAAAGTGTTTTCTCTCAACAGCTTGGGATGCTGCTGAATTAAGTAGAGAACCCCCGAGCGGAGTGTAAGAGAAAACCAGACAGTCGTGCAAAATATAAAGAGTTTGAATTTATGGCAGATGCGATGTGCCGTTGCAATAACATATTTTTTTCAAAGAATTCTCACGCTAGCTTGCCATAAACAAGATTCTTTGTTTTCAATCAGCATGACTTAGTTCAGCATTACTTTCCTTAGATTCTCGAAATACTTTGCATTGGGCAGATTTTTGATATTCAAGGTTCTAATGTGGTCTTTAGCGATCTGTCACGTTTGGCAGCCAGGTGGTAATTGGCTGAGATTAAATATAGAAAAGTATTCAAAACAATATTATTGCCCAAAAGATGTGCATCTCAGCAAAGTGACAATTTGTGTTTTTCGAGGACAATACATTGTAAAATTTGCCAAGCAAATTAGAGTAATCATAATCTCCGATAAAGTGTTAAGCTACAGTAAAATAATCAACTGAACTTTAAAAAATGTTAGCCTATCATGTGATATACCCAAAAGTTTAACCTTTTAGTCAATTATCACTTATAAAATAAGTAAATAGGTAAATAGTTAATAAAGCTGGCAACAAACTATTGATCGTGTAAAAGTAAAAGAAAAAGTAAACGCACATTTACAGCTAAAAAATATCAATTGAAATGATGCAATCGAGTAATTTTTCGGCAATTCCCTTGCCCCGTAATTGCTCCCAATTTCGGATCGGTTTGTATATGTTTTGGTTCGATTTTAGCCGTGTCATGCTATTTGCTCACGCAACCGAAATAAATGATAATGCCGAGACGAGCACGTATATATCTATACGTATCTATATCTTCCGATAAATCGAACGAACCAGTTCGCACTGGTTTTTGGGGAATAAAATAGTGAAAACTATGTATGCGATAAGAGCAAACATTTGGCATGACAAACGCCAAGCACCTACAACTATAAATACATAGAAAAAACTAAAACAAAACACTCTTAAATGTGTGCCAAATTTTGTTTTTATTTTTTGTTGGTCTTCACTGGGTGAAGGTTCTTTCACTAGTCTATGTTGCCAAAATATTGTGTGTGCCTCACGCAGATATTGCGTTCTCTAAAAATTTGATTCATTCATTGAGCGATAATGCTGTTCGATGTTGTGATCCTATATCTTATCGGTTGTATTGAGTGCCATGTGCGTGATTTCGCTGTGACGCTTTAGTTAGATAACATAATATATATGAACCGATTCCAATTGCCTTTGGCTACCTTGCATTGGTTGTAAATGGCTGTAAAAGTCAACTAAATCGTCTACCCCTACCCCACAAGTGGGGGTTCGTGCTCTTCAGAGGGCTTATCTCTGGCATTCCCCTGGGACCCTTGAGCAAAGGTCAAGTCAAGTCAAGTGGGGGGTCATTCAACCTTGTTGCGAAATAAGTCAAATATGCGGCGAAACATGGCCAAAACAAACGTCCAAAAGACAAAACTCCGAAGACATCTGAAAACCCAAAACTGTCTACGCAGCGTCTGAAAGCTGGAAATTGATATGCAAAATAAAAAGTTGGTAAAGGGAGAAGACAAATATATGCACATAAATATATCATTTGTCGGAGTCAACCTCAAGACGCAATATAACCCCCAAGTTTAAAAAGAGAACAAACCAATATACCCTAGCGAAAGATATGGCTAACGAAGTGAAGCTCATTTGGGGGCCAGTCCAAAGTACCAGAACTCACCCACTCAGCACATATTTGACATATTTACTATGTGAAATACGGCACATGTGACTGGGATTTAAGGGATTAATAATAGAACTGGTACTCGAAAGACCGAAACGCAAAAGGAAAAACCAATTAACCGAAATATGCCATCGAGAGAACACAATATACTTGCGACATTCACGGACTAAAAATAAATCTTATTAGAGCAGGTTTTAAATGAATGAATTATGTTCAATTTGCATAGAAATTGTCCGAAAAATGCTTTCACATTTTTTATATGAATTTATTAGCATAAATTAAAAGCAAAGCCAAACCTCGTATCAAATTGAAAGTGAGTCGCACAAAACAATTAACGGGCAATTGAACTTTTGCATATGCGAATATTTCCGACACAAATCGCAGACAATCAAATCAAATCAAGAGATGTTTCGTCGTTGTTCGTTTACTTAATAAACGGGGATCCTATTAGTTGGGTTTCTGGAAATAGCCAGTTCGAAGATATTAAAGTGTCTGGGCGCCGCCACAATCTCAATTAAAATTCATTATTAAATCAATTGAGGAATGTTTGCTCTACACAGAACGAAATATGATCATAAATGGTGATCAATTGCCAATTAATTCAGTTTGATCTTTTCATGCTTTACTATAAATGGTTGATACTCCATGCATGGATTTGTCAAGAAACTAAAAATGTTTGCTTTTCTGATCTATTTGCAGAGTTTACACTTAGAAAAAGGAAACAGCGGCTTTCAATATGGTTAACATTGTGGTGAGCATTTCTTAGAAACTCAATTGAGCAATTACCTTTATTAATCGTTGGAATTACTTTTGGAATTTTTAGGATAGCGGCTCCAAGCATGCGCCCCAGGAAATGGAGCAGTTCCTGCCCGGCGAAGGAAAAGTCATGTGAGTAGAATTCATCATCGTCTGGTCAATGTGCTAAAAATATGTGCCGACTAAATTGCTAGTGTGGCATGTTTGCCAATTAAGTTTACGAGTAGATTAGTGTCTCGATGTCGCTAATTGGCCTTTGATGTGGCGACGACATAAATTGAGACTAGAAAATGCTTTGTAAGACTCTAAAGCCAGGCACTCTGACACGGGCAGTTCAGATTGATTACAGTTATCAATTAGAATGCCAGAGTGGGGATCTGCAGAGAGTTATTAAAATATTAATTTTTGTCTGGCAACTCGAGAGCAGGCTTAATAGTTAGGTTAAACCCTCCCCGAGATAAATAACTGTATAATCAAGCAGGCTCTTGCCTTCTAATAAGCGCTAATCACGTAAGCGTCTATCAAGTCGAGGGGCACCTAATACAAATTCCTAACTTATAGAACGCAATTGAAATAAATCAAGAAACCGAACACAAATCCGGTTACGTACATCTAAGCGCTTTTGTTAATCAATATTGTGAGTTATCTCCCAAGTTCAAGGCAGCTTTGGCAGGCTTTCAAAATATTTATGCATCCATCAGCTGACGTTCAACAAATATCGATTTTCCCGATCTGCTTTAAGATGCAAATATTATTGTTAAGGAAAATGGGCCTGAAAATTACATATGTAAAGTAGTTCGTGCGAATGGAAAAGGCGTGAAATAATTTAGTAGATTTTATGGCAAATATCAGTGGGAACACGTGTAGGCCTTTCCGCAGATGACTTTCAATTTATACACTTTGAGCCCTAGTAATTCAAAATATTATTAAAAAAATGATTTCGCTTTGCTGTTGCTTTAAAAACTTATTTTGATGACGCTGCAATACAATAAAGATCGAATCAATGAACCAAAGCTGATAACCTTAGTTTTGTTCTAAGACTGATAGGAATGTATTTAATGGAAAAATAATCACATATTTTTAATAGAGTACAAAAGTTTATATTCCGGCGGTCTTTTTACCGGAAAACTACTTTGCAAAGAGGTTTTATATATCAGCAATTACCAGTACTATAGTGTAGTATCTGTTAGCTAAAAAACACGCTGCTATTTAAATGAGTTACATCCGGCACTTATTAAAATTAGTACTTTTAAAATGACAAATAATACTAGTGGGGTTATTAAAGGTTTCAGTTAGCGAAAACTGTCAGCATCAATTCTAAATGATGTAAAGTTTTTCTTTTCAAAATAAATTATTAAGTTATGTATTAACAATCAGGAATAATAATAAAATTAATATATTATTATAAAATTATTAAAAATAACATATATTTTCTAAACAAAAATTCCGATAACCTCAGGGTCTTCCAAACCTGTAGCCTACTTTGGGGAGCTTTTATAATCGGTGTCTGGGAAATCTTTCCAGCATAATGCCAGGCTTATTTGCACATTTGACGTGTGCAGTTTTCTTTTATGGCTGATGCAACTGAATCGGAAAATCGAGTCAGTTACTCTGGAATGGATACTCAGTCCATAGATACCTTCAATTGGCCAGACCAGGCCAATCAGAAACGGCCTGACCAAATTCGGCGGGCAAATGCCACCGACGGCAGCAGCAGTTTTTGTTTTCTTTCCTTTTCTCTCGATCGACATTAAATTACAAGTGTAGTATTTGAGCCGACGGTGGCACCGACATGTGTAATTGCAGATGCAGCAATTCCGTGGCAAGGGAATTTCACTGTCAGCATATAAGAAACCGCTGCAATTCCGTGGCGAGTTTCAGTTTTATAGAGACGATCGGACTGAATAGCATGACAATGGGCGACTTAGAACCCACCAATGTGGAATTGAGGTGGCCATTGATGATTACTCTAACAAGTAAAGGAATTCCTTAAATAATCGTTTCAATTTATTCTCAACTTCTAGGTACAAAATCCAACCCCGTAAGTCAGATACCGAACAGGCCTTGGCTGGAAACGACTTCGATCCGTTTGCCCTGCGAGATAATGAACATCCCACAACGTAAGTTATACAGTTTACTTAAAATTTATAAATTATTAACTGTTTACCCTTTTTTAATTTAGTGATAATGAAACTCTTACGCATTTGCTTAAGGCTTCCTTGGGCACTGGCATCCTGGGCATGCCCTTTGCCTTTATGTGCTCCGGTATCGTCATGGGAATCTTCTCCACCATTTTCACCGCCTTTATTTGCACGCACTGCAGTTATATTCTGGTAAGTAGAAGCAATACAATATAATAATTTTAATTCTAATAAGTTATTTTGCTCTTTTCCCGCCAGGTTAAATGCGGTCACAAGCTGTACTACAGGACACGTCGGACCAAGATGACCTTTGCCGAAATCGCCGAAGCTGCTTTCCAGAAGGGACCAAAATGGAGCCGTGGCTTCGCACCGGTGGCCAAGTTCTCCATTCTTTTTGGTCTGTTCCTAACATACTTCGGCACCTGCTCAGTTTACACGGTGATTGTGGCCTCAAACTTTGAGCAGTTGATTGCTCACTGGACGGGAACAGCGGTGTCGCTACGTATGCTCATTTGCATAATGCTTGTTCCTTTGATCCTGATCGCATGGGTTCCCAATCTAAAGTACCTGGCGCCCGTTTCGATGGTGGCCAATGCTTTCATGGCCCTGGGACTAGGTATTACATTCTACTATCTGGTTCAGGATCTGCCCCCGGTGCAGGATCGCGAATATGTGTCTTGGGGCACCTTGCCGCAGTTCTTCTCGATCACCATCTTTGCGATGGAGGCTATTGGTGTGGTTATGCCGTTGGAGAATAACATGAAGACACCTCAAAGTTTCCTCGGAATCTGCGGAGTGCTCAGCCAGGGTATGTCTGGTGTGACCCTCATCTACATGCTGCTGGGATTCCTTGGCTATCTGCGCTATGGTTCTAGAACCGAGGAAAGCATCACCCTAAATCTGCCCATCGAAGAGTGGCCCGCCCAGGCGGTGAAGGTTCTGATTTCGCTGGCCGTCTATTGCACATTTGGACTGCAGTTCTTTGTGTGCCTGGAGATCATGTGGGATGGTATTAAGGAGAAGTGCAAGAAGCGCCCGACTTTGGTCAACTATGTGCTGCGCACTGTTATGGTGACTGCTGCCGTTGTTTTGGCCGTTGCTGTTCCTAAAATTGGCCCATTCATGGGTCTCATCGGTGCTTTCTGCTTCTCCATCCTGGGATTGATCTTCCCGGTAAGTAAAATAAATCATATAGACAATAAAACCATCAACTATCTTATTTTCCATTTAATTTATAGGTTGTTATTGAGCTTATTGTTCATTGGGAGACTGGTTTTGGAAAGTACAACTGGATACTGTGGAAGAACGTCCTTATAACCTTCTGCGGAATCGGTGCTTTGATCTTTGGCACCCAGGCGGCCATCAAGGATATTGTGAAAGCCTACTCTGATAATGGAAACGTTGGAGAATAGAAAGCCATAGTTTTAGGAGAGAGGCTCCGCTACCTAGAAATAATCTAACTTTTGTTAGATGTAAAACTGCGCCCACATTTTGTACATTTTGTCTGTTGCTTAGTGTGTCTGTTTTGAGAACCGAAAGGGATTTATTAAGAAATTTCACTAAGCGAGTGCCTACTATATTTAGCACACTCTTAAGCACCACTATGCCGTTTTAGCACGTTTTAGTACACTTGCAATTATATAAAGTAGAGAGTAAGCTAGTTGATAGCCGTTGAGAACACTTTTTAGAGCAGATTCCCAAACACGATTCCAGCGGCATTCAAACTGGAACTGTACTAAGTGCACTTCATTCGTTTCCTATTGATTTTAGTACGATCTAGTACAGAGCTATGATAAAAGACTTATGTAGCACCCGGCCAAAAACTAGCTGCACTTCCCCTTAAAACCACCCTAAACCCTAACCCTTTCTCTCTGTTCTAAAAGAGTATTACTAAAAGCAAAAACCAAAACTGAAGTCATCTTTTCATACCTGTTTTCCCCACAATTTTATTTTGTTCCGTAGCAATTGATTTGCCTACGTTATTTAACTTTTTAGCATGTTTAGTTAGTAAGCGTAAAAAGCGTAAAAGAAAAGATTGCGAAAAAGCTTTTGCAGTCAATCAGTTCCAAATAAGATGAGCTAAATTACTCAACAAATACCATTTTTTATACGAAATCTAGCCGAGTAATAAGTTACATTGAATTGCCCCGATATTCACTATATGTAAACATATTTTTTTGTTGCATACATATTTTTGTATTTTAATTATAGCTATTATAAAGAAATACTTAGCGAAACTCTAAAGTAAATAAAACAAGAAACACAAGTTAAATGATACATATATATATATTTTATTTTGCATTTAAAATCCTGTGCAGACAACGAAACAGATTTATTTGTAAAATGAAGCAAAGAGGTTTACCCCGCAGACTTATCTGTCAGCTGTACATATGTATATTGATATGATAGCAACGAGTTCTAAGTATATCTGCCCAGAAAAGTATTTAGAGTTGTCCATATTACATATTCAGAAGAACAAAGATTGATATGAATGTTTACTTTTTTGAAAAATGTTTAATATGTAAACCAAACAAAAAAAAAAGAAACTAAAGAAGATATACATATACACAAGAAATTAAAATATGTGAAAGTAAAATGAAAGAACGTCTTTTTATTGGTTTTAAACTTTAATTTGTACTCCTAACAAGTTGTAGATCTTAATAGTCCCTGAACTTTTATTGCCATTTATAGCCTGCGGGTTCAACGCGTGGCACTTGCTCCGATCATTTCGGAATATCCATCCACTGAATGGCCAAAAACCTGACCGAGCAACTTCAATTACCAACTGAGTGAATAGTCATTTGTTAATTGGTAACAAGTGCACAATGGGCAAGGGGCGAAGCGAATTTGTTTCGTTGATGGTATTTTCACCAAATTGCTTGTTCGATCCCACACAAAAAAAAAACCCACATTCCCTTGTAGGCAAGGGGCAAGTTCAAACATTATGGGCAATTGAACTCGTCTTTTGGCCAATTAGGTAACCTCCACGTCAAAGATGTGGACCACTGACGGGCCACGATCACTATTTGGAAGACGATCGAGACAATGTCAGATCGTGGTCGTGGTATTGGCCTGTCATCTTTTGTGACAAGATGCAAATTGGAAAGGCCTGGGAATGATTTGAGGCAGAAGAGCCAACTTATCCTTGACATCGAGTTTTGGACCATTTGTGATGGGGTTCCGACAAGCGAGCCCCTCCAGGAAGCTTCCATCTTGGCCAATTAGCGACCGCAACAATTTGGCTTAGGCCAACAATTGAAAAGCAGACCCGAACAAATAGTTCGACAAAAGTTTTGAACAGGCCTGGGTTCCACAAGGTTAGTGATGATTTAAAATAATTAATCTCTGGTTGGGTCTTGTTGCATCTTGATTGAGCCAAGGTCTGATTTTTACAATCTACTACAAAACTGCAGAAGCTGACTCGTTTTTTGGGTCTTATTTGTGTTTCTTTTGTGGTTTTCGCTGCCCTGTCTATTGTAATTGGTAATGTAAAACCTTTTTTGGAGCCGATTGTGCAATCGGAATTACTATGGGCTTTTTTCTGTGTTTGGCATTTCAATTGATCTGTTCGTAGGTGTTCTTATCGCCATCCTCTATCTTTGCTTCGGAAATACTTTCTCCAAGTTTTGCATTAAATATTTATGTTGGGTATCATTTTTACGCGCTTGTTTCATATGAATTGTTACAATTTAAATGACATTTGCCCCTGGAATTTTAAGCATTTGAAGGCGGAAGCGTGGGAATAGTGCATTTTATTTGACATTTATGAGTTTAGTTTTATAACATTGACTTTTTCAATAAATAGGTATTAAGCCTAACATAAAGCTTTAATCTCTAAACAAATCACCTTGTACAACGTTTATATTTGATTAATGAGTTTTAAATATTTTTCTTTATAAATATAACATGCATAATTATGAATGTTGCATGTTGAATTTGATAAGTTAAATGCTTACATGTAGTCTGATGAGTTTTCAATGCCTAGAAAATATTTTTAAATGTTAAAAATACCTTCGATTAATAAAGAGATAAAATGATCTTAATTCAATTTTAAATCACCTGAATTTGTGATTAATCCTTTCAAAACGGCGCGTGCCTTGGCTATACTTGAACAAGGCATTATAAACCCAATTATCCTCCAAGAAAGGTCTTTCAAGCATTCACCCAGCGCCACTTCACTTTCACAATACCTTCAAGGCCCAATATCCAAACCAATCGCCAATAAACCGCAGTATTTACACAAACCCAACTTTTCTGACATGAAAAGAAAACATCAAAGCCCTCTTGAGACAAATAAGCAATACAACCAGCAAGTGGCAAGGAGAAAAAAAACTGCACAAATATTTAAAATAATAACGAAAACAATCAATAAATATGAAACGTTTATGAAAAGTGTTGACTTGAGGGCGCAATCAACAACAACTGAAAATGGGCAAAAACAAAAGGTTTAGGATCGGAGCAATCCGAAGCAATCCAATTCAGCCATTCACTTTCGAGACAAGAAAAAGGTTGTAGTGGAACCATTAAAAATTGCCATGTCCAAGAAACCAGCGTAATTATGTATAACAAAGATGTACGAACGAACCAGCTCACCAAGGGATCCACTGAAGACTTTCAAGTCAAGTAGCCGACCCATCATCCCACTATGGACTGTTCGTTGGCATGATGGTTGCAGGGGCATAGAGATTAATTGAGGCAATTCGGCTAAAATGATTTTACTGCCACTTCCAGTTAAAAACCGCAAATAAAACTAACTACAGCGAGAAGTTGGCAATACTAAGTGTCGTTTTTTTTTGTTTTGGGTTTGAAAACCAAGGAAAAGCAATGGGAAATCATTCAGGGTTCAGCTTAGACAGGCAGAGCCTAAAAATAAAACGGCTTCTGCTGCCTTTGCTTTTCACGATGATAATAATAATAATGATGATGATGAGCGCGCCGGCAGAAGACGTCGGCAGAGGGCACCCGCTAGTGGAGATCGGTTTTATGCATTTGCATTCATTATGTTTGGCACCGTCGTCGCGTTCACAACGTAACTCCAAGATCGGATCGAAATCGGAGATTTCAGATAGTATAACCACTTATATCAGGTAGCTTTGGCAACCGTCGTCACGTGATCGTGTCGCGATCGTTCTTTCTGCTCGTCATTCATCTGTCGTATAGACTTGTCTTGTGCAATTACCTGTCGAATGTCGAAGAATGTCTCGCATCTGGATTTGTGTACCGAGCTCTTAACGTTTGTCTGCAGAAGTCAGTGACTACAGCTCCGCGAGTGCCTGTCGATCAACTTGACCTTTTAAGATCTCAGATCAGGAAATTGTTGAAATTCCTCCATGAACATGTCTTCCCCATATGTGATCTTGCTGATCGCCTTACTATATCTTTGTCTGAGTTCATCGATAATTGCCCAAGATTCTGAGTTTGCGGAACGCAACCACAAGGTGTGTAAAAGCCAAAACTTCGCCCATTAAATACGATCATAAATAATTCTGTCAAATAAAAAAAACAAATTTCAAGAAACGCCAAATCTATCGGGAACAAGTATTGCCACATGCGGGTGGTAAGATCCCCGACACCGCCTTCGAGACGGACCGATTGTTCTTGAATCGCCTGCAAAAGGAGGGCATTGCTGTGCCAGATGGTATAGTGCCCGAGCAGCGGAATCCTCAGGTAACTATCAGCGGGAGTCCTGGCTTAGATCCTTTTTTGGGAAAAGGCTTAGGATAATGATCAGCATATCTTCTGTTCAGTATTCAGAAAAGAATATCCATCGTCAGATCCTTAAACCTTTACTTTTATTGAAAACTAATTTTATAGTTCAAGAAAAGGTAAAGGAAAATCTATCTTGTGTATTCCAACAAATGTTAACGGAAATAGGTTGTTTTTTTAGATATTCTTTGTAAACATCAATTCTCTTACGATCTGTGTTCAAAGTAAGCAAATTAAGGACAGATCAATTAATCATTTAGTAACTAATTTTTTATAAATTTAAACATTTTAGTGCGATCATTTATCAAGTTTAGATATACAGTTATGACAACATAAGCCAAATTTAGCACAGTATTAAAAACTTCGCCCATTAAATACGATCATAAATAATTCTGTCAAATAAAAAAAACAAATTTCAAGAAACGCCAAATCTATCGGGAACAAGTATTGCCACATGCGGGTGGTAAGATCCCCGACACCGCCTTCGAGACGGACCGATTGTTCTTGAATCGCCTGCAAAAGGAGGGCATTGCTGTGCCAGATGGTATAGTGCCCGAGCAGCGGAATCCTCAGGTAACTATCAGCGGGAGTCCTGGCTTAGATCCTTTTTTGGGAAAAGGCTTAGGATAATGATCAGCATATCTTCTGTTCAGTATTCAGAAAAGAATATCCATCGTCAGATCCTTAAACCTTTACTTTTATTGAAAACTAATTTTATAGTTCAAGAAAAGGTAAAGGAAAATCTATCTTGTGTATTCCAACAAATGTTAACGGAAATAGGTTGTTTTTTTAGATATTCTTTGTAAACATCAATTCTCTTACGATCTGTGTTCAAAGTAAGCAAATTAAGGACAGATCAATTAATCATTTAGTAACTAATTTTTTATAAATTTAAACATTTTAGTGCGATCATTTATCAAGTTTAGATATACAGTTATGACAACATAAGCCAAATTTAGCACAGTATTAAAAATAAATGGCGCTTAACACTATCTTAAAAGCAACGCAAATATGTAGAAGAATTTAATGTCTTTTTTATAGCTATTCCACTAATTCAAAATTTAACTACAGTATTTTACATTATAAAATAAACAAGCATTGAATCTTTATATATATATAGTAGTTTTTACATGCCACGATGCTATAAAAATTAATTTATTATCAATTGTAAAAATGTAGGAGGTACAGTAAGTTAACTAATAATCAATAGGCTAAAAAGCTAAACTCCCTTGAAGATTCAGAGATTTGCAGACTGAAAACTCGTTATTTTTCTAACAGGTGTATCAGTACTACAACAAACCCATGCGCACAGTCTTCCACATCGCCCTGAGTTCGGATGGAAGGTTTACTCCGCGAGAGGGACGCTACCACTTTCGCCAGGTGCCCACAGTGGAGACGACATACCTATATCCGCAGGCAGTGGGTCGTCAGCACGTGCTGGTACCACCCAAGCACGCCCTGCCAATCTACAGGCAACTTCAGTTACACAACCCTTTACTAAACCAGGTCAAGTTGCAGCCCAAGAAGAGTGAGTAGGGAGATTAGATATTGGGAATGGAAGTGCACCCAATGGTTTAACTTCCGCCTTTTTAGTGCCTAATTTTCTGGAACTAGCGCCAACGGTGGGCAAGAGTCAGTCGAATCCATTGGCCGGATCGGCCAAGGCGCAGTCTTATCAGAATGTGAATCTCCTGCATGGTCACAGTCCGGTGCTGTCGGCATTTAAGAAAACCCCCAGGGGCAGCAAGACCTATGTGGACAGCTATGGCACAACCCATGTGAGTCGGCGGGACGTCTAGTCATCCATCTTCAGCCATGGTTTGATGTAATACTTGTGTTGTTTCTTTTTTTCACTTAGCTCTTCAGCGAGTTTGACGATCTGCTGAACAAACTCGACCTGCAGCAAAAAGCCCGAAAGAATTATTAGTTTTAGAGCTTTAAATACCCAAACTTAGTAGAATTTATGGATATGGCAATTATGTTCATCTCTAGCCAAGAGTTATGTTTACAAGTGGTTCGCAACTATTATCTAACCGTGTGCATATCATTTCAAAACTTTTGCCATACGCCCGCTCACCGATTAGTGCATTCCCATTCCCATTCCCATTCCAATTCCCATGTTTGCAAACCATTCATGTCCAGCCCATACACAGCGATGAAATATTCAGCTTCATAGAACAATATGTTATTGCTAAAAGTTTTAGTAGCATTTATTGTTTTAAAACCTATTACTTAATAATAATAATAATAAGTTTTCTAGAACGAAAAAAATGCAGAAAAATGTCTATAAATTTTGTTCTGTGTATCCAGTTGCATCCACCCATCGCTTGCCAACCCATCCAACCACGTATTATAGCCTAAGTCTAAGCCAGGCCAAGCGCAATGGGAATTCATCGCTTTTAGCTAGTTTAGCGTACACAATTTGTATCTTGCAAAATAAACCCAGCCCGTGCTGCATTGTACTTTCCCACATCAGTCATATATCATAATTATATGGGGACGAGGGAGCATTAAGCTCCAAGCGGTTCGTTTACTTTGGCAATAATTGAAGCAGAGCTAAGTAATTTGCCAATTTTTGGGTGGAAGGAAAAAAGCTTAAGCCGACAGCTTCCAATGCGAAAATCGAAACCGTTATAAGAAATCGGATCGGTACCCTTGAAAGCTCCATGCTCAAGTGGTTGCCGCTGGAAAACTGCAGCTCAGTGTGTTTTTCAAACCCAACTCGGACGGTTGTCTTTCCGACTTCAAACTACCAGCTTCAACGTAGGCGGAAAAGTTTATTATATATATACAAGTATATTCGACATAATGATGATAAAGCTGGGCTGTTTCTCGTTTTGGCTAATGGTCGTGATCGGAGCCGCTGTGGCCATTGAAGTTCAGGTGAGGATTGAGGATCGGGTCTCGAGTGTATAATTATGCTGAGGAATCAATTAAGAGGAGCGTGCGCCCCCCCAATTGACAAAGCTATGGGTGTCTTAGCCACGTTCACTTTTGACCCAAAAATTGTAACATGCAATATATGTACATATGTACGTACCTACGAGTATGGTTATAATGAGACAGTGCCACGCGGGGATTGGGGTATGAAAACCAAACCGGATTGGGGCACGAGCTCTGGTTTGTCTTATGCAATGAAAACATTTGATATGTTTACAGAAATTCGGGTATCTATTTAATCCACCGCAACCGGAACACTCGCAGCATCATCACGAGGAGAAGCAAGATCTCAACAAGATACCTGGTGTTCCGGGCGTGGACTATCCAATTTACCATGAGGTTCCGCACACTCACTTTAGTTGCCACAACGTTCCGGCCACTCCAGGAATGTATGCCAATTTGGAGACTGGATGCCAGGCCTATCACGTGTGTCACGATGGACGTGAAGGTGAACAGGGTGCCAAGTTCCTCTGCACCAATGGTACCATCTTCAATCAGAAGGAGTTCGCATGCGATTGGTGGTACAATGTTAAGTGCGAGGAGGCCACCAATTTTTACCAGTACGTTATGGCTTTTATTAATTTTTGCTCCTGTTTCTAACATTTTCACTCTTCTTAGTTTGAATGCCGATCCCGAGCACAATCCTTACTTTCCCAAGAAGAAGCCTGAGCTGGAACCTTATGCTAATGATATTCATGATGCTAACAAGTTTTTGATACAAGCTTAATTTTATTTCATTTTCATTTTGTTGATGTTGCTCCCCATATTGTAAATAAAACCATAATAATTTAGCTTACTTAAATATGAACATTTTTAAAAACAACCGAAAATTTTTGAAAGATAAAAATACAAAGCATACTTTCTGGATGCACGTCCTTTTTGTAGACGTGGAAATTTTTATAGGTATTTATATTAATAACTGTTTCCTTCAAAGTTTTCCTTTTTTTGGGCGGACAACGAGAGGTTTATAATTATTTTTCATTCCTACATTTAGTTCTTATAAACTCATTTAAAACTAAATAAAATAACGTCATCCGATCTACCAGATTTCTTATAGTATATTTCTGTTCCGTAAACTGTGGTATTTTATGGAAATGCAATTTTTTGGTCATTTTAGACAGCTACCCTCACTGCCTTATTAAAAACAATAGCAATATTCTCGAATAAAATCGTACATCTCTCGAAAATAGAATTAAGTAAAAATGAATCTGTTAGACCTGCCGCAGACGATTATTCAGGATATTTTGGAAATGCTGCCCTACGACGAAGTAGCGAAAAAACGTGAGGTAAGCTGTGTGACCTTAAGAGTCCATGAGTCTACGATCCGTGACTAAAACTAGACGTTTCCAACTAGGTGTGCGGTCTTTTCAACTACCTCGGCCAGCAAATTTTAAATAAGGGATTCAATAAGATAATTTTGGCCCATGCTAAGAACTTTAAGCGCATCAAATCCATGCTGCCACGACGAGAATCGGAACGCAGGTGAGTTGACAATCATTTGGGATTCATCGAGATGGTTCTGATGACTGATCGTGTCATTCCCCTTATAGGAACCACATTCTATCCCGACACTCGGACATACTCACTTCCATTGAGACACGGATATCGATGCTGACCATGACGTATTCCAAGTTCATTGACCTTAACATCTGCTGCTTCATACCAGGGCGAGTTCTAGACGAAATTAACAGCATCCTGCGCATTTTAAGTACTTCCACCAAACAACTGCGACCGCACGAGGTATTGCAGGAGTTGCGTGACATCTCGTCCATGGCCATTGAACATTTTGATGAGAAGATTGCAGTGAATTTCAAAATGGAACACCGGAAACAATTGGCTGAATCAACCGCGGCCGGAACTCGTTTGGTGGTTTGCAGTGCCCTTGGTGACATAAGCTTTAGCGGTGTTAGGAGAACTGGGATCAGTCGACCTGTGGATCACGGCCTTGTACAACAAACCATCGTTCAGTTGGCCCCAATCTCAACCAGTAAATCATCACAGCCAGAATTTTCCCAAAGAGATCGCGTCTCCAAGCACCTGCTCAGGCAGTATCATCTGCACAGGTCACTAGCACAAAAGGTTCGCAGCCTGGAGTTGTCGCGAAAGGTGCAGGATCGTCGCTTGCAAGAAGCTCTCTCCAGCATCACAGAACTGACAACCCAGGTGTCCGAACTAAAACGTCAAATGGAAGATGTCGTAGCCAATATGCCCAGTTGTGCCGTTAAACGACAGGCGGTGGCAAGTGCGGACTGCTTACCACCGGCTCTGAAAAAACCGAAGGTCTAGTAAAGGATTAGGATAACTAAATAGCTTATAAAAACAACTCCCCTCCATAAAATTGTAGCTATTAGTTGGAGAACGTAGCATAAACTAAACAGTGCATCTTCGATACATCGCGTTAAGATTTATTGTTGCACTTGTTACTTAAATATTGTATTACTACTATATAAATACATTGAACATCTAGTGAAAAGTTCTCATTTATGCAATTGCAATCGCCTGTCCTTGATGGATTTCGTCTATATCGTTTTTGGTTGAATGAACAGTGTGGTTTGGGATATCCCACTTCACAACTGCAGTCATCGATAGTAACTCTGGCTTTTGTTTAGTTCGTTAGTTGGCGGAGAACCATCCAGGAACGGTCTCTTGCTATTGTTAGTGTTAAAACTACCGCTCTATTGTGGTCGATATCTGGGCTGTGAAGGTTCTATGATACTATCGTAATTACTCGTTATCTTAGCGTATAAAAGGAAGTAGAAATTGCAACACGTTAGCATGGTTTCTTTGAGGGTCTCTGACTTAATCCGTAAGCTAACTACGTACATACACTATGCTCTCTATATACAATAACACAAGTACGGGTTAATAACATTTTCGGGGAGGGGTACATATTGCATAACAAAAAAACCAAATGGAAAACAAAAATCATTGCAAACTCCTTATTGTTAAAATGTATAAACTAGTCAAAATTGAAAGCATTGCCACGTTGAAATGTAATCTTTTACATCTCTATATCCGTTCCTACGCTCTTATCATACAGTTAGTATAGTGTCAGTTAATCAACTGGGAGATAAACGTTGCATAAATATAAATGTTTGTGAGTCGCTGCGTCCCATGGCTCCATAAATACGTCCAAATCGAAGTCATTACTACATTTCACCCAATTATCAATTAGCAGCTTACTAGAGATGGCGAATCACATACGTATACACATTTTTATATGTACATCAGCGCGGAGTTCCTAATCCATATTCTTATCCGTATCTGTGGCTGTATCTTACTTGCGCCGCCGATTAGTAACGACGCCGACGATGCTACTTTTTCTTCACCGCCGCCTTGTGGTTGATCTTCTCCTGCAGTTGGCGTATAAGCTGTTGTATATCATCCACGTTGTACGCATAGATTAGCTTGCATTGCTTGGCCTGAATGTTGCCGTTGTTGAGGTTTTTCAGCGCATGCTGCAGGCAATAGATGTTTCCATCCTCGGTGCGCACCATCGATATATACAAGTTGGCGCGGCACAGGTCGCATTCGCTTTCGATGGACTTGTATGGCGGTTGCTGTTGCTTCTTGGCCTTTTGGCCCTTTTCCGCCTGCACTTTCTCAGTAGATGTCACGCCAGCAGCCTGAAATATTTCAGTATACATAATTTAATAAGAAATCTAAATTTTATTAGCTTGGATAGATCGAAAATTTCAAAAAATTTCGAAAAGAAATATTATTTTGTTGCTAACTCACCCTAAGCTGTTCTCTGGCTGCGGATTCCTTTTCGCAAACATCATTAAGCATTGGCAACATTTGATGCAGAGCATCGGAGTTGACACGCTGGTCATAGCCCAAGGCAAACAGTAGTTGCTCCAGCGAGAACATTGCTGGCTCGCAGCTTTCATGGATGTCCTGAAGATATTTGTGAGTTAGTTAAATTCACATATAAAGCTGATAAACTTACCCTGAAATCATCTTTGGCTAAATCCAGCCATGACATTGTGGCGAAATAAACGCTCTCTGAGACTACATAACCCGTGGCCAAGCTCGAGGTATAAGCCCGTGGGAATACAACAATAAACTCGCCTGGCTTCTGCTCAATGCGGCACAGAGAAACTCCTCGATCCGTCAGCATGTGCGGTGGCACCATTACAGTATCACAGGGCAACCAAATAGTCTTGTTCTGGCAGTGCGTCGGGATCAGCGACGTCAAGGCTGATCGGAAATTCGCGCTCTGATCATCCGGTATACCGTACCACAACTTGGAGGCACCAGTGTGAAGGTACTCAATCCAGGACAGACCATGGGGATCTCTGTACCAGCAGCAAGCAGAAAAGAGCATGCCCACATGAAGTGTGGGAACGGTGACGCCCATGACCGGACCCAAGGAACGCAGCACGGAACCAGAATTGTTGGTCAATACCTTTAGATTCCATGGATGCCTGGCATAGTTAGAACCTTTTCCTTTGGGACCCGGACTAGGAAAACCATAGCCCCAGCCCGAGCTGTCGATAGATCCCGAATGTACGCACACATGGCTATCACGCACGGCCACATGACGCCAGAACTCTGCTTCTACCTCGTTAACTGTGGGATCAGTGCTTTTGAACCACAATGCCATCGTGTTACGAGCAATCCTGTAGAACTGGCTGAGAGGCATACTCCTACCCTTCACAATGCATTCCATTGACACACCGTCGATTTCCTCCTCAGACTCTTCGTCCTCATCGCTGCTTAAATCATCCTCCTCGTTGGACACGCTCTCCGTGTTAACGAAACGATCAGCATTCCGACGTGCTCGTGCCTCCCGTTTTGCCCAGTCCGCCTCGACCTCGTCAAAGAGCTTCTGGCGCTCTGCCGGCGACAACGTATCGTAGGGTAACAGGTACTTGCAGTATATGTCATCCAGCTTGGTCACCCTATCTTGAGCCAGCTTGGGTATGCACATTTCCTCTGCCACGCGAGCCCACTTCTTCTTTTCGATTACTTCCTTAAGGCCTCCCAGCTCCTGGACCGTATGATACAATCGTGGCAGATCCACCTCCATTCCACCAATCCAAGGAGGATGATTCATTACAATGCTCTGAGTAGCTAGGTATTTCTTAATTGCACTCAGCTCCTTAGCACTCGGTCCCCAGCGGTGGAGCATCTTGTGCACATACTGATTGTAGGCGGTGAACCGCATTTCATCTGAGATCCGGCACTCTGGCTTAAAGCTAGCTGGCGGAATGATCTTACAAATGCCAAACCTTGCCGCTATTGGTGTGATCCGCTCGATGAACTCAATAGGATCGGCAAACTCCTTCTCTGTGGGTCGGAATATAGGCGCTTCCACCATTTGAGTTGGATCATCGTGTCGTGGAAAAGCTGTATTATTTGCCATTTTAATGGGTGTATCATCCTTATACTTTTTGGCCACGGCTGCTGCTGTGGAACTTGTCTGGGCAGCTGTACGGGATTTAGCCGATCCAGAGAAAAGCGAGGAGTTCGAGTTTACACGCACTAGACTGGATGCACCAGCCCCAGTTCCTGCTCCGGCTGCTGCTGAAGTACTCGCCTTGGGCAAGCTTTTGAGGCTTGTCGTGGTTGAGGCCGCATCATTGCTGGCCGCATGAAGCAAAGTCTTTACCAGCTCGTTGGTATTGAGCGACTCTGGCAGCGGTTTTGAGTTGGTATCCATCTGTGCCTTGGTCACCAAAGTGGCCTGCATCACCACCTTTTGATTGGGACCATCGGGACCCTCTCTTCCAAGTTTTACTGCAACTCCTTGGATACCGCCATCACCGCTGCCTCCCACACCAGCTCCTTGAAGGGGTATGTAAAAGGTAGCGCCCTCAGCATCGGAATCCCCGCTGGCTTCAACAGGTGCTGCTGGCGGAGCCGAAGCTTGCTGTTGTTGCTTTTTGGCTCCTCTTCCAGTTGCCACCTTCGGTTTGCTTTCGATCTTACAGTTCTCCGTTGGACTCAGTGTTAGTTGAACAGCAGTGGCTGCCGCAGCTGCTGCTGCTCTTTTTTTGGTTGGAGATCGCTCACTGATCGCATTTGGCACTGTAGCTGGTGCAGGCGCTGGACTGGGATCTGCGCGTCGACGATTGCCCGGCTTGGTGCCAGCCTCTTCCTCCTTGCCAAAGGCATATACCGATTCCTTTTTAGCTCCTGCTGCGCTAGGACTGCTGTTAACTGCTGTCTTGGTTTCCACCTGTTGTTGCTGTCCCTTGGCGTTCTTTTGATTGTAAACAGGAGTTCGCTTGGGATTTGGTGGAGTTGGTGCAGCGGGCGGAGAAGCTATAGCAGCCGCACCTCCTCCGGAATTGGCATTTCTCTTTCCCTTCTCCGGTTTTTGCTTAATGGCTGGAGGCGGAGTGGGACTGCTCTTAGATGGAGTGAGAGATGCAGGAGTGGGTGTAGAAGAAATTGGTGTTGGAGGAGTAGCAGCAGCACTTCTTGGCTGTGTTGCAGCTTTGGATGCAGGACCCTTGACCGAATCTTTTCCCTTCCGATCGTTAATCTTCTTCTCAAGAGCCGCTGAATCATTGGATGCATTCTTCTGCGTAAGATTAACAGGTGTTGAGGATTTGTCGTAGTCCAAAGCGTCGCAGTCCTTGCTTTCCGACTGCTCTAACTGCTCCTTGCGACTGGGCGGTGTGACCAGCACAGGCGTGGCTTTCAGAGATGGTCCTTTGGCCGACCAAGCACTCTCACTCTTGCCAAGATCACCGCGCGTATTTTTCGATGATGAACTGAAGCTTGCACTTAGTTCCTTATCATCTCTCGTTGGGGGCGGAGTAGTAGATTGTTGAGGCCTTAAACTATCATCGAAATCATCGTCCAAATCATCTTGAATTTCATCAGGATTAGATGAGCATTCAATGAGCCACTTCTGGATCTGCTCGTGCGTCATGTTCACCTTCGCCTTGCGCCGCTCCTTACTGGACAACTGGTCGCCGAAGTAGCCCTCCGTGGGCACGACTGGTCCCAACACAGGCTTATGAATGGATCCACACTTGCCCAAGGTGCACTTTGTGTTGTCTGGTCCGGAACTCTGGGCCAAACTCACGCTCGCAATTCCGAAGATCTTGCCCGATTCCTCCTTGCTGGGCATCAGAGTGGCCTGCGCCAGGATACTCCCAATCTCTTCCTTTAAAGGATCGGAATTTGCACCAGCTCCTCCTCCCGCTCCTGCACTATTGCTGTGCGCCGGTGGTGGCGTAGACGTAGCTGTTACTGTGACTCCAACTGACGCCTGATGGGCCGCTGATGTTGACGTGGAAGCCACGGCCATTGGTGCTGCATTAACTGTAGCTGCTATACTCATACTAAGATTCAAGCTGGATGTTTGGATCACAACTTGGCTAACTGGCGGAGATGGTGGCGGTGGTGCCAAAGGGCTCTTAGTGGCAGACGAGGGTGTGCCTATGGTGGTCGCAGTGGTTCCCGATGTAGGTAGAAACTTTACTGGCGATGGGCTTGGAAAGCTGCTGGTCGATGATCTAGGCAGTGGGCTTCGCTCATACTTGGGCGTCAGAAAGTTTGGATTAATCTTGGGGCACTGATATGCCTCAATGGGTGGCGGATATGTGGTGGGTGGCGTCTGATACTTTAACGGCGAAGTGCCCTGCGCAGGAGTTTTACTCCCAGAAGGTGCTCCACCACCAAACTGATGGGTGGGGGTCGGTGGTGGGCGCACATAGCCGGAATGGTAGTGTGGAGAAGCCTGCGGCAAATACGAGGAAGTCTTCTGGAAGCTTACAGCTCCACTGGTACTTCCCGGAAGCGCATATGTGGCGGGTACGTTCAGAATCTTGGACGTGGGCACCGGCGGCTTTTTTTCCATGGTTTTGAGCGGTGAATAACTTGCCATGCTGGGAAACATCGGGATAGTACCCAGAGTTGGAGTAGCTTTAGCTGTCAAAGGGAGCATGGTCAGCTGGGTGGTGCTGGTTGTGACCGGTGGTATACTGGGCACGGTCAGCGCAGGAGCAACCGAAACCAACGGCGTGGGAACAGAAATGGGCGATGGAATCGCTACCAATTTGGGCGGTGGACTGGGCATTTTCGGTGGCGATACTTCTTTCTCTTTGGCCGCAACCACCGGCACTTTAATGGCCAGCGGTTCATCGTCGGAGTCACTGAAGCTCTTCTCCAACTTGCGTTTTGTTTCGTTTAATTCCTCGTTGATGAGAAAGTCCTCCTCCTCGTCGGAGTCGACTTTTGAATGTTCGGACTTGGCTTTGGGCTTGACCTGTTGCTCAGAAATCTTGGCCAGGGAGCCCTTCTTTACCAGCATTCCCTCGATGGGTGGTTTGGGAAGTGGGGCGGCCGGTGCCTTGCTTTGCTTAGGCGGACGTCCACGTCGAGCTGGGGGCGGTGGTTTCTCCTCCTCGGCTTCTGGTGGGGAGGGGGACTCATCACGGGAAGCTTCTATCGGAGCAGTTGCTGGGGAATCCTTGGGTCTGGGCGACGGCTTACGGGATGATTTGCCTGCCGAAGGCACCGTCGTGGCCTCCGGCACGTTTAACTTTCCCGCCGCATTACGTTTGATCTCGTTCTCCATTTTCTCCATCTCCTTAACATTGGGTATGTCAGGAAAACTGCTCATTGACAGGTCATCCTCCTCGTCATCAGCTAGCTGCAGTTTGTGACCAATGATGCCCATGTAGATGGCCGCGGCTTCCTTAGTTTTGCGTGAGGGGCGCTGCGATCGCTGAGGCTCTAATTCTACCGAGTCCTCCGAAGCCTTGCTTTTTTTTTGCTTGCGGGCATTAATGGCAACTTTCTTTGAGGAGGGTGGCGCCAACTCCTGCTCATCGGTTGGAGCATCTTCTGCTTTCTTTTTACCAGCTTTCCCTCTTTTTCCGCCACTGGGTGGCTCTTCTACTTTGCTTTCAGGGACTGGCTCCTTTTCCTTCTCCTTCTCTTTGTCCCTTTTTTCCTTTGCTTTTTCTTTTTCTATTTCCTTTTCCTTTTTTTCTTTTTCCAGCTTCTCCTTTTCAAGTTCCTTTTCCTTCTCTAGCTTTCTTGCTGCCGCCTTGCGATTTCTAGCCGCAGGTGGAGCTGCAGCAACCGAACCTTTTTTGGGACTTGCCCCTTTGCCGCCCTTTTTTAACTTTATGGACTTGGCCAGCGGCTGCTCATCATCTGAACTGAAATCGAAGACATTTAGACTTTTCTTGCCCTTGGCTCCGGCATCATGCTGACTGTCTCCATTTTCCAGCTGCTGCTTGGCTTCTTTGGCATAAATACTGGAATTCGTTTTCTCCTTGGCTTCCTTTATCTGCTTAGCAGGCTCCTTCTCCCTTTCCGGTTTGTTTGGTGGCGGTTCAGGTTCTTTTTTGGGCTCATCTTTTGGCGGCTCCTGGGTTGTAGGTTCCTCCTGGTGCGGCGGAACCTTGACGGGCTCAAAAAAAGCCCGCTGTCTTGTCATGCGGCCAGAAGACTCTGGCGAGGGGATAAAAATAGGTGACTCCCGTTGTCTAACACGCTTTACGGGAGCCTTGTCCTTTAAAACTGTCTGGGATTCAGGTGTCTGCTCGGCGGCTTTCTTCCCACCCAAGGGTCGCCCCCGCTTTGTTGGTTCTACTTTCACGGGACTGTCTACCTTGACCTCCTCGCCATTACGTGAGGATGCATCGTGAGCGGAAAAGAACTCATCTTCATCATCGTCTGCTTCGTGTTCTTCGAGATCGTCTGAATGGTCATCATCAATAATAGGTTTACTTTCCTTAGTGCTGGCGCGGTTAGAACGGCGCTTGTTGTCGTTGGATGATCCCGATGCTACCATCTTTTCCGGAGTAACACCTGCACTGGCTGGACCCCTGCCTCTTGCTCCTCGTCGGTTACCATCGGTGACAATCTCCGCTCGTTTTCGCACCGCTCCTGGCAGCACAGGAATAGGCGTTGACGAAGGAGTTTCTGGCAATCCTGTTGCAATGAGATTGATTTTATCACTGGCTGCTTTATTTGCTGTTGAGGGCTTCTCAGTGGGATCGGGTACTGGGTCCACCGCTTCCACTTTCTTTGCTGTTCCTTTGGCAGGACGTCCCCGCTTCTTTTTGTTGGCTGTCAAGCCAGGTCTACTGTTGTTGGCCTTTTTGGCATTATTATTATTGTTGGCTCCCGTTGAAGTTGCCTCCGCATCTTTGGACTTGCCCTGGTTGAGGAAATCCAAGTGAGCGGGCAGCGCCGACGTGCCACGAAAACAGAGAAAGGTGAGAAAATCCTGAGCCTTGGGACACTTGTTGGGCAGGATTTCGATAGGCGGCTGGGAGTTATCCGCTCCTGATGTGCTGGGACCGGATCCGGAACCAGCTGCCGCTGCTGCTGCGCTGTAGGCAATGCTCGAGGAGCTACTTGGCGCACTCTGACCCTGGGCGAACTTGCGTTGTGCCTGCACCTTCGTTCTGGAAACGGAGGATAAAAAAAAGCGGTGTGAGAGATTTTTAATTGGGAACAAGGTAACTTGATACAAATTGGAAAATTCGATATTAATTTAAGATCATAATAAAAGCAATACAGCTTCGAATTACGAGTCAGCATCAAAAACAGTGGGTATTCCATAAAAAGTGAAGCAAAAAATGAGCAAAAACTAATAAAATAAAATGCAATTACAATTTTACTCTTTTTGTTTTGTAAACCATTTAAAACCCATAATTAAACTATTTTCTTAAAATAAAACACAATGTTCTTATAAAATTAAAAAAAATAACAAGAAATGTAGATGCAGTATTAAATATTTTCAATTGTTAACTTATTTTATGACCATGAAAGTCACAACGTCTGCGTAAGTATATGCGACGTAGTTTTATAAATAACGTAGATAAACATTGCCTAATTATCTGAGCCGAATATTCAGCTTAGTGACTAACCACTGTATATACCCACCTGCTCAGGGGAAGGGGAGAATTCCCTTTGCTTCGTTCCCCCCAAAACGGCGGATGCGAAACACCCCTTCGTCGAGGAAAACAACAACGCCACGACACGCTGTTGACGCTAGCTTATACAACAACTGAGTGTTCCCCTCACCAACAGTTACTCCCCCCTGATGACCCCACTCCCACCCCTTCCTTGTCAGTACCATTTTCATTTCAATCACCCAACGCTGCGACGTCATCTCTATAGTGCCACACACGTATGTATTATTGGATAAACCCTATAAACAATATCCAGGGGCATATTTCGACTCACCTCTTAGGCATTTCGGGGGACGACTCGATGGCCGCCACCGCCGATGGTGGAGCCAATGTGGAGGCAGTGGGCGGGACGGGAGGTGGCGGTGGAGGCGTCTCCGTCTCCTTACGGCGACGCTTGTTGTTGTCTTTGGAGACAACCATTTTGTTGCGAACTTTTCGCGCCTCTTTTTCAGTCGTCTCTTTTCTTTCGCTCGCGCGCCTTCGTACTTTGAATTAATTATTATTATTTATTATTATCGCGCACCCAATTCTCTGCCGGAGACTTCTTTATTATGTATAGATTTGCATATATATAAATATATACATATGTACATCTACAACAAATAGCGTTTTTGTTGCTGCCTCTGCTGCAGCTCGCAATTTTCGTATTTTCGCTTCATCTTTATGGCGATTTAGTGGTTGTTTTAGATCTCGAAATAAACACTAAAATGCTGATTATTGTCTTATTATTGCTTAGTGAACTCTGGGTTCACATTTCACACACGACAAGTGCTGCAAATTTCATTTTATTTTGCGAGATTTGCTTGCACATATTTTTTTCGTCTTCTGCTTCTTCTTACACCGCTTTTGCTTTGTGTCATGGCGGACCATAACGCTGCCAGACTTTATTACCAGGGCAGCGAAAACGATTTGCCAGATCGGTTGATTTTATTCATATCTGGCAGGCCTGGTCTCTTCTGTGAGTTGACAAAAAATCTTGTGCTGTGCAGTAAAAGCAGAAAATTTGTGCTTAAATCTACAGACGGAAAACAATTAAGTGATTCAAATTGAAATGGCCGACGGTGCTGGAAATTGGTGTCTCATTGAATCCGATCCCGGAGTGTTCACAGAGCTTATTCGCGAATTCGGTGAGTTATTGGCGCGCTTTAACCAGCGACGCCGGCAATTGGGACTGCAAATGTTGCTAAATCTCTGTATATTCGGCCAGGCTGCGATGGTGCACAAGTAGAGGAGATATGGAGCCTGGGTAGCGAGTCCTTCAAAAATTTAGAGCCCATCCACGGCCTGATTTTCCTGTTCAAGTGGGTTCAGGAGGATGAGCCCGCCGGCAAAGTGGTCTTGGATCGGGAGAACATCTTCTTTGCCAAGCAGGTTATCAACAATGCTTGTGCCACCCAGGCAATTTTAAGTCTTCTAATGAACCTTGATCACGAGGACATTAAACTGGGCGAGACGCTCACCAACTTCAAGGAGTTCTGCCAGTGCTTTGATCCTTACAACAAGGGATTGACCCTGAGCAACGCCAGTCAAATTCGCACTGTGCACAATTCCTTTGCTCGCCAGACACTCTTTGAGCTGGACATGAAGAACCAGAACAAGGACGAAGATGTCTACCACTTTGTGGGTTATATGCCCATTGGAGGAAGACTGTACGAACTGGATGGTCTAAGGGAGGGCCCCATTGATCTGGGTGAAATCAAGCCAGAGCAGAACTGGATCGATGTGGTGCGCCCAATTATAGAGAAGCGCATGCAACGCTACAGCGACGGGGAGATCCACTTTAACTTGATGGCCCTAATTTCGGACAGACAGCGCATCTATGAGCAACAGATTGACAAACTGCTCAATCCGGCTCCCGACGCAATGGACACAGAGGAGGACCGTCAGGCGGAGATCAGTAGCTTGCGCACCTACATTCAGTACGAGATCCAGAAGAAGAAGCGTTACAAGGTAGAAAATGTGCGACGCAAGCACAACTACTTGCCCTTCATAGTGGAGCTTCTGAAAATGCTGGGCGAGACTGGACAGTTGATGCCCATCTATGAGAAGGCCAAGCAAAGGGCGCTGGATCGCGAACAGGCGCATCGCAAGAAGGATATCAACTAGGCATTTTCAGTATATATATTTTCCATTGGGCAATTCCAAATTGCTGCGATTTCAAATAAACTAGAAAGAAAAGATCAGAGATAGAATCGTGGAGAGCCAGTTAATATCGCTCTTTAGTAGTTAGGTGAAACTGCCTTTGTACTGTACTCTAGTTTTTATATTCAATATCCTGCTCTCTGCCAGTTAATCAAACGCATTTCTGCGTGTTAAGCTAAATATACCTAATACCTATAGAGAAAAATTTAAATAGAATGCAAAAATAAACAGTTTCGGCAACATCAAGAAAACGACTGAATTGGTTTTGGTTTTGGTTTTGCCTTTGCTCGTATAGAATATATTTGGTATATATCATTTACAATTGCTATGTTTTGGTTGTATTTCTGTCTCTGCATTTGATTTTTGCGTATATTCACTTTGAATTTGATGCTGCTTGTTGTATATAATATGTATATTGTATATAGGAATATTTAGTTTGTTAATCGTCTGTGCCGCTCGCCAGTTCTATGCTAAAAATTTGTCTCTCGTCTTAACAACTAGGCTCTACAAGTTACTTAGTATGCGTATTTAGGGAACTTTCATTGGGAGGTCTTTGATTTAGTTTTCTCAATTTTGGTGTTTTCACTTACTAACTAGAGGCTACTACTAATGCGGCTCAAGGGAGTTGGGGAAATTAGGGTTTTTTGGGGGGATATGGCTGGAAGGAAACCGAAGCTAATATGTTTGTATAGTTCTGGCCAGAAATTTGGCCATGTGGAAGTGTGCTGCACCCTAAGCGCTATGGCAACTACAGAAATATATTTATGTGTATATATACTCGTAATATGTATATGTTGTATATGGTTACCTTGCGTATAAATATCTGTTTTTGGCTTAAACTATTCTTTCTCCTGCCTGTTGCGTGTTGATTTTTGGTTGGCTTAATTGAATTTCATTCGATTTAAGTTTAATTTTGTTAACATTTAGGCTAATTTTACTAGTGTCTGGTATTTTCCATCTGGGGACCTCTGATTATCCCATCTTTTAATTTAGCACTTAGTTTTCAATGATTTCGCTCTCTGCGATTAAATTACTTTCATTTTTATGTTTCGAAGACACAACAGTTACTGGTCCAGTTCCAGGAAGAAGTATATGTATGTATATGTATAAGGGTGTCTCATCTGATGACGAGGATTGCAGTTTTTTGATGGGGCTGTGGTAAGGCCAGTTTTTACCGGGGTCCCGCGAAGCTATACTGCAAGCCCGTGTGCGTCAATTCGTTGCATACTTCGCTGCGCTGGGTCACCGCATTTAGGGCGGCGAAGGCGTGATGGGGGCGTGGCGTGTTATGCTGGTGTGCTTGGGTGTTATGCTGGGCCGATTCATAGGCAGTTAAATCAATGCTAGGTGCTGTAAAATTAATTATATATATATTACCAATACACCTCCAACCTCGAAATCTGAAATCTTTACCAGCGGCATGCATTCGATTATAAAGATTTTTCGTTTCTTTTTTTAATAGCGTGTCCAAATTATATCCCTCCATGCTAGCTCTGTAAGAAAAAGAATTAAATGAACAATCTCTTTATAATATTATACATCTGAAGGACTCACTTTTCGGGCCTTCCATTGCCCAGCAGCTCCTTGAAGGCCACATAGATCTTGTTTAGCGTCAGATTGGATAGCCCCTGGCCCAGATATCGTACAAATTTAAGTTGTTCACATTTGGATAAAGCGCTCTCGTGGAAGTCCAAAAAGGGTCGATGATCGGATATCTGATATTCCTACAGAAATTAACAAATTCACAAAAACAAATACGGAAATGGAAGAGAAATAGTAAAAGACGTTAGGACCATTTTACTTTTGAGGACGGGCAAGAGTTTTGTTCATAGCTCTGAAATTATTGATGAGGATGCAATTTGGATATCTACATAGATGGAGTGCCAATGTTTCGAACGCCAATTGGGGGGCCAAAGAACAAAGCTCCGCTAGACTACAGTGGTGCCTCCTGATATTCTTCTTTCGATACACTTTTGCTCACATTGCAAAACTTGATGAAGTTTTCGATGAGTATGTACTTTTCATAATTGCTCAGACAATGCTGACTACTACTCTGTATACCGAACTGTTTCAATAGCTCCTGCTTCTTGGGCGGCAGGCGGCTAATGTGTGTGCAAACCCCATCCTCAATCCGGTGCGTTTCGTGCACGTCAAAGTTCTCGTAGATGATTAGTTGCTCCAGGGATCTAGGTGGTGGTCCCAATGCTGGAATTGGCGGAGGTGGCAAAAGTGCCGGTGGAGCACCACATCCGTAACGAGGATCCATGGCCATTTGGTGTTGTTGTTGCGCCGCCGATGATGTCACATAACCCGCTGACATGGCCACGCTATTAGAATTTATCACTGATCCTGCCACCGCATTGCTACTTCCACTGCTGCTGTTACTGTTGCTTCCGATGTTCGTGTTGCTGCTGCTTGTGTTGCTGTTGCTGCTGCTTCCTCCGCTGCTGCTAGCAAACTCCAGGGAGCCATCATTGGCCGCCGCCATGTTCTTGAGGTCTACAAGAGAGAATCGTAATGCCAACACACTCAGGAAGTCAAACTCCAAGGATGTGTGAATGTCGCCTTTTTTGGATACCGCCCTTGGGTTTAGAATAAATATAGAATTTAAATAAAATATTTAAAATAAAAATCCCCTTGAAACCTTAATTGTTGGTAACGAAATTACAAAAAAAATTAGAAGACTTTGGAAAAGACTAAAATCAAAATGTATTTTCAATCGTTACCAAAGCATTTTCTATATCTTTAGTAAAGTTATTTTAAATTCCGATCAAATGCGATTTTAAAGTTGTTCTTGGCTGGAAATGATCGGTGATTAAATTGCCCCCAGGTAAAGGAAAACTATAACCAAACAATGCAACAACAATGACTTTTCAATTGGAAAACCGACGAAATGGAAAGTTTCCTCTTTGTTAATTGTCTTAGCGCAAATGCAGAGGCGCGACGCAGGCAATAAATCTCAAGTAAAAACAACAATCAAATCGATTTTTTCTCAATCGCTTCTTGCTAGCTGTGTATATATATTTTCTGGGTTCGCAAACAATTTCCATATATATCGTATGTTGTGTTTAGTTAGGATTGGTTTTACATTAACATACATATCATTTGTTCTTGGCTTACTAAAATATATATTTATATATTACCATATTAAATAGCATTAGCATGATTCTCTATACTCGTGTGTTCGTGTTAGTGAGTGTGTAAATGTGTGATGTGTGTGTGTGTATATGTAATAATCTCTTTTCAAGGAATAACATTGCATAGTTTTGGAGTAATGATCGATCGTTGTCCAACAATTTCATTTTATCGTCGTCAAACGTAATACAAAATTTGCATAGTTTTATAAAAATTTGGCAAAAAGCTTGTGTAAAATTAGTCTAAAATAAACGAAACATAAACTAAAAACGAGGAGCACATTTAAAATATAATATGACAATGCACATCAACGGAAAACTATAATCTAGGACAGGATTTGAGGATGATGGGGGATGAGCTGAAATCCTTAATCCTTTGCCATGTCCTTCTGCATCAGCCTATGCCTGTCAACAGGTGGCGCCACCACCGCTGTCCTTGGCGCCACGCCGACCCCAATCTCACATGGCCGTGGGCGGTAACCCGCCTCCTCCTGCGGATCCCACGCCTCCTGTTGCCCCAGACCCTCCAGCACTAATACCTCCACCTCCTACTCCTCCAGCTGCCTGCTGTGCGCTTTGTGGTGGTCCCGGATATCCCATGGCCGCCATATGTTGAACATGCGCGTGCGGATGCGGATAATAGTGCGGATGATGCTGCTGCGGATGCGGATGACCATGGCCATAGGCAAAGTGATGGGCATGTGGATGACCATGATGCCCTGCCTGATGGTGCGGATGTGAATGTGGCGAAGGTGGATAGTGATGAGGATGAGACAGCTGGGGATGCGTACTGCGCGTTGGGGTTCCAGGCTGCAAATGGTGTGGATGTGTGTTGTGTGGTAGCGTGTGCGGATGCGAATGCTGGGCATGCGGATGCGGGTGCGTGTGCGGATGCTGCAACATAAGCTGTTGTTGATGTTGCTGTTGCTGTTGATGATGGAGTTGCTGTTGCAGGTGTTGTTGTTGTGGGGTAGTGGGCGTTAATGCTCCTGCTCCTGTTGGCATTGTGGGCGTAGAGGGCCTTGTGCGTGGCACTGTCTGTGTCGGCGTTACTGCTCCCGCTGCCGATGTTGCTGCTGTTGGTGTTGCTGTAGCTGCTGCCGTCGCTGATACTGCTGCAAGTTTCGGTGTTGCAGGTGAGTTGGGTGCCAGCAGTTCCTGCTCGGATTGCTGCTGCTGAAGTGGTTGTTGTTGTGGTGTCTGTTTGACCGGTGTGGATGTTGTTGTTGTACTGGTGTTGTTGTTGGTCTTGTTACTGGTGTTGTTGGTGATGTTATTGTTGGGATTGTCGCCTAGTGATTGAAAGCGTATGCGTTGGAAAAAGAAGAAGAAAGAGGAAACACAAACAAATTGAAGTCAAAAATTAAAATTGTTTTCTTTTTGTTTTTTATTTTTGAGCGCTAGCGCAGACAAAATTGATTATTTTACAAAATTTTGCAAAAATAGGCAGGCCAAATTGTAGGTAGTTCTCTGATTCTTATAAAGACAGAAAAAAACGGAAAGTGCACGAAATAGAAATAGAAATGAGAAGTGCAAAGTAGAAAATAATCATAAAAATGAATGTAAGCACTTCTAGTTTCGAGTGTATTTTTAAAATTTAGCACATTCGCCTCTCGGCTTTCATGTCTCGCTTTTTTATGAATTTTCCTCTGCCTGAATACTTTTTTGGTTGATGATGCCTGCTGCTGCATTTGCACTACACGGAATTGGGGGTTGGCGGAGTCGGTGGGTATAGGGGGATATATTCTACATCTATATTTAGATATAGCTTCCACTTACCAGCTGTTGTGTTGGCCAGGAAGCGCTTGGTTTTGTCGAGTATATAAGGCAGATTGTAGCCATCCTTCGTGTAGCTACAAAAAGGACATTCATCAATTATAATAGCATGCTTTTAGGCTACTCTAAGTTCGGCAGGACATTCAATTATCGGGAGAGAGCCTGGATGATACTCACATTTCTGTGCGTTTGGTGCAGAACAGATTCTTAAAATTGCTATAAATGCAGAAGAGCGTGAACGTCGGCAGCCCCTGGCCCAGATATCGAGCGAATTTGATCTGCTCGGGCTTATTTAGACCGCACTGGTTCAGCGACAGCCATGGCCTGTGGTCCTTGATATCGTATTCCTGTTGATTATAGGTCATAAAAGGTTATATTTAGTATATAGCATATTTTGATTTGTTTCCCCAATAACTTCCTAAACTCTTTTCAGTCTTTGCTGCAAGATAAACTTCCGATTAGTTTTACCAAATCAGAAAATGTGAAACTATGGTGATAGCATGGCTTATAATTTTGTTGATTTTCCAGTTACACACCATGTTAGTTTAATTTAAAATTCCATTAAAAATAAATTTTAGACGACGAGGTGGGAATGCAATTTAATTAAGTAAAAATGAAATTAGAAATTCAACTCTAGTTGAAAAGTAATTTTCCAGACATACCGGTTTTACTGGTTGGCAACACCCCTTCCCTAACCACCCTTTCATTAGTTTTAAACCAGCTTACACCTTTTCATGTTAGAACCCATCCCCCATTCCACTACTTTTTAGCATAATTTTCTCGACTTTTAGGCTGTTTTTCCACGTAAACGTGTGTATGTATATTCATTGACGTCAAATTCTATGACTGCACATATGTATTGGCATTACATAAAGTAGTATATATGTTCAGGAAAAACCCAAAACCCAACGACCCACCCACCCCCAAAAAACCCATACACATGCGAGCGCAAAACTTTGCCCACTACTAATCAAAACTTATAATTCGTGTACAACGCAAAAGTTTAAAACGAAAATTTTACACAAAAGCCAAAAACTTGCAAAGGACGATGGGTGGATTGGGGTGGCAAAAAAGGGGTGGCGGCGGTAGCGGCGGGTGGCAAATGGGTCTGAATAACATGCCAAAGCAAAAGCTCCACAGACACATACATATATATAGACACTAACACACATACTCACACCCTTACAATGTATATTTTATAGTGTAAAAATATAGAATAGGGCGAAGCGAAAAAGGAAGCAGAAAAGGCAGCAAAGCAAACCCAAATAGAAAAGCAAACAACATTTTCAATGAAGCCATTTTCCCCCAAAAGGAAGGGGGTTGGGGGTTATTTGCAGAGGCCCCCTTTTTCAAAGGGTTACCATGAAAGCCTCTGTGTTTGTGTATGTGAGTGTCTGAATTTTGTGTGTATGTGTGTTTGTGTGTTATAGCTAGATGGTAGGCTTAATGGACGTCTGTGTGAGTGCGAGTCTTCGGCCGAGCAGAGAGTTCAGTTCCGTTCGTCGTCGGAACTTATCAACATCCTCATAATCAGGGTTTCCACCAACACACCCAGGGTTGCCACCCACACCCACCCCCAAAAAGGGTCTCTCACACATGCGAATTGCTGACTGAGCTCCTGTATGTCTCCAAAAGTGTGTGTGTGTGTGCATACATTTTGGGTTTTGATTATGTTAAAAATCAATAGAGCAAAAAGGAGTGACGTGCCATCTTGTTTTTGGGGAATAGTAAGCGGGAACTTTAAACTGCTGTCAAAAAAAGGCACAGGGACACACTGGCTGACAGCTACTCCACACTCCCTTATTTTTCTTCTCTTTTTTCCAGCGTTGACAGGCGGCCGACACCTGGCCACTTCTCCAGGTGTCTCATTAACAAGCAACTATGCGGGGTCGTTGGGGTTTAAGGGGATGTGGCGTACATGGCGGTTTTTCGGGGGCCAGTGCCGCACTGTTGCTGCTGTCAAGCTGGTGGGCCAAGTGGTGCGTCCCCATACCCACGCCCATCATAGCCACTCAACTGTTTCACATTCAAAAAGCACACAAAAACTGGCAATCATTTAAGTTTTCCGAACTATGAGATACCCTTTATTTGATTTAATGAAAGGGTAAAGATTACAAATGGTTAATTGACCACCAAATTTCGTACATTTTCTACTACTTTTACAATATAAACATTCTTATTTCAAAACAGCAAATAAATATCTTTTTTATACTTTTTTTTATATTTTATGTATAAGTTAAATTACTATTTCTTGAAAACACTGTTCTTTTTATTGCCTACTTTTTAGGGTAAACTTAAAGGATAATTAATACCTAAAGGGAGGTTTGATTAGAACCGATATTTGTTAGTTGACTTCTAGAAGACGTAACTAAGTTAATGTTGATCTTTTAATTACAGCTCATAAAAGAGTTTTAAAAACCAAAATAATTAAAAGGATTTTAGTTAAAAAGATAATTTTGGACCCTTTATCTTTCCAAATTGCAATATACCCTAGTTAACTACACCCAACGGGCACAAATATGTAAAAAAAAAAAAGAAAACAAATAGAACCAGGAAAATAAGAATAAAAGCAGTGGCAATGTGTTGCGGTATTTTGTTCTTGCTTTTGCTGCTGTTTTCCGTTTCTGTTTTCATTGCGTCTCCTTGTGTTTGCTTGTTGTTTTCTGTTTTTTTGTTTGTTTCTTTTTTTTCTTTTTTTTGCAAACTTATTGGCAGACATGGTTTGTGTTTGTGCGTGACGTAGTGTACGGGAATGTGAATGTGCGGGTGTCTGCGAGTGTTTCGGGCTTTTGTGTTTGTGTGTGTGGCGGGATTGCGGTTGTTGTCTGTGGTGTGATGCGGTTTGTTGTTGTTTGTATTGAGACAAGTGTGAATTGTTTTCCTTTCTTGTTGTTTTTGTTGTTGTGGGTGTTGCTTGTGCGTGCCGAGAAACAACAAGAGCAACAAAAGCAGAATGTTTGGCTGTTGCTGCCATGATTTTTTGATTCCTTTTGGCGAGGGTTGCCTGTGCGTTAACGTGCGAGTGTGTGTCGTTTGTGTGTAAGTGGGGGAAATTTTCACACTTTCACTCTTTGGTGCGTGTGTTGCTCGTTTAACAGGTTTTTAAAGGGTTAAGGGTTACAACTTTCACCACCCCCATTTTGTTTTTCCCACTCCCTACACGTTTTTCCGCCTTTTTCATTAGGCAACTAATTTGGGATTTTTTTTAATTAAGGTAAACCTGTTCTAAATGCGCTCTAAATTCCAGAAAAAAGACCCCGTGCCACACGAATTTAATGTGGTGTATGTGTGTCCCCAAAAGGCGACAAAACGTTGCACAAAAGCTAAATATTTGATGTGTGCGTTAGAATTATACAAACATACATATGTGCGCCTGCATGTACGTAGGTACAATATATTACATACATACATGTCTAAATTCCTGTATATAACCATCATATACGGCAAGTACAGTTATATTGGTATGTTCCCGCATACATATGTATAATTTAAAATTATAATCAATGCCCCATATGTGCGCCTGCTTTTATACGTATGTGTGCGCGTAAATTGTGCGAAGCCGAGACATTGTACCTGCCCAAGCCCCATCCCCTTACTCGCCCAACTACCCACATCTCCCCACCGCAACCGTTTCTCATTCTCCCATCTACTAAGCTGTCCTTTACACACACACAGAGGGCCACAAAGTTGGGCAAAAGCGAGTGCACTTGTGTGGGTGAGCTGACTGCATGCGCACTTAGTAGCCTTCAACGCTGCCGCTGGGCGACACACACACATCCACAGCCTCACTTACAGTTCAACTTCTGTAACTACAAACTTCGAAAAGTATTTTCAGCTCTTCAAGAAAGTCTTCGCTCGTTCATAAACATTCTTTAAAATTATATATAATTTCAAGTTCTAGAAAAATAACTACTCTAATTCCATCATAAACTTATATATCGTTATATGACGTTTTTCTGTTTATTTTGGCGCTGAACTTCCTCAAAAGCAGAACCTTAACATTGACATTTAGGAGTTTTTAATGCAAATTCGAAAGTTATTTTGAATTTCAAAATAAAGGTATAGCTTTTTAGGGAAATAGTCTATAGTTGGAAATATACATATTACTCTTTGATAATGTACCAGGTAAATATGTTTACTTATGAAGCTTATATCAATTGTGGTTTTACGCACGCTCTACTGTACTAATGGTCGCTCCGATAGAGACATGTATAAAATGTGTTGATAAAATACAGACACACACATACATACAGCGAAATTGAGAGAGTCGGAAAAGGACATGCCCAAGTAGCTAGCGGACAGTCCAACGTCTCCCCATTTCCCTTGAACCATTTTGCACCAACCCCCTCCAAGTAACTTGATGATTGTATGTATGAAAGCAAGGAGTGGAAGCCAAAGAATCCAAGGGAGATGAAGAAGAAGACGAAGGACGAGCAGAAGAAGTAGATGGAGGAGGTAGTGGGGGACGATATACAATTACTCAATAGCAAGCTTTTGGGGGTTGCCTAACACCCACATCTCAACCTCACAGACACATAACTACACACACTTTGGTAGTTCAGCCTTCAAGTAAGTTTTGAATTAAGGAAGAAGAGAGGAAGAGAACTGGTAGAGAGAAAGTGGGAGCCAGGAGAGAGCAGCTACCGCAGAAACGAGAGAGCGCAACAATTTTGAGTTAGGGAGCCAAGTAGGTAAAAGAGAGCGTCTTAGAACTAAAATGTTGTAATAGCGGGGGGGTTTTTTGGATTCCTTTCTGTTTCGCTTCCTTCGTAATTTCCCCCCAGTAGTAGTTGTTGTTTTTGCTTTTGTTGTATTATGCCATCAATGCCATTTTGTACATAGTTTTGGTTGAGTGTGTGTGTGAGTGAGTTTAAGAGAGGTGGAGGACGGGGGGGGTGCGATGGGTGGGCAACAAATCAAGATGTGACTCTGTCTGTGTGTGTGTGTGATAAAGCGGAGCGTAATGAGCGTGGTGAGTGTTTGGGGTTGACTGCCATAGTGTTGAAAAGGGCGCCAAACGTGTCTGCCAGTGTGTGTGTGTGTGTTCGTGCGGGTGGGGATTTAACCCCCCAAATGTATAGGTGTTTAGAACCCACACACATACATACATTGAGCACACATGATTACAGTTGTATGCTGAATTTGTGGTTGGCTGCAGCCGACGTCGACTTCGGCGCCGGCATCACTGCTCCTGTTATTACAATTTATAATGACATTTGTGTGAGTGGGGGGCAAACGGAATCCTAAATGCGTATGTGAGTGGATGGAAATGCGCCAGTGTGTGTGATATAGGATATAGATAGGGTGCATGTTTATATTATGAATATAGCATATCCCAATTTGTATGTACTATATACTTATATAGGAGGAGAGTGCACCTAAAAAGTATGACATTTTAATTTAGGGATACATAATTAATAGATTTTCTGATTTTTGTAAAACAAACTAATATTAATATCCACGAAAAATTAATTTCCAATTCATCTATTGTTTAGCCTAACACGATGGTTAAAATATAAAAGTTTTGCCCAAAAATATACTTCTTGTCTCTTAATCATCAAGGCTAAGTTAAATAGTATCTGTTAGATAAGAACTAATGATAAATTGACCTTTAATTCAGGCCTTTTATTGACTGTCTTATCAGTAGTTTGTTGTTATCGAATCAGATTATATTGACCTGAATTTTGTAACATTTATTAATATCTTTTACGTGCTTTAAAAGGTTTTAGATTAATAACATTTTCTTATAGAAAATATAACGAATTATTAAGAAAGAAGGCGTCTACTACTTATTTGGAAATTAGAAAATATTTTCCCAGAACTGAAAGCGCCTGATGTCCATGCATTCTAAAAGCGGAAGGGTAATATCCATGGCCACCCCTAATTACCCCCATCCAGCACTGTTCCCGACCATCATTACAAATAAATACGTAATAGGTACATATGTGCAAATATTTAAATTGCATATGGAAATGGGCAGCAAGCGGAGAGGACTGTAATATTCGCACACACTCAGGCAAGAGAAATTCGACTCGCTTACACCCCGAAAACCTCCTTGAAAGCCCAACCCTTTTTATTTTAGGAAGCGTAACTCACCTCGCAGAACTTAATAAAGTTCTCCACCACAATCGATTTGTCCGTCAGCGTCATCTGGCCCGTGAATCTGACTCCCAGTTGCTTCAGCGTATCCTTTTTCTTTGAGGGCAGCTTGTTCATATGCTGGAAGATGCCCTCCTCCACTTTATGCGATGGATGCACCTCAAAGTTCTCCTTGATCACAAAACTTCCGAGGAGTTTTGGGGCATGCGAGGATGAGGAAGCTGTGGAAGAGGAACAACTGGCGCCGGTTAGCAAGCCACCAAACTCCCCCGCACTTCCACAGGCAGCTCCTTCGGATGAGGTGTTCGAATTGGAGGCATTAAGGTGCGAATTGGGAAATGCTAGCATCTCCAACGAGGATTCATTCGAATTCGAGGATCCATTTGAGGCCATGTGCTGCAGATCAAAGATCGTCTGCTTTGAATCGTGATCAAAAACATCCAAAGCGGAAGTGCTGGTATCCACCAGACTATTGGAAGCTCGCGAAACGGAAGACAATAATGCCGCCACTTTGCGGGAGGCCGAGCGAGATTTCTGCGAGGTGCTGGTATCCAAATCGATTAGACCACTGGCCACGGGAGATTGGGCAGGCGGTGGTGGTGTGGTACCTGCGGGGATTCCCGGTTTTCCATTTCCCGTCTTTTCCGGGCAGGAGCTAGTTTCGCTGGCGCTGCTCGCTGTACTGGGTGTAAAATCCGTGGAGTGACGCAGATACTTAATAAACTCAAAGGATCCATCAAAATGCTGGGGCACAGAACCAGGAGCAGAGGCGGTGCCTTGATGACCATTGGGCGTGGCCACCGCTGTGGGCCAACGATTGCTCGGAGGGGTGGCGGTAAGGGGGGTTGATCCTGCTGCTCCTGCGCCAGGATTCGACGTCGGCGCTGCTGCTACGCTGGCTTCGATGTTAGCAGAGGCTGAGGCAGCGCCAGAAGCATAGTGTGCGGGATTAACAGAGCTACCTGAGTTGACGGAGGATGTGCTTTCCCGCTGCGACGTCGTCGTTACCTCGTAATTGGGAAAATCCGTTGCTGATGCTGCTGCGCTGCCATTGGGTAAATGTGTGTGGGAATACTGCTGATGTTGTTGTTGTTGCTGCTGCTGCTGCTGTTGCGTCGGCGCGCCTGCCCCGCAGCCAAACACTTGAAATTCTTCGAAATTGGTACATTTCAGCTCGCCATTGCTCAAGTACTTGGAAAACTCTGAAGGATCGTTGAGCGAATTGAGGAAGAAGGAGCTAAAGTTGCTCGATATGCAGGACATTTTGTTTAATTGTTTTTATATATATATAGTTTTGAGTAATACTGTACGTTTTAATTTATTTAAAGCTTAAAATGGCACATGCGATATTTCGAAATTTTCTCTCGTTTTTCTCGTTTTGCCGCTGCTTCTGCGGTTCATATTTTATTACAATTTTCCACACACTCGCAGCGAGGGAAAACACATGTGTATATGTGTGTGGGCCTCTCCCGCTAGTGTGTATGTATGTACGTAAAAATTTTTCTTATTATAGCAAAGTGTAATTTATTATTCTTATTGCTCGCTCGCGCACTGCCTTTCGCTCCTTGAAAAAAGGCCTTTTCCACCGTATGTGGTCGCTTCTAGTTGTTGTTTTTGTAGCCGCTCATACACGTACATATACACATGAATCAAAGAGCCTGGAAATAGGCGCTTTTTGAAACTGGTCTGGTCTCTTTTGGGCCTGTCTTTTTGCCTATTTTATTATTATTATTATTACTTGGCCTTTTTGCACTATTTTCACTTCCTTTTTGGGCCTTACGTTCGCGCCCACTTACACACAGACAGGCGGTATGCTCACAGCCTCATACACATATAAAATACACAACATACACATATACTTAGAGCGAGGCGCGGTCGGCAGCGGCGTTGCTTTTTCCGTCTTCCTCTGTTTTATATTTTCGTTTTTCTCGCTCGCCTTTTCTTTACTTTCAAAACAAATGCCGCTAGTGCTTCTGCTTCCATACGGGAAAACGGAAAATCTTATCGTTGCTACTGATGTTGTTACAGTTGTTGCAGAGCGTTTTCACCGCCGCGAGAAAACACGACATTGCCGCAACGCACACGAAAGAAAAATGAGCGAAAAGCATGCAAGCGAGCGCTGCGACAGCGAATTATTCTCTCTCGCTGCCTCTGCCGGCGTCGCTGCTCTCTTTAGCTGTCTCTCTCTCTATTTAGAGTGTTTATGGGACGTCCTTTCGGTCAACTTATTTCGTAAGCACCTGTGTTTTAAGTCGCATGTATTTAAGAAGTATTAACATATTCATAATTTACGAATTAGGCTTCTATTTAAAATTAATTTTAATAAAATATTTAGTTATTAAGGTAATATATTTAGTTAGTTTTACTCCATTGGGCCTGTACTTTTGTAGGTAAAAGTTGATAATCACGAACTGTCTCGCATAAACACGGCTTTTCTCGTTCTCTCTCTCGTTTTCCTACTTGTGTGAGTGTAAACAGTTGTAGGTGTTTGTTGTTGTTGTTTCTGCGCTAGGAATCGTGTATTTCTTCCTGCGCCATGCTAACCCTTTCCATATAAACCTGATTTAATCTTTGATTATTGTGCTCTCGCTGGGGATTATGGCTGCAGCCGTTGTTGCTGTCTTTGCTATTTTTGAAAATTCCACTAAATTATCCGTTGTGCTTCCCGCTCTCTCTTTCTCGCTTCTGTACTTGTTGTTATTGTGCGTTTCGGGCAGGTAAAACAGTTCATTTGCCTAGGGTTGCCACACCGTTGAGCATTTCACAGGACCACCTGGAATGCGCATAAATGTTAAGTTATATTGCCGTTTTTACAGTTCTTCCAGGTTTTAATGACTTTTTCGGGTCGTAAATCTCTTGACAGGTAGTGATCTTCTCAAGGCCACATCTGTGATTGAGGATGGCAACTCTGGCGGTCAGGAGACTTTTAAATTTCCATCGGAAATTTTTATCCAAAAGATTTTAAGTCGTTTTGTTTGAATAAATAAATATGTTAACACATGTATGTACGTACATACATACATACATATGTATGTATTATTATTGCCTCGGCAGACACTGTTAATTATAAAAATAACAGCGGCCGCAAGGAAGTCATCAATTCAAAAAGCTGTCTCTGCATTATTGTTATTCTAATTACCTCTTACATTGCGCATGTTTTTGGCACAATTTCGTTTTTAAATTTAAAGCAATTTGAAGGCAGCTTGTAATACATAACATGGCAGCGCACATGCGAATGTATGTACATATGTGAGTAATTTTTCAATTAATTTTAATTATAAACTTAATTAGGAAATCAATGAGCGACGCGAACGGAACGAATCATACATACACGCATACATTCTACCGCTGTGCAAGGGAGATAGCAAACATCCGATTCCATACATACAGCAAAAACAATGACAATACCAACAATTGCCATCAAGTGCGCTGCGCATGCAACATAAAATCTGCCGCTCAACGCTAGTGGAGCTCTATAACCGAACAAGCCCCCAAAAGCGAACACGCTGAAAAGTCGGAATCAACTGAGCCGTAGGGAAAACAAAAACACGAACGAGGAGAACAAAGGCGCCAACAAGCAAAAGGTTGCCAGATAATTTTTACCGCAAAGCTTTTATTCTTACATTTCGGGTAGCTAGTTCTACCATATTTGAAACTGTAAAAGCTTGTATAATTTACATCTAGCTTAAAACTTGAAATATAGTTTATTTTAATATTCATCTAGTATATTCCAGGTTTAAATGTTTTTTCGACAAATTTTTCGGAGATACTTATTTTTTGTCGATGGTTATGTAAATTGTATTATATCGTGAATTTATTTCTAATCGATAGCGTCATCGAAGATCGGACTAATGGCTTTAGTTATACCACCAATCATATGAAGTGTAGAAAAACTTTTTTTTAATTTAAGCTTATTCTAGCTAACTTTTTTTAAAAATCTAGCTTATACGGCGCTCATCACCTGACAACACTGACCAGGGTTTGCATGTACTACTCTATAGCAGCGAGATTCTTAAAAATATTGTTCTGCTCTTGCTACCGCTCTCACTTTGACGGGAGCCGGAGAAGAACCGTAGCTCAAAAACGAAAAATTATGTATCTGCTCTGCTCTGCTTGGAGCTTCGATAAGTTTCGAGCTATTACAGCTGGAAAACAATGGATGGTACTATCGATACGTCTATTGTATATAGCTCATAACTAGTGCTGTAATCATTTATTTTTTTTGTGAATCGATTCTTTTTGATTCAATTCTGGAAAATATCGATTAAATCGATTGGAATCGAAAACGAAAAAATTTAAAAACAAAATAAAAAAGGCATATTATGCTTAAAACGTGGGAAGGAAGGCTCATCAAAAACGATCGATCAAATCGATTTTAAAATCGAGTTGTGTACAATTCTACTCGAAACTTGTCGAAGCTCCGAGCAGAGCAGAGCAGATCATTTTTCGTTTTTCTGCTAGGGCTCTGCTCCGGGTCTAGTCAAAATGAGAGCGGTAGCAATGGCAAAACAAAATACTACGGGAGTAGCGTAGCTTTTCAAACGCTGGTTAAAGGCATTTGCGGGGGCACAAATGGTTGCCTCAATTGTGTGACAACGAGATACAAATGCACAGAATTTTATCTCTTGCCTCAATTCGGCAGAAGCTGCCGAGCAAACAGCACGCCAAATCTATTCAAAGTGCACGTAATTTCTAATTGAGTGTCAAGTTTAAAGATGATCAAAATGAAAATATTTTTATTTGTATCTTTGCTGCAGTCAATTTTTTTGATTGGCTCCCTGGAAGGTGAGCGTATGAACTATTAAAACGAATATATTACGTATAAACACGGTTAATTGAACCTAATTTATTTATAATAATTGAACTTATCATTCGGCTTAGGACACATCGTTTTTAGAATTTGATTTCTGATTTTAATTTACATTTTATTTAGGGGTTTAGTGAAAATGAAATCCCACCCAAAAGTAATCGCCTTTGAATCTGCAATTAGAATCCCATTTTTTCTAGCTGGTTGTCCTGTATACCTCACCATTTCACTGACTGGCAAGACCCTGCAGGACACATTTCTCGAGATTAATTGGGGTCCCAACTGCTATGGGCCGCCCCAGTGGGTGGGCATCTACAGCCAGGATCCAACCATTTCTAACTTCGAACCTGATCTACGTATTAATGGCATTGCCAATAGAACGGGCAAGATGATAACGTCCATAAAGTTGGGAAAACTTAATTTTCCTGGTGGCTGGAATAAGCAGGATGGTAATGAACAGCCTCCTTCGCAATATCCCAAAGGCAAGTGCTTGCCACATTATGTAGCCAGTTACAATGGCACTGAGCTGCTTACTATGGATTGCCTTAAAATCCAACCCAACTGGATGGCCAAGATTAAGGACGTCAATCAGATGCCACTGAAGAATATCTTGCTGCCTGGGACACATGCCTCGGGTGCCTTTATGGGAAGCTCCAGTAAATCAAATTCCATATTGGTCAGGGATTATTTGGTGGCCCAGCAATTCGATGTTTGGACTCAGTTGGTCTTTGGCATTCGTTATTTGGATTTTAGCATAGGGTGAGTAATATAATAATATTAGTATATATTTCCAATTTGTACTCATTTAACCACCAGCTACAAGAACATGAACACTGCGAATGAGGCGGATAATTTCTGGATAGCTAACGAGAACATGCTCATAACCCCACTAGTTGGAATTCTTCGTGATGTTCGTCACTTTATCAAGCGATCTGGGGAGATGATTGTGCTAGACTTTAGTAGCTTTCCCATTGGATTCTACAAGCATCCGGAAATCTACAGTTCACTCTTCCGTATTCTTCGACAGGAACTTGGCGATGAGGCTTATCGACGTAATGTTAGCAACGAGGAGCACTGTGCTAATCGTAATTTTCGAGATCTACTGCAGCAGGACAAACACCTGATGATACTGTTTCCCTCCCAGGAATTGCCATATCCAGAGAATGGTGAGCTGGCATGTTAATAGATATATAAAAAGTAACTAGTATCTAGGTTAGAGAATGTATTCCATAGAAGATTTATAGATAACTATTTTTAAACAACATTATCAATAAGGTAAGTGATCCATTAAGTATCTTACAATTACTCTAGTAAATTGTGTATAATATTCTCTATTTTAATATATTATTTTTTATCCCTACCAGAATCAAATCTGATCTGCCAACCATGGCGTCGCTTCAGCACTAGTTTCATGAACATTTCCCAGACCTTGGACTACATGCGTCTGCTGTTTAGCAAGAAGCCGGATTCGCCGGTTCGGGATGATGGCTGGATATTCACAGCTGTAAGGAGCATGGAGCAGACATTGAACACACATCAATTGCAAACTGCCAAGGAGAGAGCAGCGGTCCTTAATCCCAAAGTTAATCAGTGGCTAAATGGACCCTGGGGCAATAATGCCAATGTCGTCGCCATGGACTATTTCAGCAATACCAATATTGTGGATCTGGCTATACACGTAAATGCCCAAAAGGCATTTATCATGGCCAACAAGGATTTTGTAAACTTGAATATATTGAATTTATATTGAAAAATAATAATAATAAAAAATTAATAATTCAAATATTTTATTTGAATAGTACGCATTTAAAGAGTAAATTATGAATTTATTCCTTTATTGTTAACCATATTTTTTAAATTTATTTATTCAACTAATTCTTTTAAGAATTTTTTGCAAAAAGTTACTAACCACTTTAAACCGAACGAAAATTCACTTAGTGAAGTAATTAACAGTTTCTTAGTCTGTTCACAAACTAGTAGGCCCAAAATATAGTATGAACATAAGCCAATGCCAGAACCAAATAACATGAACACCAGGTCTAAACGCAAGTGAATAACCGAACCGGCAAAGCTAAAGCCAATAGTGTCACCGCATTTGGGTTTTGGTTTGAGGTACCACGAAGCAATGCGCCGTGCCCATCACTGATTTCTCTTTTATATGCAAGGACAGCCTGCTCTCAATGCCGAAAATTAGGCTCATTCTAGAATCACATTAAAGAAAAAATAAAAAACCAAGTCCGGCCTTATCTCAAAGAAAAGACCGAGGACATTTTAACCATAGATCACCTCCTGGTCACCTGCAGTCGACCACAGAGAAATATATCTTCATTATGATTTAATTAAACCAAAACTAACAAGTTTGGCAACAATTATATTCCTTAGTATATTATAGTATCTTATAATATATTCAATTTTGTTAAATAAACATAAACCAAGTTCACAAACTATGTCTATTAATAATAAAAATAATTAATACACTTAATGTTTAATAATAATCCAACCCGGTGGTAAGTTAACACTGTTAACCTTTAAATTTACTTTTTTGTTTGGCGTCCAACGTATTGATATACTGCTTGACGAAATGGCACTGACTCAGCAATAAGGCGTGCTGTTCCCAGGGATCGTCGTTGGCGTCCCAACCATGGAAACATCCGCCGCAACTGAAGCAACGGACGCGATCTTGACGGCCCGTATAGAAGAAACCCGCCATGGCCAGCTGGCGGGGCTTTTGCTTTAGGTTTCTTGGCCACCCTTTGAAGGTGCGCAGGCGCGACGATTTTAAGGCATACTCGGGATACTCATGAGACTCGGAAAAATAATTGCAACTTGCGGTTGGTGCACTATACGTTTCCGGCTGGACATCCGCATTCGCCTTGGGGGCAGGCAATACTCGGTTGGCGATGAAGTTGTCGTAGCTGATAGGCGGCAGGACGCGATCCAATGCTTCGTCATTGATCGGTACATTGTTGGTTGTGCGTCGGCACAACAGCGGGCAATTAGGCGACCATCGTTGATGTTCCTGCACAGGTTGATCCTCCGGCTCCCACCGTCCGATTTCCACACCGCAACAAAAACACTTTACTATGTCGTGAACTTGTGTATAATATAGGCCAGTCTGGGCCAGTTTATGTTTATCTAACCACTCCAGTGGCCAGTTCTCAAAGGTCTTAAGGCGCAATTCCTCCTCGTTCATATTGTAGATGTTGCAGGTATTAATTTTAATCGGTCGTGTTTGTTTTGTTATCCAGCTGATCTTGTACTATAAAGCTGGGAAAAAGTCGATTCAAGCATCGATATTATCGATTTTTGGTGCAAGCATCGATTCTCGTTTTTGGAATAGATGTTTGACTGCAGGCAATTGAAATATAATTACCAACTTATATTTTTTAACGCTTACTGAAAAGTTTTCAAGTGTTAGGAATAAAATGTAATTTTAAATAAATTTGAGCATTAGCCAATGCCAGAACCAAAACCTTTATAAATAAGTTATAAAAATATTTAATAACCGAACCATGAAAGCATCATGCTAATAATTTTTTCGAAACCCGTTTTTTTTATCCAATAAACTAACCATATGTAAGCTGTTTATTTTGCATTTATAGAGAATTGTTTAATTTTTAACGTTTTGTAATGTATTGGTTGAAAAGTAGCCGAGTCGATGTAACAACAGATGTCGCCACACGGCCTCAAATTCCGTTTTTAATTCTATTGAATTTGGTTAACAGAGTAACGGGTATCTGACACTCGCGTCACTCAGATATACATACATAACATTTTTTGGTTTAATTTAAATTCATCAAATTTATTTGAGTGTGGATAGTAGTTTCCCACACAAGTTGAAGGCAATTTGAAAAGGGGCCTTCGCCAGCTAATTGAAAACCTCACGCAATCTAAGGTCAATAAGAATCTAGATCACTTATTTGCATAATATAGACTGTCAAATGCCATTCCAGTTATGAAGTGTAATATTTGCAGCTTACTAGCAAATTACTATTTCACTTACTGTGACATTTTTTTACCAGTTCTCAGAACTGATGACTCAGGTAAATGTTTCATTCATTCAGGTATTTCGTAAAAATAAATTTCAATGAGGCTGCTATCTAGGCACGTGTGCAGTTGGATTGCAAATCCATATGCATATAGGGTGAGGCAAACAATAACTTGTACTTTCCAGCTTACAGGGTATGCTGCATTTCTCACCTTGGCTAATCCGAAACCGGATCTCTCCGATCGCACTGAACTAATTGAAATGCACTGCAAGCTTATCTGATGAAGTTGAAAACGCTTGAATCCGAATCTGAACTCCCAATAAAAAAAAGCTCAAAAGCCCCATCATCCGAAACCTGAAATTTGAGCATCCTTATAGCTTGATAAACGAAACAAAGAACCGAGATTTGTCACCGCAATGCAGTTTTAATTGCAGTTGAATGCACTTTGTTTAGGCGTGGGCAAATGATTAACTGCTCGCCCTTTATAAGTCCAACGACTGATAAGACAGTACAATCCGGATTATTTTAAACTGATAAATACCTGAACTGTTAAAACTTACAATGGCAATTTATATTTGCCGTATCTTTTATTAAAGCAATAGAATGGCTTAGCAATGGCGTTTTAAATTTTCTCTTTGTTGATATTTTAATCGTACAGACTTTTCGATGAAAGTTCTTTAATTTTTCTTATTTTTTTTAGTTCTGATATCATGCATAGCAGAATATGGATTTCTTAATAAATATGTGTCATAAAAATAATCTACAGCGAATAATGTTTAATTCCAGAAAGCCAATCCATCCGTATGTGTGCTCTTGAAATCCAATCAGCATTTGTAATTCCCCTTGATGATACTCTGTGCCTGGTTGTGAGCTCATCGACGCGGAACTGTCGTCGACGCTTTTCTGTAATTAATCCCTCACACACCCAATATGACAAACGACATTGGCTTTTCGTTAATATGTTAGTTTTATTATAAATAACGCATAAGTGCAGATCTAAACTAATATTATATTGGAGTCTTAACATATCTACCAGGCTACATGATCTTGCTAAAGACAACGGCCAGCTGCCAGGTTGCCCAACAGCTGGCCGTTTCAATCGCCGGCCGCCCCATTCTTTCTTACACTTTTGATTAACACATTTGATAATTAATTTTGTCATGTTTATATTTATCTTGTGGACTTTGGTCCACGTTATAGTTCTTAAGAAAAATATACACGCATCACATCGGTAAAGGGTTTCCGGCACAGCGGACATTTGGTCACGGAGGAGGCGCACTTGGCGCAGGCCACCACATGACCGCAGGGCAGGAATGCCGTATTGTACTCGGCACCGTAGCAGATCTTGCATAGTTTCTCTTCGGGTATGGAAGAGCTGTTGTTCGTTAACGGAACCGCCGCTGCTGTCTCCTGAATCTTGTCGAAGATGCGGGTGGCCGCCGTGGGAATCACAGACGGGGGCACATCCCCCGAACTGGTCGCCTCTGATCCTTCCTCTTCCGCTATCTGACCGCTGACAACATCGACTACTGCCGAACTCTCCTTCTCTTTGGCTGGCTCTGGTTTGGCGGCCACCGTATCGATATACAGTTGACCCTTTATCAGTTTGACGAAACGGCACTGATTTAGCCACAAGGCGTGCTGTTCCCAGGGCTCGTCGTTGTCGTCCCAATCCTTGAGACCACCACCGCAACTGAAGCAGCGGACGCGATCTCCAACGCCCGTATAAAAGAAACCCGCCTCGGCCAGCTGGTGGGGCTTTTGCTTTAGATTTCTTGGCCACGCCTCGAAGGTGCGCAGTCGCGCTGATTCCAAGGTATACTCGGGGTACTCGGGATAATAATTGCCAGCTCCGTGATAACACGATTCCGGCTGGACATCGCCATTGGCCTGGGTGGCTGTCGATGTACGGGTGGCGGTGGAGCTTATTGGCGGGGATGTTTCGGCAACAGTGGCTGCCGCACTCGCTGTATTGACGCCTATCGACTGGATCAACTGCGACCTTGGGATGCGTCCTTCTGCGTAGGCATTCTCTCTTAGCTCCACAGTCGTTGTCGAGTCGTTGGCACCGCAGATATCGTAGCTTATAGGCGGCAGGACGCGATCCAATGCTTCGCCATTGATCGGTACATTGCTGGTTGTGCGTCGGCGCAACAGCGGGCAATTGGGCGACCATCGTTGATGTTCTGGCACAGGTTGATCCTCCGGCTCCCACCGTCCGATTTCCACACCGCAAAAAAAACATTTTACTTTGTCGTCCTGTTGGGTAAAGTATAAGCCAGTCTGGGCCAGCTGATGTTTATCTAGCCAGTCCAGTGGCCAGTGTTCAAAGGTCTTTAGGCGCGCCTCCTCGTGGTTCATGTTGTAGATGTTGCAGATATTATTTTTAAATAGTCGCGTCGCGTTTGTGTTGTTATCCACCTGATCATTAACTAGATCGTAACCGCTAGGTCCATAAGACGGATGCTCAGATACTATAGAAACCATTTTGAGTTCAGCGTTTTGTTATATCCTCTAGATGGCTGATTCTTAAATGCTTCTCCGGTCGTTTCCCTCTGAATTCCAAACTGAAATTAAGTAAAGAAAGAAAAGGTCTATAAATATAAAGTCTTTATAGAACGTCCAGATAGGCGCTATCATATTGATAAAAGGAATCTCGTGGAAGGCTCATGAACAACTGGTTTACCTCCCCGACTTGAGTTTAAGCAATTAATGATAAGGTTGCGAGATAAGTTATCGTTTCACTGAGACTAAAAACAGTGGAACAACCACATAGTTTTAAAAACAAAAATATAATTAAGATTACAAAACTAAATTAACTTTTTTTTTACTTTTTTTTACGACTTATATTATGAAATACAAAAGGTATTATGAATTACAAAGGTAAGAACTTGAGTAATACCCTTTCCTGGAAAATAATATTAGTATTATTTAATCAGAAAGGCGAAACTTGTTTTGACATTTTTTCTTATCAACAAAATAGTAATAAAGTGAAACCAATCAATTTTTCCAGTATAAAATTTCCATAGAACATACATACGTAAACGAAATATAGACACTTCGCAAAACCTATTCTATGAGCACATTTAATCGTGGCGATTGTTTAATATACGAAGAATTTTAACTGGTTATCAATGTCCTTATCGATCTAAAAATTTGTTCAATCACTTTATAACTTTATTAATACCTTTGTTTTGATATCTAAAATATTTGTTCTTTTAACACGATAGACACTTTGGTCGCACATCTACGTTTTTCAGAATGTGTATGTACACTGCTAGGAAAAACTGAAACGCAGTTCAAGAAACTGGAGATGCAGCATCAACGAACTTTAAGAGCCCTTAGCTGATGGAAAACAGCAGTTGTCCCGCTCGCACTCGAGTCAAGGGTGGTTTTTCCTTTTCAAGGAAAACTCCCGAGTTGCAATCGAAAAAAATATACGTAGTTTATAGAGTACGCAATGTTACAACCGCTCGTTTTCGCAGTGCGCCGAATCTCAGTTAGCAAAAAACGAGTGCTTGTGTGGGTGGCTTTTTCGTGGAACAGTGGATGGTTGTGGTGGTGGTGGCGCCTGTCCATTGCCCGATAACGATTCTCGATCTGACTCATCAAGACCATAATTTCAATAAGAATTGCGAAAAGGCGTCTATGATTTGATTGCACCCTTAGAGTAAGATTATAAAAGCTTTTGTAGTTCCCAAGTAAATTTATCGGGTGTTGGCAATCGGAGTATTGAAATCATTGGTAATAAATCGATAACCAAAAAGTATGCAATAAAGAATCCTTGACCAAAAACATATTTTGTGAAAAGTTAAGAGATAAAATGTAAACTATTTTTTGACAGATGCCTCTGTCGATGTTTTCCTTTTCAATGAGGAAACAATACGCCAAAAACTTTTCTTTCTATCGATAACCTCTCTTTGGTGGCAATCGACTGTTGCCTGGGGACTTAAACTGCATCTGCGGTGGTCTCCTCAAAAGATATTGTACAGACGCTTTTCGACATTTACCCGCCTGGGCCACCAGCAAACAGCAAAAACTCAGCACGACCGCTGAGTTGGGCACCGTGTTCAAAGTCCAAATTTCAACCACAAACCAGCCAAACTCGCCAAACAATTGCAACGTATCGAGCGGTTTGGGGCTATGGTGGTGCTAGAGGGCAAGGGGGCCATCGGGCAGTGCCAGTGCACTGTGGAGCACTCCAAGCTAGCCGACTGTGAGAAAGTTTTAATGGAATGCAGTCAAACCACTTTGGCGACGGCGCACTCGTCGACTCCAGCACACCACCACCATGAAGGAGCTCGACTTGCAGCATAAAGCGCAGCATAAACTGCATATTGGAAGCCTTCTGGTGCAAGCGAGACAGCCATCTGATGCAAAGATGAAACCATCAATGGGAAAAACAACTAACCACAGGGAAAAACAGAGTGCAGCACAGAGCGCAGTGAGAAAGAAAAAAGTACACATAAAGTGCAGCAAAAACAAAAGCAATTGTAAATTACAAATGCGGACTTCTGGATCTGGGGATATATACGGAGGAGCTTCATGATGCTTTTGATCGGGGGATGCTATAGGTGGGGGTCTGTTTCTGTGCAGAGATTGCGCATTGTTTTTGAAGTGGAGCAGCCAGCTCGAGATGCTGTCTGCGATTGTAATTACAATTTGTCTACCCTGATATAGGGTATGGCAAATTTTCAGAATCTTAAACTCAATCCATTTAATTTACAGTGTAATGCTTTCAAGATAAATGCTCTTTTAATAAAAATTCCAAACCGATTAACAATTGTAATGAAAACCGACTATTGATATTTCCACCAGGGCTATCAGGAAATTCCGTAAAAAGTTCAAAAGCCAGACAATTGCATTTACTGAATTATGCAGGGTACTTTAGCACTTACCAGTGTCGTTCAAAATACAACAAACTCGCTGAACTTTAAAATGAATTTTAATCAAATTTAAGTTAACTTTTGCGATGAAAACAGGAAACTACTATAATATATACTATGTACGCGATGGATAAACCGTGAGTAGCGCCTTCACCCAACACCAACCGAAGACCGACTGAAAAGACAAGGCCTCCTGGGCGGCACATGAATGGCATGGAAGCACAACAACAACGCTCGGTCCCACAAAACCAGAAGAAAATACCTCGCCGCTGCAAAGAAAATCATAATCAAAGGCCAAAGCAAAAGGCTAGGCCCAGGAGGCAAGGCAAGGCAACAAACAGAAAACAGAAGAACAAACGAACACGAAAGACAAGACCAAAAACGAACCTACAATGGAATGCTGTCAGGCAACTTTTCTACAAAACTTCGCCACATAAAAATCAAACTGGAGTTGGAGTTGGATTGGAGCTGAGTTGGAGCTACCTTTCGGGTTTTCTGATTGGAATAAGCAAGCCAGCAAGCAGCCAGCCAGCCAGCCAACCAGCCAAGCCAGGCCAGTTCATTCCGTTCCCAGTCTGTAAGTAGTAAAGCTGGGCAGAAGTGATTGGAGTTTTTATGTTGCTATTATCGTTGGAGTAAGTGAAGGTAACCGCAGAGGTCCAAAGCCGTGGTAAAGGTCTGTGTTCTGTAACTACAGACGAGGGCAAAATAAGAGAACGAGTAGTTAACTTTAAGAATTAACATTTTTTTAGTTGGTAAATAGTTCAAATATAAAATGGAGAATCCTGGAATATTATCTTGAATATTTCTAATCATGTTCCGTTACAGTAAAACCCCAATTATAATTATTAAACCTAAAAAAATTTTTTTAATTTTAATTTTCAATTATAAGTAAATATTATTTGAAAGGGAATAGATTTACTTGCTTACTGATATAATAAGTTTATTAAACCAATTTTAAAACTATGCTAATGACCACAGCTGTTTTGATTGTACCTTGGGAGCCCCGGAGACATGAGCTCGACTGTGGGAAACTATTATAAACACTTTACCATTCTTTTTGTTGTTGTCTTCGTTAAAAAAAAAGCAGAGATTGGAATGCTGTGATACCAGATATGACAACAACAACAAAAACAACACCAAGCTAGGGTTAAAAGAGGAGATCGCAGAACGAGAGAGAAGGTACCCCTGCTCCTTTTGCATGAGTCGTCATCGTGCTCAAGATGAAGAGGAAGAATTCGAAGTGGAAGAATCCGAAGACGAAGATGAGGAAGAGGCATATACGGGAGGATGCAGAAAAATAAATAAATGCAACACACACAAAGAACATTCCTCCATGATTCTTTATGTGCGTATGTACGTGCATACGTATGTATGTACGTGCGTACGTATATATGTACTATATGAAAATGTGTGCGTGCGTGCTGTGGCCTTCCAAGAAATGCAGCAACAAAACGACCGCCGACGTCGATAATACGAGAAGAAAACAGAGATGAAACAACAACAACAACAATTCTGGGATGCTGGCCAACAAAGGGCAATATTGTAATCATAATAAATGCGCCCCGATCCGAGCTGCTAAAGAATGCATTAAGATCGGCTCGAACCCATACCATATACATATTTCCCTCTCTTTCTTCTCTTCCCAAGCTATTCTCCTCTCCTCTTTCCTATTGAACATTGATCGATTGTCCAAAAAACTAACGGCGGCGTGGTTCAAAGCCATAGAACCTCCGACGCCGCCGCCAGCGTTTTTCCTAGAAAAACCAACCAGGAAAAAGAATTTTCTCAAACCCAAAGTCAAGTCGTGTGCGATAGAGATGGCAAGACATTTATCATAGCAGCATCTCTATGGGACTTGGAATGTGGGTACGATCTCAGGGAAAAGTGAGATGAAGATCAGGGGAGGAGAGATGCCTCGTTAGTGGAAATAATGGCTGAAAGGTCGTTTTTCACGCGGCGCAGGCTCAAAGGTCGTGGGGGCGACGAGATGATTCAGCTTGGCATCCAGCAACGTTCATCGAGAATTCTGGGAATTCCGAAATATAATTTTCTTCATCTTATGCCTAGTCTGGTTCGGGATCGTCTTCTGCATCTCCATCTCCTCTTTCAAGGGCCGCCTTGGTCCATTTCCATTCATGTACTGATTGCAGTCGCGTCTGCTGCCGATAACGAATGGAACTCAGTAGAGGACAGGACAGACAATAGGCTCTATTCTCATTTCGGGAAAATTCTACTCCCAGCATTTACGTGAGAACTGTTTGTTGTTTATTAAGCACCTTATCTATCGTTTTATAAACGAATTGTCTCGACTGGACTCGAAACTCGATTCGTGGGAGTGGAAAATGTGGGCGCAGGGACCACCGTCGATGGTGTGTGGGTGCGGCGAAGATAATGGATAAAGTTGTGGCAACGTAGCCAGCGAAAAATACGGGCCATAACCCAGATACCCTATAAGGAATATCCTTAAGAGTATTAATAAATTAAGTCTTTATATTACGATTAATACGGTTCCGTAATTTCAAAGATAAAAATAATATTGAATAACAAGTTTAATTCAGTATTTTTATAGTTATTTTATAGTTATCTATAATATAGTTGTTATTTTTGCAGAATGTTCCGATAATTGAGTTTGAGCTATGGAAGTTAAACTGTATTCAGCTGTAAATTGAAGCTCGGCTCCGTGGAGTTGAGAAAATGAGAGACTGGCGAGACTTTCTCTTTGTTTGGCAGCGCAAAAGTTCAAAGCAATGAAGCATAAAAAGCGGCACAGTGCGCAAAAAATAAACTGCACTCGGCGCGAATAAAGAGCATAGTGAAAATCGGCAACAGCTCAAACGGTTTTTTGTTTTTGAGCTCGTCTCTGTGGCAATGGTTTCTCAACATTTTACCATTATACTTGGACTCTTTTTCTCTCCATTTCTGTAGAGTGGAAAACACGCATGAGTGCACCACTTCCGTTGGCGGATGTGTCAGACAAAGAGCTAATGCCCCATAGACCGGAATCGGTGGTGGTGGTGGGTTGGTACGGATTATGGGACTCAGTGTGTGCGTAAAAGAGGAAGTGCCTTACACATAGTGTAATCGTATATCGTATGGAGTAAAGTACATATGTGTATATACCCAGAGAACTGACGCGTCATCTGTTTATTCAGATGCACGGAAGAAATGCTTTAGCTGTATAGCCCATGTAAATTGGAAAAATCAAAATATATAAAAAGTATAGACTTTAGGAAGGTTTTTTTGAGTCATATTGTTTGTCCCAGTTTAATTAATTATAGACAACTTTAAGCCATCATATGACGATAAAAATAGGTCCCAATTGGTTTTCCGTGTCGAAACCAATTTAACTTATTTGGAACATGACGGAGTTCTCTACTAATGATTGGATGACACATAAAATGACCTTCGAATCTGCTAAAAACTGGGTAAACTGAAATATTTTAGATATTGCAGTCATCGCCGAATTTAAACAGTAGATGTATACAGTATATTGCGTAGTCCGAATTTCGGATGAATACAAAATTAATGGCATTGTATGGTACAATAACCGCCCCTTATTCTTCTCCATCTACATTATGCCCAATTGAGAATGTTGTTTTTAAAAAGAGTTGTGATGATCGAAGGGGAAGTGCGGGGAATGGAATTTTGTATGAAATCACTCGATGTGGAAAGAGGGTTACCATATGGCGGAAAGTTTCACATTTCGACAGCATGAACAGCAATGCAAATAATGATGTGTCATTTTAAGTTTTTTTTTAATAAAACAAAAAATGTTTGCAAAATTTGCTGTTTAAACAAAATTGATTAAATTTGTAAATAATTTAGAGTAAAACAACACTGCCCGTATTTAGCAACTCTACGGTCGCCATCTTTTCATGAAACAATCTCTCGCTGTAGTCGTCGGAGAGCGAGCGAGAAAGGGAGAACGAAACGGGAACACAAACAACGGCAGCACCAGCCGACGAAAATTAAGAAATCGATTTTAATTTATTTAACAAAATAAAAAGTGCCTTGACCGATGCTGAATATTAAGTTTTGTAATCCTATGTTTACTTTTTATCACTAACCAATATAGGCCTTAAAATGTAAACAACTTTTTGTTTACAATAAAATCGGATGCGACAAATTTGTCTTGTGGACACTTTTATGCTTGTATGCGCGGTTTTTTTCCCCAGATAATGTATTGTACATCTATGTATGTGTGCCTTTGAGTGTGTACGAGAGAAGCAAATAAAAATATAAGTTAACTTTTGGTGCTGCCGTCTGATGTCACGTTTCCATTACATGTTTTTGGGGTTAAATACGATTTCGGTTCACAAAATTGTACTCTATGGACTTCAGCTTACCTTGAAGGCTTTTCTCTTTTTCGTGAAAAACTCAAGTTTTCTTTATAATTTTCCTCTGCTTTGAGATTCGATTGTGCGCTTTCACAGTTACAATTGACTTTAACAAGCACACGTTCTCCGATATATTTTTAAGTTCTGTTGCCGTTGACTATTCCAAAGCCAACTATCACAATTGAGTCCGTAAATAATTTGTTTTTGTACTTTATTCTAGCTTTAAATGCATAAATTTTTATTTAGAGAGCAAACAGCTAATCCATCCCGTCTGTACGTGTTGAGTTGCGACTCCGAACTGAAACGACCTAACCAGACGAACAAACCCGAAGCCACTTTACGATAGCAGCTGCTCTGCCTGGCGGGAAAATAGCTAAAATATCTTTTTTTGGCTCGTTTTGGTTCCGTGTAATTCTTACTTCTTACTTTGAAAATATTTTATATATTTATTAATAAAGCTCAACTATATTTAGAGATACATTTTATAAAAAAAAAATAAAGAGAGGAACTTATAAAATTCCGAAATCTCGGTTCTGAGTCGTAAAAAAATCTCGACCAAACAAATTTTAAAGCCTTCCCTATGTTTAAAATATTATTTAAAAACGCAACAAAGCTAATATTTGTGATTTTACTAAATTTTTTTTTTTTTTTTTAACTTTATCTAACCAATTTTGTATGGTCATTCATCAACACTGCCAGTATCTGAAAGGACATGCATATGAGCGTGAACGAGAGGGAGAGTTTTGAATGCAGTTGCTCATTCAGCCTATACCATGCTGTAATTTTGGAAAAACCTTCACGACCTGTAAATTTCCTTGGTTGGCTTTATATAAAACCAAAAAGTATATTATATTTTAAAAGTTAATTATTTATCTGAGTAATAAGAATCGCATAGTGTTGTTGTACTACGACTAGTATTAGTACGCAAGCCGTAATAACCGTAAAAAAGTTGGCGTTATGGTTATCTCTATCGCACTCGTTAAAGCAGACCAGGATCATTGATTTTTACACTACACAACGAGAGCGCAGAGCATGCGCCACAACATCAAAGTGGCGCGTGTCAATGCACTGCATTTTTTGGGCTCTCGTCTCAGTTTCTCTCTCGGTAGAAATGGTTCCTTCCAGACGCAGCGAGAGGGAAGGAGAGAGAGACAAAAGACAGCAGCTGCATTTTTATGTGTTTTCAGTGAAAACTTTTCACCCCGTTCCCTCACCATCTCACTCTCTCATTTACCTGTCTTGTCTTCCATAGGGCACCTGGAAATATCCTGACGTTTCTTATCACGAAAGGCAGAAGAATAAACTCGAAGATGCTCTCCTGCTCAAAAAATTTTTTTATCGGAATATTTTTAAACTTTATTCATTAGTTTTCCATTATTTTTTTAAGAAGAATTTAAAACTTTTGAGTAGGATCCTAATTTTACATATTTATTGAAAACTCCCCAAAAATTTTTTTTTTCCTTAGTAGAATTCGCTTACTCTTTTACAAATTACAAAATAGATACCTACATACGTAGGTAAAACCAGAAATATATCTTGCTCTGATTTTTAATCTATTGCGGTGGTATCTTATCGTAATATTTTAGTGTCACGCTTTCTAAGCATACATATATGTATTTTTGTCGGATAATATTTTGTTTCAAAAGTATAACAATGAACAAGATTGTTCAAAAAAGGTTTAAAAATATAAATTCAAACTTTAAAAAACTTTAAAGAACTTTAAAAATATAAAATGAATCATTATTTTTAAGTCTGTTTTCAGTATCTAGTCTCTGGGGCATTTTTTCTTATCAATACTATAGTATTTCTAAGGAATTGTCTGTTTAGATGTCCTATGACACATTTCTATGAGCTAATAGAAAAGTTTTTATTTGTTAAACAAGGAAAATTTTATCGTTCAAGCGAAGATATTACAGTCGTTTGTAAAACAAATAGAGTTGTACTATGACAAGCTTTGTTTCTGCTTTCTAAGATAGCATTTTTACGCTTACGTGTATTTCCTAAATAAGTTCTATTTTAACAGATAAGAAAAGATTGTTAATCTAAGTCCTACATGCTTTTCTAATTAAGCACCCATGACTCGGCAGTCATATATATTTTAGTAATAATGGCGCAAAGGAAATTCCGACACGTTCGAGGACTGAAATACAAAAGATTGCCAAGTTTGAATCATTTTATGGAAAGTACTATGTCGACAGTGCGCGACGTGTGCATATGGCAACCGCCCGCAAACGGGTTGAACTTTTTGGATGTTATAAATACATGCTGCTAAATTTACCACGAAGATGTCGCGACGCATTTGAGAAATTTGCCTATAAATGCAGAGTCTAGACGACTTTGACATGTTGCAAGGCGACACTATCGCAGGCGGTCTTCTGGTAAAAATTAAATGAAAATGTGGCGGCGATATATAGTCTATTTACGGATGGATAATGCGGCAGAGTGCCTCTGGCAACTCAGTTTATTTAGCTGTTTCATAAGATCACTCCGCTGACCACACAGAGTTTGGATCTCAAGTCGCCGGACAAGTTTAAGCTTAAAATCCCTGGCTGAGAGCCGAACGGCCTTGCAAGGCCTTTTAAAGTTGTTGCACTCGCTCCGTTCTTGCCGCAGCTTGCTGCTGCTTATTGTGATTTTGATTGCTCACCCATACACTTTATTTTAAGAACAGTATATATTCGCTGCAGTGAAATGTAAATGTTAATAGTAACTTGATAACTGTATGTTGATTTATATTTAGATATTTATATTTTCTAGTTATGCCTTGAATGCACCATTTCAATAATATATTTTCACCATTCGATGTCTTTTTTAAAGTTATTATTAAAAACCTAAAAATTTTTTGTTATAGTTTCAGTACAAAAACAATAAAAAAAAAAAAAATAAAAGTATACTTTTAGACATTTTTCATTTCAGATATAAAATCTGCATAAATATTGTGATATTTACAATTTTACAATTCTCAATTTGTATTATCCACAAGATCAAATGATGGACGTTCTACTGTAATTTACTTACTAGCTTTTGCTTAGTTTGTCTGTGGTTTGTTAATTGACAGCCAAATGGAGCCAGCGGCCTGAAAACCTGTTTTGCCTTTTTTTCATTCTCTTCTTTTGCGCGGCAATTGGCAAAAGGTGTCATAACAACGAGTTGGGCACGATTCGATCGGATTGCCTATTACCTATTACAACATGTGCTGGCGTTGCCTGTCGGTCCCTTTTCAGCCACCATATAATTACCTGCCACAATCAGGGCTAGAAACCAAAAACGGGATCGACAATTGCGGACGTGTGCCGGCAGCTGCAAGCGAGCCATTCCACAATAAACCGATCAGAGGATCTCCCAAAAACAGAACCAGCAACATCTGCTCCTCGGGCAGGCCCTTATCCTTATTGTGTTTGTTTCCAGTGAAAGGATCGCACGGCACATGACGTTGCCAGCTGCCGTTGATCCTTTGTCAGGATCTTTTGGGGATGTGTGGAAGAATCCAATAATGAGTCTACTGAACTGAGGTATCCTGCGGATATGTTTATTTCAAATGCAGGATCTATACTTATGTACATATATCCAAAGCAATTAATTTGAATCAAAAGATGTCTTTGCTAAATGTGTAGATGACCGAATGGAGCTTAAGTCATAAATTCCATCGACAATGCATCACAGACTTTAAAACACGTTTCTACGATTGGCAAACAGATTTATTATGAATCCCCAAATGGAAAGTCGTTTATTTTAACTGACAAATCATTTTGTCCCTGACTTTCTAATCGCTTAAATAAATGAAAATGTTTTTTTTTTTAATAAAATAAAGTATGAAGCCTAACTATGCTTGCTAACTTTGTACGCCATAGAAAAAAAAAACAAAATCTAAAAGGGTCTACGGAGGAAAACTTAATAAAATATAAGTTTTTACTGAAAAAAGTCAAGGGGCGCCTATCTTTTTATATAAAAAAAAACTCATCAAAACAATCATATAACTTGTAAACGTGTTTTATAAAGTTCTTCTACTATAAAACTTGTACTACTTGCCTTGAAGTTACATAATGGGTATTACATAACCAGAAATTTGGTTAACACTTATGCATATAACCGCTTCTGGGCGTATCTCTTATTTATACAATTTATTATAAGTCAGGGGGACCCCAACTTATCAGTAGACTTCATTTTTAAATGAAAATCATTTTTATTACTAATAAATATCAAACATTGAAGCTAGCCAGCCAGTCACAATTACTAGGTAAAGATTAAAAGTAGAATGTTATGACAATTGTTTAAAAAAAACATCTGGCTCACACTCAAGTTCTAATCGTTCAGATAGCCCTTGGCGCCATAAGAACCGGAAGTTGTTAGAAAAATTTAATTTTTATTTTATTTACTCAATGTTGGCGGTAACTAGTGAAGGGGGGAATCTAAGAAAATTAGTGAGGTAAGCAGTCGAGATTATAAGCGAAAAACACATCAATCTTTAAAACCTACGCTGTGATGTAAATGGAAATGACATTGAACAATAATTAAAAGTAGGAAAATTCTAGTATCGTTCTATGAGTGGGTGGGTGGGTTTATGGCGAAATAGGGTGGGGGTATTTTCATCATGAATGAAATGTAATGCGAATGAGTTGAGCGTCGGCAAAGTAGAAATAAAGCAATCTAGACTATATAAAAGATAATATCCCTATGTAACCCCATTTGTGTCAGAGTAGGATGGATAGATTTCAGGTGGGGTGGTTTGGGTGGTAGAGATAAAGAGAGGGATGCTTCTAGATTGCATACAGTTTTGAAATGACTGGATAATTCTAGAGAGGGATATAGAAATAGAGAGAGAGAGAGAGAGAGGTGTGTTTTGTGTGTGCATTTTTAAAGGAGTGATTATGTGTGTGTGAGGACATGAATGAAGAGAAACAAAACAAAAGTGTTGCAAGAAGAAATACAATAAAAGGAGTGCTAGACGGAGAAAGGGAGTCCGGCAGCGCCTATCTGTATGCTGTATATAAAATCACACCCTACGAGAGCCTTTTAAATTTTAATTCCAAAACAAATCAAATTACTTCATTTAGTACTAAAAAATAAAAAATAAAAAAAAACAAAAGAAAAAAACACTTACCGTTGACATTTTAATCCTAGATAACGTATCAATTTAACATTAGTTGTTTTCTTTTGTTTTTTTGACCTCGAAAGCGTATTTTGTTTACTTTATTTTTAAAGCCACACGATAAGATTGCAAAGTAAACGTTGAAGCTTTTTACTGTCCAAATTTTCAAGAATGCAAAGATAAAACTTATTTCACTCTAGATTGTGCACACACCGACCGGTGCCTTTGAGCTTTATGCAGCGACTACGCAAAAACTGTGTATTTCATAGAGTCGCCTAGCCTACTTTCCTATAGGTATTTGGTTGTACGTTCTCATTTGTTTTGTTTTGCTTCAATATCTATAGGGGAAGGGGAGGGTCGGGCGGACAGGGGAAAGAGAGAGAATCAGCGGGGCGGAACGGTCCAAATAGTTTTTGCCGCCCAAGCAATGCGCAATTATTTTAGAGGGTGGGTTATCTGTTCTCTCATTTTCTATCTATATTTCTCTCATTCAAATAAATTGAATTTCTCTATTTTTAGCTTTTGAAACTAATCAGTAATGTATTTTGTAATAGTTTACTTTAAACTTTGCGCTTTTTATTACTATCGTAAAACTATCGTTGTAAGCTGGGTGTAAAGGCATTAGGCCGGAAAAATATTGCATTCTGGTCGAAGCTGCCATCCTTGTATTAATAGGCAAAATTTACAAAATATTGTATATACAAAATAAAAATAAAAACAACTTTTCAACGCTTTAAGATAATAAACATTTTAAATTTCAAAGTAATGTTTGTAACGGTAACAAGTTGTTACTAACAACTGTAAGCCTTAGCCCTGGTTCTAAATAATTTCCCTTCTTAGGGTTACACAGTTCTCAAGATTCTATATCGATAGGCGGTAACGAAAAAAAGTTCAACGAGATCGATTCTATGTATCATTAGGTTCTGGTCTGCGATACTTCTATAGCAAGGCTACAAACCTTATAAAACTGTTATAACCTTTCTACACTTGTTATTAAGCAAAGTTTTAAAATTGTGATTAATATAAGTACTGTTGGTGAGGTAATCAATTGTAAAATTCTAGATTAGTAGAAGTGGATGTACCGTTTTTGTTTGTGTTCTTAAGTTCTTACTTCTGAAATTTTTAAAAATTCTAAAAACTCAGGAACTTGTTTCGAACTTTAAATATACCGCCCATATTTTATCGATTGAAATGTTCGATATCTTATAGAGCTTTTATAGATGGCGTGTTAAAATTTGTTTAAAAATGTTGTTAGACTTCGATGCGCTATCTTCAATTTTGTTTCAAGTCAAAGATAAAAATCCTATTGAAAGCCAACAAGTCATTCGAATCATATACATAGCAGCAATGCGTGCTTTTAAAATTATCGATATAAATAACAGAAATGTTAATCAACATGCCCCTGCTAAGAAGCAAAGAAAACAGTGTGACCAGCCAAGAAATATGGAAAATATACCGCGCAATACCTTTCGATTCATATCGTCAAAAATTTTTGGTCTGTGAACTTCGTGCGGATGAAATTCGATTTGAACGCGAAGAAAAATATGCAAAATAAAGTGAAATACCAGTGCCTCGCGGACGAGGAGCGCTTTACTGAAGCGTCCCGCAGCCAATAAATCGAAAAAGAGCCGCCTGAAATCTGTAAATTAAGCGGGAAAGGTGCGTTTTTCGTTTGGCGTTTTTCGGTGTGTGTGAAAAGTTTCTACTGCAATCCATTTTTCTCTACGTGCGTGTGCGGCATACGTGTATCAATGTATGTGTGTGTTCGAGGCGAGTGTTGCTATGTGTGTGTGTGTACGAGGCGAATGTTGCTGTGTGTGTGGAGTGGGGCGATGTAAAAATGCCTTTACATAATTACATAGGCAATTGCGAGGACTTTAATGCATACCGCTAACTAGCATCATTACATAAAAATCAACGCGATTTTGGTGCGTAAAAAAGAATACGCGGCTTCCATTTTCGTTCTATTTACTCGCGACGTCAGCGTCGCGGCTGTTGAATTTATGTCAAATTGGTAACACACACACACGCTGCTATTCGCGCTCTCTGTATGCAAGCCCTAACTGCATGAGTGTGTGTCAGTGCGCAAGAGAGAGGCAGCTAAAGGGAGAATGATAAACAAAGTGAAAAAAGACAAGCGGCTGTAAAAATGCCCGCAAGTGTTTTGAATTGATATGAAAATAAAGTTCGTTTAACATTGTAATTTACGAATTGTAAAATACAGAAGTAGGCAGATTAAAAATTTTCTTATTTTGCAATAATAATTATTTATCTTCCTTATATCTCCCTCTTTTTCGCATTTAATATGTGTAAATTCTATTGAATGCAACAACAAAGGTGCGCGTTAAACAACAACAAATATCATTGTTTTGTGATAGGGAGAGAGAGGAGGCGCTCCAGATTGCCCGTGTGTGAGTAAGTGGGAAAGAAAACGCCAAGAAGTTGGCTGATAAAGCAATCTCACACTCGTACACACACCCCGCACACAAAAACACACGCATGGAAAATAGAAAAATCGAAAAATAATAATAATCAGCAAGCAGGAAAAGAAGAAGCAGCAGCAGTAGTAGTACAAACAGCAAAAGTGTAGTTGTGATCGAAAATCGAAAGTGTGAAGCATTTTCTATAAATAGTAGTGCAAAATCAAAATTAAAATCAAAACCAAATTCCCCAGTGCAAACAAAAACGCAATAAAAACAAACAAAATAACAAATATCAAGATATAGCGAACAATAAATAACAACGATATACATATCTGGTGTGGTCGATCGAACTTACGGAGCGCGTGCTCTGCACCAAATAGCAGGATTATCTGAAGGATCGTCTAAGAAAAGGATCTTCCAAGATGTCCTCGCTGGACGCGCGCAACAATTCGGCGATGATGAAGCGGGCGGAGCAACTGAAGCGGTGGGATGAGTCCGATACCAACCGCGCTGCGCCCACCCCTCGTCACGAGCATGGACGTAGGATTAAGTTTAGCTCCGGCTGCGTCTTCCTAGCTGCCTGCCTCTCCGGCGATAAGGACGAGGTTGTCCAACTGCTCGACCAAGGCGCCGATATCAACACGGCCAACGTTGATGGTCTCACTGCCCTGCATCAGGTGAGTCAATCGAAAGTCATTTCACTTATACCATTCTATTAAGGCTCTAGGCTTTAGGTGGGAAATATTCTTTCTAGTGTCAAATCAATAAACACAAAAAGTATTAAAAACCAAACAATTATTCAAAATCCAAAACGCTGACATTTAAACTAAAGCATGTTGCATATTTAAAGAAACTAAACTAACACTTTTTACCTTTGTCAAAACTCAAACTTACAATCAATGCTATTACGTTTTAAGTTTTTAATTAAGATTTTGACTATTAAAAATTAACATAATATTCAACATTCATATTAATAATGTCCTTGATGAACAACTAGGAAATTTAGTAATTAACTAAAGAACGTTTAACTACATTTAATTAAACCATAAATATGAATTTAAAATAGATTGTTCAATATAGAGCTATGATTTTTCAACTTAAAATTGCTGTTCTCTTTTTGTCGACCTCTTTTTTTTTTTTTTTTTTTAGAAAAAGGGTAACTTTTTCTATGAAAGGGGTTCATCTATGTACACCAGGTGCATTGTCCACATTATCAATTATGAATACATTCATTTTGCATCCCCTTTTAGCCAGGGATCGATTTCCTTGTAGAAGGGGAGCTAAAGCGTTGCGTCAGTCTGCTGCAATTGCGATCACGCGACCGGGCGAGGGGTTAGTGGGTGTTGGAATGGGCGCAGGGGGCTGCAGTTTCGACACTGTTGCGTTGCGCCCAACTGTGGTGTGACGTGGGTCGCACTGTGGGTGGAATTCTAGGGCCCACTGATCAGATTATTGGAATTCTGTAGCAAGAATATCTAAAGAACCAGCGGAAATCTTCAAGTAATCTAGTTCAATACAATATTAGAGTTAAAAATACAATTCTATTTGATTTTATTATATAAAAATCTAAAATTAAATTAGTTGTTTTAAAACAACCAATAATATCTTCCTGAAATTAATCAAGGTCAAGAAGCGATCTTCTTTTTAGGCCCACTGTGCGGAGCCGTTCGCTAGACGCTCGACCATTGTTTTTGTTGCGTATTTCGTGCTCTTTCTGTGGTTTCAACACCGCCGCCGCAACAACAATTCGAATTTCGAATACTAACAAATACAACAACAAATATATGGTTAATGCAAGCCGACGATTTACAAGTCGAATGGCCAGAACCAAATTAACAACAACAGCACAAGCTAAAGGCAAACGGCCAAAAGCATTAAATAAGAAAAATACAAAATGTTCTATTTTTAACAACCAAGAAAAACATACACATGAAAGCGAGTTTACATATCGAAAGCCCAAAAAGATTTTCGCAAAATCATTTTCCGTTTTTCCTCTCATTTGTTTGACTCGTTTTTGTACTATATCGAAAATTTAATGATACTTTTGCTCGGCAAGGAATTATGATATAAATCCAAACATTTTCTCATAAATTTAGATAACTTATATTCGCGATGAAACTTTTCTGAATTGCACTTAAATTTAAACTTTTTTAGATTAAAAAAAGTATTTCATACAAAAAAGAAGATATGTGGAAGTTTCTCTTCTCCACATGCACCATTTGTCTGCCACACCCAATTTCTTCTGTTTGGTTTAATTGATTTTAATTATGATAGAACTTGAATGAAAACTTTAAAGTTTAAAAATCTAGGTTAAGAAATAAATGTATACTTGAGAAAATTATTTTCAGAATTATCACTTTTTTATTCAAGATTCTATAACGAATTCTTGAAAGAAAAAGACAGGTTCTTCTTGATATAATATTAAAAAGTTCTGGCCTGCTTATACCCATCTTCAGTCACTGTGACTTTACATTCAATATTAACATTCTGGTAGAATAGGAAATAAATAAAAATACTAATTTAATTGATAAAGTTAATAATATCCTCAAAATTACCACTGCAACTTAGTCCAAAATATATATATATTAAATATTGAAAGAAACATAAAGAATCTTTCTTTATTTTTCCGCCTGTCCACACCCATCTTGCACTCACTGTGTGCTCCAATTCAATATAATTGATTCTAATTATGCTGCGCCAGCAAAGAGTCGTAGATTTTCACCGTTTAACCGCGGCGCACTTGTTAACCAGATGCTAATTTGCTCAGAGCGGGCAACGCGGGGTGGGGTTCACTGTGTCTGCGAGTGCACTGTAATTACAGAAACAACAACTACAACTACAACACAATAATAAACATTAATAATAACAATGGGAACACCGGGCAAACGTTTTGAATTACCTGCCACATTGTTTGCGGTGCAAGTGCGGTCGCAACCTGCGGCTATTTGCTTCACTTGCTGTTGTCGTTTTTGCTAAACCGCAAAAGCAGAATTTCGATTGCATTTATTAAAATAATTATCTTATCGCCTGCACTTACAAGTCCTCTAATGGCTTGCAAAATTCCACCCCCGCACTTTCTTTGTAAGTGGCTTTCCTTTGGCCTATGCCGCACCAATTTCACATTCATACATGTATATTTATATGTATATATGTATATAGTATATATATTCAATGTATGGGCCTTCCATTCATAAAGCATTGACAACGACAGCACCACACCTGCACCACATTTTCAATGGCATGCGACACGACTTCTGCAGACGGGATAGGCCACAGTGGTTTAAAAGAGTCAGTATGAATGCGCTTTTAAATTTATTAAAAAAATTTACTCAAATTCTCTCTCCAATTAGGAAGTTTTTCAGAAATTTAATTTTTATTTTTTTTTATTACATGTTAAATATTTTATCAATGTTAAAAATACTTAATACTTTTTAGAAACCTGAATAATAGTTCTGTAAATAAATACAAAGAAAGGTTTTAAGAAATGTTTTTTGTCACAACTGTTATGTTAGGATGATGTAGCTAAGATTTAATTTTATTTTCATCCCGATTTCAACAAACTTAAAACCAAATACCAAGGAAAATGCCAACGGATTTGTAAATGTTCCGTTTTTAACACAACCCCCTATAAATAATTAAAGTAATTATTTCAAAAATAAAAAGAAAATAACCCTAAAAGCGATTTAAAACTGTGTTTTTACCCAAGAGTAACATTAAAATGAGCAAAGACTTTGAACTTAGTGTGAGTAATCAACTAATTCTGATAAGAAATGTTTATTATGCTCGTAATTTGATGATAAAATATAAACTAGGGAAACAAACTGCAAAGACTGACTAAGACCTCCTAAAAACGAAAATGAAAAACAGGAGATTTTTAGTTCCACTGTGTATCGCAGCTACCTTGGACTTTATATGAATGATGTTGACTGATGGAGAGGAAGATAGAAAACGGAGGATGGCGGAGGCAGTTGTTGCAAGTGACCGTGTATCCATGCCGCTGGCTGACTTTGATTTTTCATATGGCCTACAACAGGCTGGCTGCGTGCATTGACGTTCAAACTCGCTGGGGGACAAGTGGGAAATTATCAAAGAAATGGCAATAAATTACCTCTGTTTACAAGCGTTCAGATTCAGATATATATTTACATTTAAATACAGTTCAAGGATAATGTGAGGTTTTCTTTATTTTTGAAAATATCTTTTATAGAACAATATTTCATGGTCTATACATTTTTCACATGAATTAGTTATGAGTGTTAAAATTAGAAAAGTTTTTGGAAATGCGTGGGCTTTGCGGTATATTTTATTCAGTATGCCACATGGAAATATTGGCTAATTATAATCAAATGAATCATTTTGTAACTTTCAAGTTAAACTATTAGGTTGAGATAAATGTTCTGGCCTTTCCCAAAGTCAAATTTATTATAAGTTTGAGCAATTTAGTTATTTTATTTAAATAATGATGGGTTTCTTCTGTGACTACTAATAACGTCTTTGCTTAATTTAGCCATTTGTATAGACTTTCAGCTATCGAAATCTGGTTTTTTGGTCCCCTGAGTGCGAATCTGTGTTTCTTCATTAATCAGGCTCTTTCAATGATTTGCTCAAATTAAGAATTGATTTATATACATACATTTCTGCCAATTAGCAATTGATATATTTCGATTTTTATAGAGAGGGGGGAAGCTGGCGCCGCATAAATTAAGAAATTATTCTGTCAAGACTTCTCTCAAATTGAGCTATAGTCAGTGTTGAGTGCATAATAATCGTAACAATTGCCGATCTATTGACATGACGATCAACGATCTATGATCGTGAGCTGTAGCTCGATGACGAGTCCTGATCTGGTCGTTTGGGGAGTTGGAAAAGCTGCGTGAGTTTTCCCAAATGAAAATACAAAAACAAATAAGTCTCAAGATTTGTTAGTAGATTTGTTGCTGTCGGCTAACGCGCTTTATTGACGTGTTTTCTAACCTTGGCCCGGTTCTCGACGGACTGACGGGACGGACAGCTGTTGAAACGCACATCTACAGACTATAAACTACAAACTACAAAATACAGAATACAGAATACAGAATACAGAACACAGACTCACAGATACATCGAATCGCATTGAATATCCTCAAGAATCAGCAGCAGCAGCACAAGCAGCGCGTGTATACGGAATGATCTCTCTGGATGTATCTGTTGTTGGGTTTTTGGTTTTTGTATATAAATGGTTGCGGTCGGTCGCTACACTTGATTTGATTTATTTCTCGTTTCGTGTTTTACACCCAAAAAATAACAAACGAATGCGAATGATCAAAATGAAAATTCGCTCTATGCCAGATACAATTTGATGTGATGTCTGCACTGGCAGTAGCAGTCTCTGTATCTGTATCTGATTTGTTGCATTGCATAATACCATTTCTAGCCATATAGACACAGCACACCCGAACCGAATGTATGCCATTAAAATGTGTGTTTTGCGTTTAAGACTTTTAGGCCTAAACAATCATTTTCTTTATTTCCTTTATTTCTTGTTGCCAATTCTAAGTCCGCCCCGCTGCCTCCACCGCCACCACCGCTGCCCGATTATAATTATTTTATACATTTAGCCTGCACGCGCCGAGCCGCTAAACATACACACAATTTGAAATCTGTTTGGTTTTATGGATAAACGAACTGAAACCAGCGGGAACTATACGAAAAATATTATACATTTTGCCAAACCATGACGACATGAGCTCAGAAATAGTTCATCGGAAATATATATATTAAATTCTAGACGTGTTTTATGGAATAATTGTTAGATGTGTTTATAGTTCGGGGAAAATAATTTGGTAATTGTTTAGATATTATAGATTTTTCAGATGGAATTTCATGGAATTTCCTTTTACTAATTTGTTTTACATATAAAAACTTTGTCATATATCTTAGGTCTATAAATTATATCAACTACAACTTCGTAGAACGTCTTAGGTGAAAGTTTAGAGTGTAGAAATAACGATTATCATATCAGCTTATTCACACTTGAAATCTAAAGTAAATAAACATTCAAAAGATAAGATTTTACTTTTAAGAGGATTTGTGCAAGCAAAAGGTTTGCACAATTTAAAGGTGTGCCTTCAATTCAGTTATTAAAAATTAGCTAACATTTCATATTGTAAATATAATTACGAAGTATTTTTAATCACAGAACATAAATCTTTAGGGTCGTAAGGAAATTGTCTGGATTTTTGTTTCCGTTTAGATTTTCTTTGAGTTTGTTTATTTTTCGTTTTGCAATCGCTCGCTTGTGTTCATTATTTTTCACACTTCTCTCCCTAGTCCAGCCAGATGTCTTGGCTCCACCTGGTCAAGTCAAAAAGAAAAGAAAATGTATATTAAAAATCGGAAACAATTTGGCTGGCCAAAAGCGCCTACTCAAACGGCGCTGTATAAATCGTTATACAATTTGGCAAAAATATGCCAAGCATTTTTAGTGGCACAAAGCTATTGAGATACATGAGAACTTTTCTTCAAGAAAATATATAAAAGAAGGAAAAGATACGCAAGAAATTGTTTGAAGGCTTTGCAATATGCTAGAAAATTTCACACAGAGCCAATGGTTGGATATAATAGGCATGTCTTCTAGATATATATATATATATATTTTCTGGTATATATGCTTGGGTATATATCATATGGTTTATGTAGATTCTTTGCACTTTTATCTTGTGGCGCTAATTCAAATTTGTAATTTATTGAACTCAAGCGGTTCGGGTCGTCTATTTCGGCATTTGGATTATATTATACATTTGGCTTCTTAAAAGTATAATACTAGGGTGGCAGCAGGTCAATGAGTGGCAAGAAATGTTTTTTTAAAACGTATTTTAAAGATACAATAAATTGCTTATTCTTTTTTGTATCTTAACAGCGGGGTTTTGGGAAAATAATTGTGCGGTGATGTATGATGAGAGGAAAGAATTTTAACAGGCATAGATTAATATACATTATTCTTATAAATTGAGATAATAAATTAAGAGATAAATACGTTTAAAAACGTTTATTATAGGGTTTACTGGGTTTAAGTGATATTTGTTGATAAAGCAAGTTTGACGACTCGAAGGAAAACCCAAAAATGTATGAACTTTAATAGAATTTTAAGGGTTATTTGTTTTACTTAATTATTCCCTTAATCGTGGATAAGGTTAATTAATATTCTGTTAATCTTTCTGAACTTCGTCTAAACGAATCAATTATGACTAGAATATTTAATGAGATTTAAGCAGAAGTGAAACCTCGAAGTGTGTACCTTCAAGGAGAGTTTTTCGCGGAACTCTTGTGCCCTGTAAAGGAGTCTTCATCAAAGGAATTATTCAGGCTATTGAGTTATAAGCCAGAATTATGTTGGTTAACAAAAGAGCGAAGGGGTGGACAAATGGAGCTTGGCGCCTAGCAAACTACCGCGTAATGAGCCACGTTAAGCTGGCGGCCCAGAGTCTGAAAGCCGTCTCAACAAGTCGCTGTTGCTGGCCTACGCGGCGTATACGTAATGCGGCGAGGTGAATAACATTTGGCGTGCAACGGCTGAAAATGCCGCTCAATGGCGTGCCAAAACAAAAGGCTAAACTTAGCATGCAGTTTTTCATTTTTTGCTTTTCGCTTTTCTATTTTTTTTTTTTGTATTTTTTTCACTGCTTTTCGGTGTTGGCAATGCAAATGGAAATAGCGTAGAATCCGTTGCTCTGACATTAAGGCCCAAAGACTTTTGGGGTATCGAGGGAATTTGCTGATGGAATAGCTCGTGTCAAAAATGTTTGCATACCACAAAGTCATTGGGCATTGTCGTCGACTCGATTTGTGGATGGTCACGCGTGGGCGTTGCCGCTTCTCTGTACTCTGCAAAAAAAAAAACCCCTTTTCCTGCCTGCCGTCGGTCAGTTTATCAAAATTGTTCATAATTAATTAATTGGCTGCGTTCCAGATTTACAAATTGTTTGGCCCACCCGCCGTCCTCTCTAGTCTTCTTTTTTTATGCGTTTTACTGCGAAATGGAAATTGCTTTTGGATTTTTTTAAAAAGCAACGGCAAAAAAAGTCACTTTGAAGAAGCTTAGACAGTAAAGAATTTGAATTAACATATGCCGAGGAAAGGCGAAGAAGAGAATGATAGAGAGACAGAGACAAGAGTCGGTCATTTGATTTTTATAATGCCCCACTCCTCAAACGTGCTCTGTTATCAAGGTGGTAGAGGAGGGGGAGAGAAAGGGAAATGCACAGGGAAAAATAAAGAACAGCAACGAAAGGGTTAAGAATAAAATAAAGAATCTTAGAAGGTTTGTTAAAGTTTATTTTGAACTTAAAAAATAAAGAATTATTCGTCTTAGTATGTGCATTTATTTCTTTAATAAAAAATATTACTTTAAATAATTAAATAGCATATGTAGGTATAATAAATAAAACAATCTTAAGTAATATCTTAAGATTAATTTTATTTCTTAAATTTTTGTGTTAGAATACAAAAGTTTTGCCATTTTTTTGTACTTTTTGTTACTAAATATCTTATAAATTTTTATTTTATTTGTTCTTTTTATCGATTGTAGTCTGTAATTAACAAATTTGATAAGCAAAATATGTTAATAGAGTGATTTTGGCAATTTGACAGTAGAAGAGAGCTTATGAATATCTCACAGATAAGAAGCTTTGAATATTAGAATGTGATATTTTTGTGCTGTGCATTGATAGAGTTGGCGCCTTTTGTTGTGGGCCTCTTCTTTTACTTTCTTTTCTTTGGTCTGAGCTGTTGCTTTTGCGCCAAAGAATGCTTATCGTCATTTCCAACTACGAGGCGTTGTCGTTGTCGTTGTCTCCATTCGAGGCGGTCCGACATTGTTGTGGGGTTGGATTAGACTGGGTTGGGTTGGGTTGTGTTCTGTACTGTGCTGTTCTTTGCCTGGTTCACAGATAGCAAAAGGCCCCAAAAGAAGCGCCGGAGTCGCGGGCGATGATATCATCAACGTTCAACTGGCTGGCGTGCATGTGCCATCGTGCCATCCAACCATCCACCCAGCCAACCAACCAACAACGAAGATGTCTAGGCGGGTTCAGCGGAAATCCGCATAAATAACCCAACCATGCTGAGATACTCTCTGCCTTGGCCTGTGTTTACTTTAACGTTTTAGCAAGATAAACACACGAATTTTAAAACATTTTACTAGCTCTTATAAAAGCCAAAACGAAACAAAACTCAAAACGAATCTCTTCTACGAAAGTTGATTCAACTTTTTGATGCACTGCATTTACGATTCCGTTCGGGAAATCAAATTGTTATTCTAGCCATAAAATGTTAAATAAATACATTTCATTTGGCAAAGTAGAACGGTTTCAAGGATTGATGTTTATGGTTTTGACCTTTCAATTGGGAATTACAATGGGGAAGGCAGGTCCGAAATTTGAAATATTTTCTGATTTATAAAGGCTGGCATATGGAGATAAAATGGACTTAGGCTCATTGACATTTGTTAAAGTCTATCAACTTTCTGTAAGCTTAACATTTTTGGGGCTGCAATTTAAATAATATTGATATTAGTTATATTTCCCTTACTTTGTACTAAATGGAGTATTTAAATTAATATTTTACAGGCCTGCATAGACGACAATCTGGATATGGTTGAGTTTCTGGTGGAGCGAGGTGCCGACATAAACCGACAGGATAACGAGGGCTGGACGCCCCTGCATGCCACTGCCTCCTGCGGGTAAGTATTAACTATAACTCAAGATAATTTCAATATTAATCTATATTCTAATCCAATTTATAGATTTGTGAGCATAGCTCGGTATTTGGTGGAAAATGGCGCTGACGTGGCCGCTGTGAACAGTGATGGCGATCTGGCCTTGGACCTGGCCATCGATGTCCAGCACATGGCCATGATCGACTACATGGAGAAGATGGTGCAGGAGCTGAACATAAATGTGGATGAGGCTCGAAAGGCGGAAGAGGTGGCGATGCTGAACGATGCCAAAAAATGGCTAAGAAGCGATGCCGCCGAGGTGGATAGACCGCATCCGAAAACGGGAGCCACAGCCCTGCACGTAGCCGCCGCCAAGGGTTATACGAAAGTTTTGGGCTTGCTCTTGGCTGGTCGTGGCAATGTGGATAGGCAGGATAATGATGGCTGGACGCCATTGCATGCGGCATCGCATTGGGGTCAAAGGGAAACGGCCGAGATGCTGGTGGAGTCATTGGCCGACATGGATATACGCAACTATGCTGGGCAGTCATGCATCGATGTGGCCGATCGCAAAATAGTCAAATTCCTGGAAGAACTGCGGGCCAACAAGCGCAACAAGCGGCGACCATCTAGTCAAATCAGGTGAAGAAAATCGATGTATAAAATGGAAAATCTTATATCCAAAATTATACATTAGCTTGCTTCAGACGATTTTATAATTTGATTAAATTTGTAGACCTCAGGGTTGGTTTTTTATTCACGTCAATCGTCTCCGTGATAATAAATAAAACATTTTGTTCAAACTCGATTGATTCATGTAAAACTAAATTTAATCTTAGAAACCTTTTTTGTTGATATTTAAAGTCAACTAAGGATGTTCGAAAAGACTTAAAAACAAATATTTTTTATGACAAAGCATTTGAGATGATTAATTCGAAATATTAAACGAATATACTTGAAGAATGATGAGTTCTTTTCGCAAGCCACACAAATTTGAAACTGAAATATGGAACTAAGAGATTTTTTAAACTTTTCTTGTTAGTTAAGTTAATGAATTTACAAAAATTAACTTCTATAATATTGCATATCTAAAGATATATATGTTTTTACCTAAAACCTATAACTAATCCATAAACTGTTAATCTGTTTCAGCAGAATCTCAGATGCGATTGAAAATCATGTGGACAAGACGCCCACCAAGCTGGTGCGCGTTGAAGTGAGAACTGATGCCACAAAGGATGGTGCGTATGCCTTGATGTAGTATGAAGTCCTTACTTTAGCTTGGCTACATAATATAAACGAAAAGATTTCTTTGATTTCTCGCACACACACACTCTTGTGTTTGTCCTGTTTATTATCCTGTTTAGGTTCTCATGCGCGATAGCCTTTTGTTGTTGGAGCATTTAATCGTCAAACATCTGCCACTGCCTCTCGTATTTTAGTCACTCAAGATCATGCGTTGTCCAGTATAATTTGCCTTCATCATGATCATGATCATCCATCAGTAGTGCCACCCACCTTTTTTTCTCTCTCTGTATCTCTGTATAGTGTCTATTTTTCTCTATCTCTCTGTATTTGTGTATTGTCTTTGCTTGTAAATCATGCACACTGCAGCTGCCAGTGGCTCAAGTGAAGCTGCCGAAGCTGAGGCTTCGATTCCTAATCCTGCTGCGGCTAATGTTGATAATGATGATGATGATGGTGAAGGTGTTGAAGGTGAAGGTGGAGAAGTGCTGGCCAGTGGCCAAAGCGATACAGAGGAGCTGAGTGATTCCACGGAAAGCTCACACTCGACCAGTCTTTCAGAAAACGAAGGTAGTCGGCATTTGTTTGTCGTCCTGATTGAGGAGTTTCCCTGTCTGTGATAAGCCCGCCTATAAGCCACTAACCCGCTCCTAGTTTAGAATTAGTTTGAGGTTTTATATTAATATTGGATTTTTATATTGCTTTTCCAGCTGAGAATGTCAAGCCCAATCAGCAGATCCACGCCGCCGAGCATCCAGTCGAGGAGGAGGCGCCTTGGCGACGCAAGCTGCCACGCACACCCAACGACAGTCCCACTAATAATCGTAAGTCTCGGTTTTGGGAGATCACGAAGTTTATGTAGGGTGTTTCAGAGGCTTTAGAAATGAGTTAGGAATTAATGATTTAAGGAAGTTAAATATATATTAAAAGAAAAATGGTTTAAAATCGAGTTTGCTGAGAATAAGTCTAAAAATTAAATAATATTTCTTATAAGAAGTAAATGAAAGTCGAAAGTATGCAATGTTCATGTTACTTGATAATGAGTTATATATTATCTGAAAGCTCTGAAACGCCTGTAATCGAATCAGATAGTTATAATCAATATAATAATCAAATTGCAGAAGTTCCTGATAGAGAGCTTAGCAGCAATAGCTCGGAGACCGCCAACGACGTCATTTTGCGACGCACGCAAAGCTTTGAGAACGATCAAAAGTGAGTTTAAGACCAAAGAAAATAAAACATTGCGTGCCGCTCACACACAAATATATATATATATACACACACACACAAGCGCATCACAGATTAACCCACATTCATATATATATTGATACTATATATATATACAAACATTGATCGGCCAAATTGCACCGAAAGGTCTTGATTTATTGGTTGATTTTGCAGTTCGCTTTTCACTTTTGCCAATTGCATTTGCTTATCATTATCGCACACACACGCTCACACTCACAGCCTTTCTCCGAACAAATACATATACTCGTTTATTGATTAACCAAATAAAAACAAATTGTATGGGTAATTGTTTAAATTTACCCCCGGTGGTATCATGATCTGGTAAAGCTTCTCCGAATTTCCATGAATCACAAGCTTTCCCATTAATGAGCTTTTTCCAAACCCAAAAAAACAAAAACCATTCGCATTTCGTGCAAAGTGAAGCGTTGACTGCAAAAGGCAACAAATAAGGGAAAACAAAGTGTTCTATTGATTTTAAAGTTTTTGTTTTGCTTTATTTTTTTCCCACCCTCTAAAAAAACATAAAAAATATATATAAAATAAAATAAAAAATTATATCACCAATGCACCACAACCAACAAAAAACAACCAACAAACAAACTCATCAAAACGCTTATCCCGAAATCTAACCTGCCCGCTCGCCCACCTGCTCGCTACGCCCGCCCACCTGTACCGCCCGCACGAACGTTCAACAATCCTCGAAAAAAAAAAAAAAAAAAATCGCCTCACAGATTTTATCAAAAGTACAATGAGCTGCGGGCACGCATAAAGGCCAATTCCTGTCCCATTTTGCCGGCGAATGCTAATGCGAACGCTAATGCCGCTGCTGCCAACAATAATTCCAATAACAATAATAATCTAAGTAGTAATAACAATCATAATAACAACTATAACAACAACAAAAGCGATCTGCTATTGGGATATGCTGCTGGCACAACAACAACATCCAGTACATTCAACAACACCCACTCGAACACCAACAACACTAGTACACCACCACCACCACAACAACAACAACCAGCAGCAGCAGCAGCATCGGCAACGAATCAGTTATATAGCGTACAAAGATCGGCCTCTCTCAAAGATAACTCAATGTATTACAGGTTTGTTTTGCATTCAACAAGTTCCAAAAAAACATAAACTAGATCAGATTTGTTAGTAATATTAAGTCAAATGATATGGTTTGATATGTAAGTTATAGCTTGGAAAATTGTTTAAAAGTATCGAAATGTTGTACGAAATGTTAGCTAGCTGCCTTTCAAAATCTTGAATTTTATTGACTTTGTTATTTGCTCAGATTTGTTAGTTATATTAAGTAAAAGTTGTGGAAATGTTGAAAGATAACCTTACTTTCTCTATATTATCATTTGATAAGTAATCTATAGCTTGGAAAACTAGTTAAAAGTATCAAAATGTTATAAGAACTGGTAAAATCCTTTAAAAAATCTCTGATATTACTGACTTTGTTCTTAAGTCCTGTATTACATTAATAGAGTTAATCAGTTAGTTAAGATAGAATTTAAAATATAAATGAAGACCAAACTTATATATCTAAAAACTCAACAAAAATCTTAATTAAATGTATTCTTTACTAGACAATTATAATCAATTTAAGATCCTATATCTTTATTTTTATATATATTTTTACCTTATTATTATTATTACTTTCCTATACCTAAAATCTGATCTAGTTTAAGGAACAATCACGCCTACTCATAGCTGTTAACCCAAAAAAAAAAAACTAATTTACTGTAACTATTAACCTAACTGTGCTTTTGCTTAGCTTCTTCTCGTCTACACCTTCAGAAACCAAAACTCATTGCACCAAACTATTTAACATATTTTCCTAGGCCACGCACCAATGTCGTCTACCCTCTCTTGGCTGTTTTCCTCTATAAACTGTGAACTCCCAACTAAAATCGTTTTTTTTCTTTATTAATTAACTTTAGGAAACCGACCGTTACGATTGCCACGCCTACAAGTGCAGCAGCTACTGCAAATACGGCGCTTAATTCTCCATCGACAACCGTACAGACCCCACCAATTCGCAGGTAAGTTTATTTTGATTATTCATTTTATGTAAAAAGTTTTGTTTTAAACCTTCGTTGTCGATCAATTAGCCAAGTTACAGCGAAACAGGCTGAAAAGAGCAATAATGGTGGCTCGTCCACGGCCAGTGTCAGCGATGTGGAGAGCTCTAAGCCGCCGGTCAAACAGTCCACCAGCAATATGATCAAAAACTTCTTCAAGTAATGAGAGATGATTTCTTTTTTATGTTTTCATTGACGTTGAGCTAACCCCGCTAGCTAAAAGCTAACCTGATTAAGCCTGCTACTCTTAAAGACTCTTTTTTTTGTGTAGCATGATGGTCGCCTAAATAATATAAATATAAGAAATACAGAAATGATAGCGTTTTTGCGTGAAAGGGATTCCTAGAAAATGTCATATATTTTGTTGTTAAAACTTAATACTTGAATGTACAAAAAGAAAGAAGAGAAGATCCATATTCTAGACTTTTCTGATAACTTTCCATAAACCAAAACTTGCTTTAATTAGAACTAAATGAACTTTGAAGTTCAAAAAGAACTAGACTTGATTCATAACTTTCCACTATTATAGATTAGGATTTGAGGTATTAAAAAACCTAATCAAAAGCAATATTTGTGAGGATTCCATTAACCAAATTTTTATAATGATAACTTAATGAACCAATAATAAAAGTTAACCTGCGTTAAGTTACAGTTTTTGTTCGTGTTTTACCGCTCGCTGTGTTGCTACTACCTTCTTAAGGAAAAACGTTTATACAGCCCTTTGTTTGATTAGTTTTCATGTGGTTAAAACTTTTCTAATGCTTCGTTTCTTATTTCAACCAACTTATAGATCCTTTGTGCCACCAGTGCGCGATGAGGAGAGTGAAACGCAGCGAAAGGCACATGCCAAGCGCGTGAGGGAGACTCGCCGCTCGACACAAGGCGTTACCCTGGACGAGATCAAGAGTGCCGAGGAGTTGGTTAAGAAGAAGAACATGGGCATGGCCAACAATAATAATAACAATAATATCAGCGCCACCACAACGAACACCATTAGTAACAGCGGCGTAAGTAGTCCAGTGTCCAAGTTGGATACTCCTAACCGAATCATCCACGCTATCACAACAAAAATCAAACCAAAACATTCACACCTAGAGGAAGCTCTCTCTTCATAGAATCATTTGGTAGTTCATCATGGCTGTAATCTTAGTTGGGATTACAGTGCTCCTCCATACACGATGTCCACATGCAGTTCACACCCACTGAAACGTTGAGCAAATACACACCAGATCAAAAACCAAAAAATATAAATGCTTATGGTTATGGTGTCCCTGTTACTTTTGGATATCCCTTTCTGTTTTATGTGTTCGATTATGTTCACTTACACAAACACTTTCATTAAGTTACAGATATTAATTAATTTGTTTGTGCGAGTGAGCGAAAAGTGTACTAAAATAGTGATTTGTAGCTTAGAAAATATCGTGTACTAAGCAGAATGCAAGAGGTTTTATAGCTTGCCCTTAAAAGTATGCTATAAATTTGATAGAATTTACTACAATATTAAAAATGAAACTAAAATCTAAATTATACAAAAAACTAAACACTAAAAGTTTAGAAATATTAAAAAAATATTATCATGTTATAAAATCAAGTTTCCCAACGGGTTGTTAACACCTTATAGTGATCTTGATTGATAAACTACACCACCTCAATGGTTATAATTCGAATCTGTTGCATTCTGTTGTCTCATCCCAATCAAAAAAGCAGCCCTAAGCTGCCATCATTTCAATCAGCGTCCCATCAATCAATCAGTTCTCATTTAGCGTACGTTGGCACCCGTTTGATTATTATTATTCGTTCGTGATCGATCGCAACGTCACACTTAACCAATCAAGTTGAATTCAGTTCCTGCGTTTTTCGCCTCCGCCTTATTAGCCTACGCCCAGCTCTGCTCTGCCCTGCCCAAGCCCTTTGGCCTTTAGCCTTTAGCCCCCGCCTCATCATTGTTATTAGCATAGCTTTATATATATATTTATGATTTCCAAAACATCATAGCATATCAGTATCAGTATCAGTATCAAGTAGCAGCTGCAGATCAGTGAACCATAGCGTAATTATCATTCCGATTTGTATTTATGTTTCAGTTTTTAAGTTATCTCTATGTTCAGTTCTGTACTACTTACTAGGCTCTATATATATATATATATATATTTATTTATATAGCAGTAAACTGTATGTCTATGGAATATGTTGATGATTATCATTTTGCATGTCCCATTTGCATGAGTAATCAAATCGGATCACAACTTAAGTATCATTGTATAGTATGCAAATTGATATTTCTCTTACCTATGTATAGTGAGATCCTTTTTTGATTTTTGTTTGAAAGAAGAAAAAAACACACTCGCGTCCATTGCCTTTAGGACAACTGTTTTTTATTTGTTCCGAACTAATATTATTAACAGAACGAAACAAGCTCAGCATCATCGGCATCATCAGCTCCAGCATCATCGATCCTCGACAGCAGCGGCAGCAGTAATGAGCAGCGGGACGAGTCGCAACCGCCACCACCGCCCACCACACCACCGCCAGCCATAATACCCACCACAACGACGGCCACCGATGAAACGGAGATCGAGGAGGTGGTGGTCACTAATCCTCCAGCTGGCCAAAGTCTGAATGATACCACTGCTAGTTTTACCCTATCCGCTCCGGTGCGAAGATCCCTTTCGGGTGAGGCTGATGCCAATAGTGATCCGGAGGGTGATCAAGATCAGACGGTTGTCAGTGCTAGCTATACGATAATGCCACGGCGGGATAGGCTACCTGAAAGCTCAGAGAATGTAGAGAGCAACACTCCAAGAACTCCCCAAAAGACTGACCCAGTTGCCAAAAGTTCCAGCGAAGAGAAGAAGGCCGATGAGCCAGTACATGCCGCTAGGCCCACGGATCTGCCATTGATACCAGCTCCTGCTGTTGCCAGCACAGAAGCTATAAAATCAACCTCGGCGGCCACCACGCCTGCTGCCCTCGAGAGTCCAGTGCGATTGCGGGACAAGCGGAGTCTGTGTACCAGTCAGGAATCGGAAACGAAGTCCGATACCGCATCGCCCGTGTCCTCACATCCGGATTTCAATGCCCGGGACTCATTACTAAGTCTATATGCCCGACGCACAACGGACGGGAACCCAGGGGGTGGTGGCGGTCCAAGTGGTACGAGTGGTGCTGCCTCATCTACTTCAACTTCTGCAGCAGAACGTCGTCCGTCTTGGCGCCTGAAATTCGATGCCGGCTCCAAGGTATGCCCACACTACCCACTTCTTCTGCCCTCTAAGCGATTCCAAACCGAGTTATCCTAATCCACAAGACTATTTTTCGATATTTTTGTTAATCTCTAAGTGTAGCATGAAAGTTACTTTGATTAGTGTCTGTATTAATAGAGAACTATGACTAGGCACAGTGGAAATTGCCCTTGCTTTGGTCGAATTCATAAAAGTAACCTACCTCATCGATTTTCTATTGCTTTTTGGACTTTAGTTTTAGGTCATTATTTTGATATCGACATATTTTGATTTCGCTGCCATATTAACGCCTAATCATATTTATTAATTGCTTTGCAGGGGTAATATTTTATATTACAGTGATACGCTTTTATGAATATGTATTTTACTATATTGTTTTATCGCCTGAATATATTTTAAGAACTATTTCGTTTAGTTGTATTTCTTCATGTTTTAATTTGCTCGTAACTTATGCCTGACCTGCTCAGAAACTAAGTAAATGCATCATTAGATAGATCATTATATATTATGTATTATTACATAGAATCATATATTTATTTTATTATTTTTCATACATATATATATATTCAATCACAGACTCTCTTTCATTGATGTACAAATCTTTACATACAAAAAATGCAAAAAGTGTTACTAATTTTGGCCCATCTTGCCTTAATGTTTCTTTACTCTTACTACTGAATGTTCAGAAGTTGCTTTTGACCAGAATCTTTATCAAAGTTAACAACAAATATTTGCATGTTTTATATATATTCTATCAACATCTACATTTATGTTTCAAATATAATAATCAAAATGGTTCAAGGAAATACAGAGATTGCTTAGCTTAGGTAATGGGTTGCGGGCTCTCTAACTGATGGATCCCAAATGGAAATGGTGTCTGATACTTGTTGATTACTACTAAATGTTTAGTATAAACTAACTTCCGCTGCATTCGAATGATTCAAGACACGGCATAGCTTCTTGTAAGAAAAACAAACACATTGCACACAACCCAGAAACAGAAACGACAATTATAGAGAAACATTTCAAAACATAAATTGATACTTAACAAATATGTATTTAACATTTAATTTAGCATATAGTAATAGTTTATATTCCCATGCAGTTCAAGTTGGAGGACATTACCAGCGGTGGCACATATCCCCCCAACAACAGCACCATCATACCAAGTGCTCCGGCGGTGATGGCAGCCGCCAATTTATCCACCACAACTGGTGTCCAGCGGCGCATCAGCAGTGGTCCCAATGCTCGTAAGTTAGCAGGGATTATCTTTATATTTTCTTAATATATATTTAACTATTTAATTTCTGCTTCTAGTTAATGCTTCCAATCAGTCGCTCAACTCTGTGGGTCGTCCTGTTTCCGCTCCTAGCGAGGCCACCAACAACAGTGCCTATGTCACGCCCTCAGCTCGCAAGTACGAGACGAATGCAACGCCAACGGGAGCAAATACAGCAACGGCCACGACTACTAACTCAACCTCCAATTCAGTGTCTGCAACCAGTGCCAATCATGCAGCAGCAACGGCAACTAATGCCACGTCAAATCATGACGATAAGGGTAAGGGCAAGTCGTGGAATTTTCGGGGATGATTAACTAAAATATGATATAAAAATATGATATTTGATTATTTAATGTCATAAGAAATTCAATTAAATTTGTAATAATGTTATGGAAAAATATGCATATGTAAGATTATCTTAAAATTCTGTCAAAAATCCCATTAATGTCAGAAACTTTGTACTTTAAATGTTGTAAAATACGCCATAATATGACAATTTTACAAGAACTGAGTTTTAGCTGTAAGTAAGTTTAAGTTGATTCTTTTTTCAATCAAGAAAAGAAGATATATTTGCCTTTTATTAACTACCCCTAACTAACTTTAATAATTTATAACTTTTTCTCCAATAGATAACGACAAGGAGAACGATAATCGCACACAGACCATCATTCAGAGGCGACGCAAACCGAAGCGCAGATCAACGGGCGTGGTGCACATGGATGTAAGTAGTATGGCAAGGAGATACATCATTTGTGTGCCTAATTGCCAGGCAGTTTGTCAGAATAAATGAGCCAGCGTACCAAGAGTCGTATGCCAACTATTCTTAGCCAAATTGCTAATTAGTTGGGAGATTAGAAGAATGCTAAATTGAATATCTTTTGTTTTTCTGCTACTGCAGGAACTGGATCCCGAGCGACAGAACGAATCTTCTAACAACGACAACGAGGAGAAGGAAAAGGAGGTGAGTCTTATGGATAATTAGTGCTTACCATATGTTAACTACCAACAACAACAACTATAACAAGTATAAATATTATTGAATATTTCACACCTTGCCAAGTAATTAGAATTATTGTGTCAGCTTTTCTTATTTCCCTGCTGCACCTGACAGAAATGTGTTCTTTCTACTTGACTTTGCCTTCGTCACACCTTGTCACATTTTTAGACCGCTCCGCGTCCTTCAAAGTAGCTTGAGAGTGCTGCCCCACAAGTTTCCACCGCCTCGCCCCCTTATCGTCAGCCAGTCTGTTCCAATTAGCGGGCGACCCAAAAACGAAATTATGATTTGCCACTTTCGGGGGAATAAGTGCGCACGTGGCATTGTGGGTTCGGTAAATTTTCGTGTGTGGGAATTTGAGTGTAAGTGCAAGGCAAAATTGTAAATCCTTTCATGGCCGAGGTCAGAACTATTAGTGCGCATCCAATTTGCGTCCAAGTCCAAAAAAATCACGAGTCTAAGATGCCCCGCACGAACCTGTTAACCATTTATCTGAGCAAGTGTCAGCGCCGGTGTCGCCTATTATTAAAAACTGACACAATTTCTGAGTGCATCTTGTCATTAACGTGCAATTTGCTTGTTTCTGCAAAATGTTTATTAATTGTTTTGCTGATTGGACGATTAAAGAAGACTCATAAATCGTCTATTCTGTTTAGCATTGATTAATAAGGAATCATTTGTTATAGTTTCATTAACTAGTTCAGGTCAGATTTGGTTTATTTAATGGGATTGGCTTAATGGGGTCGCATGTCGCCATAATATGTAGGAAGGATTTGTATGGAAATTTAATCACAAATGTACAAAATGAACTCCAAATTAAGGAAACTTAATGTTGAAACTGATTTTGTTTGTAATAAATGAATAGAAAAAGATTAAATGTGTGGGATTTAAGATTTAAATAGCTTATATAATATAGACTTTCTTTTTACTTAAAAATCAAACATAAAAGTTCTACAAAATCATATCAGAAATATTTCAACTTGAAAACTCTTTGTACCAGCAGCTAAAAGCGATACTTCTTTGTTTAAAATATTTAACAAAGCCGATCATACATCCTCATTGTAATTTTATTGCGCATTTTAGAAAAGCATTAAAAGTGAATTTTATTGTTAATTTCTTGTTTTGAAATTGCGCCGAATTATGTCTACATTTCCATGAAATGAAAAATGATGTAATAAGCGATGTCTAAATTTGTTTTATACCTGCAGAATGCCTTTAAAATTTGGAATTCCCTTTTTTTATGAACACTATTTTCCCAGAACTGGCTTTTTAAACTTTTGGTTTTTCGTATTTATTACCGTAAAGCAATAAATATTATGCAGTTTTCGGCATGTGGTTCCCCAAGCGATCCATCTAAAACGATGGCAGACCAACTGACGCTCTCTGATTGACGATGTCAAGTGTGCCATTGTGCATTATTCTACTTTTTTTTTTTTTGTTTAAGTTGTCAGTTTGCAAATGCATCTGGGGGGAAATCACTTTCACAATCTTTTCCTTTGTAGACAGAGTATGCATTTTATAATAAATTGGGTAATTACAGAGGCACGACCCAAAGCAAAAGGAAATCTAATAGAGAAAAGCTGGCACACGTACATTGAACTTTGCAAAAAAAAAAGCGAGAAAAGCGAGAAGAACTAAATTTATAACAGTTTGGGCTGCAAGGCATTCACTTCCTCATTCTCCCTGCGGCAAAAGGATCGTCATTCGGTATTTTTAGCCAGGGGTAAAAATGCATTCAACGAAAGTGTAAACTCTCTGTGGCTGGGCAAGGGGCAAGGGGAATGTTTTTGGCCCAGTTATAAAGGAGGGAAGGGAGGGAGGTAGAGAGTGATGTAAAGATGGCAGCAACTCCTCCTGTCGCGCACTTAACGCTAAATTTAAACCAAAACAAAAATAGTTTTTCCTAAGCTCGCAGAACTCTCTTTTTTCTTGTATACATTTTTTGAATTTTCTTTGAATTCACTGCAGTCATGTGTCAATGACTGTGCTTCGCCTTTTGGCCCAGTTTGCAGTGCTCTCTTTTATCTATGTATGTGGATGTGTGTCTGTGTTCCCCTGATTTTCTGACCCCAGCATAGTTAACAATCTTGCGTCTCGGACATTGGGCCAAATACGTGTGCGATTTACTAAATTTAGACTAGACCATCAGTGGTGGGCCCACCACCAGGTGAAAAACTCGGCCCACTGAATTTTTCGTGTGCGCAATTTCAAGTGAAAATTTGGCTCCTTTCCCTGCTCTTATTAATTTTCTTTTTCCTTGTTTTCATATTTGAGTTGAAAATATATATATCAGTATATATGTATTCTCAATGATTTGGTTTATTTTTCCGGCTTTTCCTCTCTTTATTCAGCTCTTAGTTCTCTTTCGGTGCTGCTCTTCTGTGTTTATTTCCGATCGTTCGCTTTCAAATAAAACATTTCAAATCGTCGGCGAGCAACACAGTTGAGTTTTGTGCGCCCAGCACAGCGGATCATCTCTCAGTTCGATTCAGTTCAGATCATCTCAAGCCAAGCTAAACCAATCAACCAAGTCTAAAACTCAATGTAAATCCCAATTAAACTCAAGAATTTAATACGTCAAGTGCAACCAGAGACCAAAAACCATAAGACCCAGCTGTCATCGAACGTGTCAAAGAAGATTGTTGAGATAAAAAATAATAAATTGCAATACGCTTAGATCAGTTTACCCCTGGGATCAGATCATCATCATGGGGCCAGAGGGGATTTTCCAAACCGAAGTTAAAGATTTGACTGCCAGCCACAGCAAGTTCGCTGGTTTTCAGTTGATGAAATCGCTCCGCGTTGCCTTTTTTGGCCAACTGCGCATAATTTTTGGACATTTCAAGTTGATGCTCTCTCGGCTGGCTTCTGGCTCAAATATGGTCAACTATTTTGATAAGTTTTTAATTTGATTTCGTGAACGTGCTAAGTTTATTTGATTTTTTTCGTGTTAGTAAATGTTAAAGTTCAGTTAGAGAAAATTGGAAACCAATATACACTGAAAGTTAAAAGGATTTTTAAGACATTTTGGTAAAGGTCTTTCTTAAAAATTATTAAAAATGCTAAAAATTTCTGAAATTCTGTAAAGTTTACTTTTTTTAGGAAAGGAAATTTTTAATTTTTAAGAAAGAAAACCTAACTACTTTTGAAGTATAAAGTTTAAAGTAATGTTTTTAAGATAAAGTAGTATTTTTTTGGTTAATCCAGTGGCCAAACAAATTTGTCTTCAATTATTTTAACATTTTATAATTTTTCCCAATTTATGTCTATTTCCTAATCCATTTAACGATGCCTCCATGACCCGGTCAGTTCATTTATCTTTAGGATGACACAACAGAAAATCTGTATTTTTAAAATGTTTCGTTTTTATGTTTTTTTATGAGAAATTTACCAAGCTAAACGTTTGAATTACCACAAAATAGAAGGTATAGACGAGGGAAATTGTTGCAAAACGACAAACATTTAAAAAGCCGCTCATTCATGGGGCGATTGTCCTATAGATAGACCGATTTATATAGAAGATACATAGAATGGATCTACTAGGAAACCGAAACTGCTTGAGATGAAAAACGTTTTCTGGTCTGACGGTCCGACGGTGTTTCATGTTTGTTGTTTCTTACGGCGTGGGCGGAGGATGAGAGGCATCAACTTAGAGAAACAAATAAATACCAGGCCGGCAATGGGATATTCGTAGCCATTTATCACGTTTTCTATGTGTTTTCAATCCCATGAAGAGCCTCCCGGCGAGATCCCCATACTCCCAGAACACGTCGAAATCCTAAATGAAAATTGTCAAAATTTATGCCTTGACGTCATTTTCGGTTTTCCCGGTGCACGGCCAAAACCGATTCCGCTCAACCACATGTCAATATTGCGTTCTCCATATCGAAATATCGCACGAGCGTATAGCCGATGGATATATAATATACACATGTGTAAACACAACCGAAAAGTTGTTTGTTTTCCTTTATTTTTGTTTATGTCGAATTCAAGAACATTTTGTGTTCGTTTTTGATTATAATTGTAATTGCCTTTTCTGTGTGTGCACTTCTAAAAATGGAACACAAATCTATCAGAATCGAAGTTCAAATGCCCTTCAACTGCGGATAATCCCCAGGGGGCTGTCGTTTGATTGAAATGCGTTCTTTATATAGAATCTTGGAATCGAAATCAAATTAAAGTTCAAAGAGACTTTCGAATGGCAGCTGTCGGTTTTCGTGAAAGCTTTTTCTTTTTAATTGAAGTAAAGTTAGATTTAATGGAAGATTAGAAATTAGTGGAATAAAGTGAATAATATATGTTTAAAAGATAAAAGTTTCTTGAGAAAAAACCTTTTTAATTTTCTGAAGAGTATTTCTATCTTACCAGGAGAAACGTCTATGAAATTTAAGATTTATTTAAATTAAACCATAAATAGCTTAAATGAACTGAGAAAGATTTCATTTAAACAATCTTAGACAATCTTTAAACATTTTCTCTGATATAAAATCAATGCAAACCTCTGGCCAAAATGGAAAATCCCTTCTTATAAGAAAGAGCGTACAAGTCATGTGGTTTTTGGTTGGATTATTTAAGCCAAATTGCACTTTGGCATTAACGATTGATATACGAAGTGCCAGGAGATAGATGGCAGCGAGCTAATGAGGCCAAAATTCTTATAGTTTCCATCAGCGCGATGTCCTTTCGGTCGAGATCACGAACCCAGGCGCCGCTGTCCAGCCGCCGGCGATCGCTGTCCTCCAGTTCACGGATGGCTCCCTCGGGTGGGGGAACCGGGGTGTATAACTACAATGGAAGTAGCTATAACAGTTCCGGCAGCACTGGTCGTCCCTTAAGCACAGGTTACTTCCCCAGCAGCAGTGGCACCTCCAGTTACCAGAGTCCCTATGCCAGTGTCTATAATTCACGTGAGAGTTTGTACGGCGGAGGAGCATCAGCTGGCGGACGGAGTGCTTATGGTAATGCAGGCAGTCGCTATGATTACGGGGCATCCAAATATCACCATCATCATCATCATCATCAGCAGTTCACCAGCACCAGCAACCACTATTCGAATCAGCATTCCCATCAGCCAACCGCAAGCAGTGGTGGCCCATCGTCGGCTGTAACCTCATCCGCCTCCACATGCCATGCCTCCACATCCATAGCTTCTGCGGCCAATGCCACGCCAGCAACTAAAACGCAATCGCACCAGGGCAATCGCTACTATCTGCAGCTGCAGCCAACCACCGCTTCATCAGCTTCGGGTTCGGTGGCCACCGGCGGAGGTCACCATTATAGCCACCTGGTGGTGGGCAAGCATATTAGCCAAACCCACAATTACGGCCAATCTAAAGCATCTGCTCTCTCCTCCTCTCTGTCCACCGTCTCATCCTCATCGTCGTCCACTACCTCGAATGGAACAGGCAGTGGTGGTGGCGGTGGCTACGACAGTTCAAGGTACAATCCCAGCTCTTACTCCTCGGCGGGATCTTCGTACTCCACCAGCGACCGTTATGTCAGTCCCTATTCGAGCAGTTATGATAAGGGCGTGACCACCGCCTCGCTCAGCTTCAAGTCGCCGAGTCTGAGTTCATCCAACTCATTCAAGGGTTCTCGTTTGCTGAAGACCAAATCCCTGTCGGCCTCTAATAGTAGCCTGAATGCAGCCTATGCTGGTGGAGTATCTTCCAGCTCAAATGGAGTAACCAGTGCTGGAGCCACAGTGGCGGCCATTGCAGCCACAAGAAGTAATTCGCTACGGGAACAGGAACGCAAGTCCCGTAATCGCACGCGTTCTAAGAGTGCAGCACAAAGGTCTATTAGTGCATCCTCGGAGAAGAGCGAGGGATATGAAGTAAGCAGGTGTTATGGCTAAGTTTGTATTTATTTAAATATTATGAGTGTTGTTGTTGTTGGTATAGAAATAAGCATTTTCTTATTTATGTATTTTAATATTTAAAAAGATTGGCTTTGCAAACATAGTTCTTAGCTCAAACTTCCAAAAGAAAAACTTTTGATTTGAATAGAAGCTACTGAAGCATAGATCTTAAGTCCTTAATTACTAAATTATATTTATTTTTCCTCCTTATAGAGCGGCAGTGAGCGGACATCTCGCTCCCGACTGGGCAGCACCGCGAGTACGGCCACCACTAGCGAGTCGAAGAGCTCCAGCAGCAATGATAAGACGGAGAACGGTGATGGCATTGACTACAAGGCGCTCTGGGAAGCGGCCAAGTGAGTATAAAGCCCCCTTCAAGAAGCCCGAAATATAACCACAATAATCGCTTATCCTATTTAGATTGGAGAATGATAAGCTGAAGCAAATGCTCAAGCAGAAGGACGATGAAGCCGTGCAGACACGTGCAACGCTCGAGAGATTCGCCAATGCCGTAAGTACAGCAACACATGCCCCTAACATGCCACGCCCACATAAGCCCACTATATAAACCAAAAGCCAAATATAAACAGAAACTGGCAGCAGTAACAAACAACAAAACAACACGCAACACCATAAACTTAGTTCAAGGATGCCACTAAAAAATATAAATCTTTTTATCACACATAAACCACCCACCTAGCTGCCTCTTTTTCCCCCTCATGTGAAGCTTACTGCTCGCGCTCTCTTTCGCTCTTTACACCCCGCTCTCGTATATGTATATTTTTTCGATCTTTGTTTAACAACAACAAACAAACAAACAAAAAAAAAACCCAAAAACAACACCACAAGACTGAACAACAGAAAACTATGACCCAAGATCCGAATCAAAATCGAAAAAGAAAATAGAAAAACAACCACATCTTGTTTCATTTCACATTCGCAGACAACGAAAAATTCACTATCTGAACTTGAGAAACGCGAAAGAAGAGCTATGGAACGCAAGCTTTCCGAGTTGGAAGAAGAGCTCAAGGTAATTACAAAAGTGTCCCTCTTTGCTAACTAAATAAGCGTTAAACGTTGCCGCCGCGCTGTTGCTGTTTTTGTGTTCTGAGAACAGGACTCGAAATTGATTGCTATTTTTGGTTATCCTCTTATAATTTCATGATATTTTCCCTCCCCCTTGAAAATCCCCCATTCTTGCATGACTGAAATTTTGATTTATTAACCCACCTTTTTGGATTAATTCATATTGAGATCTGTTCTGTTCTTATAACCCAAACAAAAAACAAAACCCCTTTGCACTGAGTTGGAGCAAACAACGTTTCTCACTCTCTCACCCTTAATAATATTTTAATCGAAGTTTTATTATTGCCTTATACCCTTATACTTTTTGGCCAGATGCGCTTTATACACCATATAGAACACCTAGTTGACTAGCTGTCTTCTGTGTGTGAATGCCATGGCACTTGATTTTATTTAAAATTGATTTACCTCAAGACCTGTGTATAGTATATTGTATATTTTTGTGCCACCCCCCGCTGTACAGTGAAGCGATCGCTTTGGTTTTCGTTGCCTATTTATTTTTGACTCCCCCCACCTTCGCTTCGTGATCAGATCATATATTTGTTTTCTATCGTTTTTTTTGTATTTTTTCTTCATATCACACAACAGCAACAACAGACATCAGACATGTTCTCATCTTCAGATCATTTTGTTTCTCTGTCATCAATATGTCATCTCAATTCATCACTCGCTCAATCAATATCTCGCTCTCTGTCATTCGTCACCTTTTATGATTTTTGGTCACTGTTGCTCCCATGCGTTTATATACGTTACACGTTTACCGTTATACGTCTACCGATCGCACTCACCACTTAATTGTTAAAAATTAAAAAAAAAAAAATACAAAAGCGCTCTCATTCAATACGCTCACTCAAATTTGATTTTCTTTTCTCTCTCTCTTCCCACGCGCCTCATCGATCGAACAAACAATCAATCGAACTATCGAAACAATCGATAATCGGCAATCGCTCAAATGAAAATATGCGTTCTTTCCACTTATTTTTCTTGCGTCGCTGCTGTTGTCCTTATTTTTTTTGTGTGATTTTAGCTATTGCAGAAGCTAAAGACTGAGAACGACCGTCTGCGAGCCGAGAATCGGGCCCTCACACGGGTCGTCTCCAAGCTGACCACCTCGGCTCAGAGTCAGCTGGCCAAGACCAAATAGGCGCAGATCAAAAGCATTTAGATTGCCCAGCACCAGCCCACATATGTTCACCCAAAAGAAAAAAATCTCTCACGCCCCCTTTGCTCACAAGCACAATGTCGCGAAGATCGTTATATCGTTTCTATTAGAGAACTGGAAAAACATCGATGTTCTTAAGCAGGTAAACATCGATAATCAAATAACAATCGATGTTTTTCCTGCTCTTATTTCTTTTAAACAATACTTAACACACTTCGATGTTGTTAAAAATATTATTATTGATATATAAGCATAACCGATTACACAATAACTAAATGTATCGTAGCTAAATTAAGTTCACATTGAGCTCATTGGCTTTGGACTGCTGGTCACTGGTAATATACACCTTAAACCTTACTACAATATACTATAACTCCTTGGGAGTTATTTATATACTACAAAACCTTTGATAATACCGCAAACTTGAAAAGTAGTTAATTTTTGAATAGAAAAATATTAATCTCACGGCTTGTTTTCGGAAAACCTAAAAATATGCGCGCTAGGTGAAAATGTTTGCGAATTTATAATGTAATTTATATCGGACTATATCATTATATGGGACCTACAGACCAACCCACTGTACGGTTGATAAGTACTTATAAATCAAAAGTTAGCCCACACACTCGAATCAAAGCAAAGCTCATCGAAACCAACGAGATCAATCATCAATGCCCCCACCACCAGCAAACAATAAAAATGAAATGAAAAACAGCATCAGCGGCCCAAGGATCTGGAGGGTAGATATACGAGTATATAGAGTATCCAGAAGTCGATCATCTGGGAGAGGCGAAGAAGTGGTCTTAGTTGGTGATGCTGGAAGCTTAACGGTAAATCCCCAACCACTGACACTGAATTGAGCCATTCTAAGAACCTGCGCCCCAAATATTATGAGCTGGCTGTTGTTTTGTTGTTATACACATACCACATAAAAAAGAATATAATAAAATATATTTTAGCTATAACTGTAACAAGGAGTGTTTCAAATTGTTGTTTAATTTCTGACAAAAAAGGAAACACTAAAGTGTATATGATTTGTTTACTGCTGAAAGATATTTTATGGCGCCTTAAAAGATTTCAAAAAAGATTTTCAAAAAGTTTTTAAAAATATTTAAATAGTGTTTTTAAAATTCGAAAATAACTGAATTAAGCATTCTGTCAACTCTATTAAACTTTTTGAAACACTCCCAATGTACATATAAAAAATACTTACTTAATACTCTACTATTTAAATAATGTCTATTAAACTATACTATGGATTTATACCTCTTGTTGTTAATATTGTTACCAGTTTTATCTGCAATTTTGTTTATCCTTTTGTGTGTTCTCGACCACAACACCATCGAACGATCTTGAGTTATACAGATATATATATATATTATATATAAACATATATGAAATAAACAAAACTTTTGCTCATTGTCGTTCTTATTCAACTTTTTGCTGTTTATTGTTTTGAATACGCCACATTGGGTGGGTGTACGTCCATGGAAGCACACTAGCATCAGGCATAAAAATTCATGAGATCCATTCGTCATTATACGATCGATCCGTCTATATAGCTCGCTTATCACAATCATAAAAAAATACACACGAGTCAGATTCCGCAGAGACTATTATCTAAGCGCCTATGTTTCAAGTTTCGAGTGTAGTTTGTGGTTAAGTGCATGTTAACTGGTTTTATTCTTGAGATTAGGGCGTCCAGATGAATTTTTTATTGTTTTCGTTTTAGGTAATTACTAATTGTTTGTTGTTGTTTCTGTTGTTGTTGCTGCTGTGGCTGCGGCTACCGCATCCTCAAATAGAATAACGAAGCATGCCCCATGCACATCTAACCTCAAGACTTGTGCTTCCCCTTGCCATAAACGTATAATGATTGCCGATATCTATATAATATGAACTAATTATATGTCATCTCATCCGTTTAATAGCAACTCGATGCCTACAAGTTGGATAATCATCGCCTGAAGGAGGAGAACGCAGCGTTGATTAGAGTAATTAGCAAATTAAGTAAATGAAATTATGTTCTATTTTTTCAGTGTATGTATGTCTGAGAACCTACCTATATATATATCATCGAGAAGCAACAATTTTACTTTATTTACCAGCTGGAAAAAGGCTGAAAAAGAAAGAAATAAGAGAATGTTAAAGCATAATGCGATGTAAGCAAAAGAGCGGGAAATTCGCGTGAAAATTTCAAAATTTGTTTATTATTTGTGTTAGGCCGTTAAGAATTAGGTGAAACCATGTTTCAAATATCGTTGAGAATTGTTTCGTTCGTTTTTATATAAAAAAAAAAAAGAAATGAAAAATTAAACTTATGTATTTGGTCAAATTTTATATACGAAATAGAGCAAATTATAAATAAACTTACACAAATCAAGCTTAACTATATATATATTTACATACATAAAACTTACGTGAAATGTATGACGATCAGAAGAGGATCGCAGGAAAATTAAAAACAAAAACCTTTACATACAAACTGAGAACATATTCATCAAATGAGCCCTAGTTACATTACAGATTAGTTTAACTACATGATACATATAAATATATATATATTTTTTCATATATAAATTATATATACACATTACATAATACACACATATATATATATATATAAATATATATATATATATATTTAAAGCAACAGAATCATAAGTTCAACATTTCAATGTAATATCATCAAGGATCCAGACCGCTAGTTCAGAGAGTCCGGAGATGTGTCGAAACCAGCCCACGCGTCAACTTACTAAGTGTAATCATTATCATTCAATTGTAATTGTGTTTAGTACTGCAGATATATATATTATATATTAATATATATAGATATATGGTGATTCCATCTAAAGCTATAGTTTGTGTACCCTTTAAACTGAGGAGTCTTTATATCAAAAGCTCCATGGCGCTATCCTATATATCAGAATGGGTATCATTGCAGATGCACTATTATTTCTATTATTTGAGTACCTTAATTTAAGCATACACTTTTAGTTCTCTCCTTCACTTCGAAACGTATTATATACATTTACATCGTACTATATTTTACTTTCGCTTATAACGATACAAATGATCATACGCATATTTCTGTTATTTATTAAATTCGCTTAAGAGATTTTGTGTTACTCATAAATGGAAACGATAATCAAGCATAAACAAATATAAAAACGTGAATTGTGTAATATGTAAAATTGTGTGAGAAAATATTTAAGAAAATTTGATTCAAATACGAAACTTAATAAATGTGATCGCAAGCAAATTCATTTGTTGTTTTTCTTCTTTATTGGCCTTGCCAAGGATGAGTGGGTCTTCTGGTGCTTCTCGGAATTTTTTTATTTCAGCCTAGATAACAACCTGTTCATTATTTTGACGTTGGTATCTCTTATTCAAGGTGTTTCTGAGTTTATTTTTTTATTGACAGCATTTCGTTTTTTATTATTTATTTCAAGATAAGAAATGTGAAAGAATGAATAGTTCAGATGAGAAATTCGCAGAAAACTTCTTTTTTACTTTTCCTTTGGGCTACTCATGGTTTTTATACCCGTTACTCGTAGAGTAAAAGGGTATACTAGATTCGTTGAAAAGTATGTAACAGATAGAAGAAAGCGTTTGCGACCCTATAAAGTATATATATTCTTGATCAGGATCAATAGCGAAGTCGATTGAGCCATGTCCGTCTGTCCGTCCGTCCGTCCGTCCGTATGAACGCTGAGATCTCAGGAACTATAACAGATACAAAGTTGGGATTAACCATGAAGATTCTTGAGGTCCCGGGACAGTTTATTACAGCATCCTGCCACGCCTACTCTAACGCCCACAAATCGAAAAAAACTAAAATTGCTGAAATCTCAGGAACTATTGGAACTAGAAAGTTGAAATTCAGAAAGTATAATCTCTAGATGCCAGCGCATCTTATAATGGTTCTACTATCCGGCCACACCCACCCATACGCCCACAAGGCTCAAAAGACGGTTTTCGGATTTTCTAGAAAAGCTTATATCTCGGTAACTATAAGAGATAGAAAGTTCGGATTAAGCATGTAGGTTTTTATGATGCCCCCAATGCGAATTGTTTTTTACCGATCAAGCCACACCCACTCTAACGCCCACAAAACCCGAATAACCAAAAATGCAAAAATCTCGAAAACTATAAAAGCTACAAAATTTTGCCTAAGAACACGTATTTAAGAGATGCGTTTACAACTTGCCAAGAAGTTGCATCTGGCCACGCCCACTCTAACGCCCACAAACCGCGGAAAACTGTGGCGTCTATAATATTGTTATGAGTGCCTTCGTTTGACCTTGTATTACTTATTTCTGTTAATATCTATCGATTTACCAAATCGAATTTTTCAAATCGGAACATTATTTCGCTATTTATAAAGAAATTAAGGTTATAAGGCCTCACATGGGCAGTGACGTCATTATAAGCATACTCAACATACTTCCTCTGACAATAGGTAGGACAATAGTATCTTATAGTCGCGGAACTCGACTATAGCGTTTCCTCTTGTTTAATCTGTTTTCTATCAGTTTAAATGACAAGTTATTTTTTTAAAGTACAGAAAATAGTTTATTATATTAAAATTTTTTTTTAAAATTATAGCTTGCCTTGCTTACATATCCTCCCAAATTCTTATTAATTGGTTTGATTTTGATTTTGGGAAATTCCCTCAAAACAGCTTTAAAGTCAGTAAAGTAGGTGGTATTCCTTTGCTGACCTATATAATAAAAATAAACATAAATCTTAAGCATCTGCTTTCTTCATCACAAAAAGTATAGCTCATATAGTTTTCGATCCTGATCAAGAATATAAAATTGACTTCACACTCCAAATAAAACAATAATCTGCAAGTAAGGGATAACGATATTTGATCCTTTAAAGCAAACCACTTTGTTGTGTTTGCAGAATATATCCTATTCATATTTTGATCTTATAGGACCTTTGATCTATATTGTAAAAGAAATCTTCTAAAAAAAATAGAAATCTCAGTTAACCTTCAAAAAAGCCGCTTAGAAGTACCATTTGTAAACAGCAGTTCTACGTATAGAGTACATAAAATTAGCAAAAGCATGTTGGTGTCATTTGCTGATAGCCCTTACCTTTAGAATGCTTCAATATTACTTTATGATTGGCAGGCACAGACGGAACCAAATCTGACAAACAGTATTATCAAGCAAGGAACCATAAACAATTGAAGGTTGATGGCAAGCGAGCCCCTCTGCTATATAAGACGGGCAGATCAGAAGTTGTGATCATATCAGTTAATCATTCACATTGAGCAACATTACCTAGAAAAGTTTCACAGGAAGATGCAAAGGATAATCGCAATTGTGGCCATTATGGTATTCGGCATGTCCATCGTGGATGCCCAGACCTGCCAGGAGTGCCAGACGGATAACGATGTGTACTGCCTCACTCAGACCACATATCAGAATTGCATGAGTAAGCCATGGATATATAATCTTAATCCTTGGAATATTAGCATCCTAAAACCATAAGAAAATGCAGAACTATATAAGTACTGAAATCTTAAAAACTGTATAATACTTTCTGCCACAGAAAATGCACCAATTGGAGATGTTGTGACATGTCCAACAGGCACTGTTTGCTCCAATTCCGACGATGTGTGTGTTGATAGCTCGGAGGTGAACTCAACTATCCTTGATGTGTGCGGATCCTCCGACGGAAACGGTGCCCAGTGCGAAGTGTGTTCATCAGGTGCCAAATACGCCTGTGTCAGCGGCACCCAGTATGCCCGTTGCTCCTCCAGCGGTGGTCTACTCACCTCCAATGTCTACAGCTGCGATACCGATGAGATTTGTATCGTCGATGCTTTTTCAGCCTATCAAACTGTCTGTGTGCCTTCATGTGCCGCCGATTTTGTAAGTTTTGTTTGGCCATGGAATTCGGTCATCATTAATCGTTGATTCTTTTATAGCTGGATCTGACTGCCACATGCAGCAACAGTGCTTACGAGACAACAACAACAACGACCGCTGCCCCGACGACAACTCCCAGTGCTACTCAAAAAACTGATTACTGCGCAGCTGGCGAGCCTACTACCAATCCCGGATACTTCTTTACCAGGATCACTGATGACTCTACGTGCAATAGTTACCTATATTGCCAGAAATCGGGAACTAGCTGGATAGCCCTATACATGACCTGTGCCTCTTCGACCCCATACTTTGACTCAACCACCAGTTCCTGTGTGGCAACCGAGCCTGCCAGCTGCGCGACCACCACTACCACTCAATCTTCTACCAGTAGTGATTCTTCAACATCGGATTCTTCCTCCACGGAATCTTCTTCATCTTCTTCGTCGACGGCGTCTTCTACGGAATCATCTTCTACGGATTCTACCTCATCTTCTTCGGATGCATCCTCTACAGAATCTACCTCGACGACTGATTCTTCTTCGTCTAATAGTGAATCCTCTTAAACAGAGTATTCATTGTTCTTTTAGTAACACAAGTAATAGCTTTCTGATGGAAGTAGAAAGATGCCATTGAAAGTATAAAAACATTGTATTAGATTTGTAAACAATCTTTAATCATTTAATAAATCTGAGATAATATTTACGTTACGTTTATGAGTTAACTATTGCTGATTAGTCGTTATTGTGATCTTACGATTTTAAATATCACTAAAATCAAAGAAACGAACTTGGGCAGTTTAATAATCAGCTAATGGAACTCAATTGTTGGGGGTGTATGTAGTTTGAAAAAGCCTCGAGATGTTTAGCATTTTATATGCCATGAAATACCATAAGATTATTAGCCAAAACCCCATAAACGGAGAAATGAATATGTATGAATGTTGCGATAAAAACAGTTCGCGTCATATGTGTATGTATGTACAATCGGTTTACGCTAAAAGTAAAAGCATTTTCACAATTATTAAATATTCATGTTGAGGACAACTCGCAATACTAGAGACCTTGATTTTGTGTGTGCATGCTGTGGCTTCTATTTAGCTGAAATTAATGGGTTAAGTTCTGTACATTGATGGCCGTAAACACTTGGACATAAACACACAGATGCGCACACAAGTCAGCGCGTCTAAATATACAAACGGATACAAACATATGCCTCGAATATGATATTCCGAACCAACTCGCATGCCGCCGACTGATTTATCTAGCGCACCCGGTTCGTCGAGGGGAACAACATTCGAAATCTTATTTCATTGCTACTACTAGTACTGCACACATTACGATCTACGAGATTTTACAATAAAAGTTTCTCGCTTAATTATCTTAATATTTCGTCGAGTGAAAGCAGCATATACATAATTCTTCCCCGACTCCTCCGGCGCTTTTTGCTGCCATATGTCATTGGCAGCGATTGTCGCGGCAATTAAACATTAAATCAAATGAATTGCAGATGCAAAGCAGCAAGACCAGGAGCAGCCGGGTGATGGCTGGGGGCTGGGGCTAGTTGGCCAGCCCACATTTAAATGCGCAAATGGAAATTATGGCCATTGACGACGCACGATCGGCCCGGGACGCTGTACGTGGGCAGCGGCGAATGCACAAACTGCAAATATAAACACACAGCGAATTAGATATAGAATCAAAAAATGATGGATGTGTGTACGAACCTTTGGCACCCTCTGGTTGGTTGCCATGTAGCCGACACAGAACGACTGCGTCGTGTGGCTCCACATCACCTCACCGCTGCTTTGGCCCGGGTAATACAGTAGTGTGAGAGCTCCAGCATAGAGATCCTGCTGTCGTGGAAGCAGTGGAGAATCCAGGAACTTTTGCTTGAACGTCTTATGCAGACTGGTCACCGCACAATCACTGCTAAAGGCTCCGTGGCATATCTCTCTGGCCAACAGCGTTTTCATCAGGTACTCACCGTTTCCGGTTGTGCAGGTGGCAATAGCCAATTCGTCCGTATCGGTGGCCCAGCAACCGGCTCCATAAGTCGCCGCCTGGCCCACTCTGCCTGGCACTTTTAGAAGTATTCCACCAGAGCTGCAACCAGCTGCTGTGTTCCCAGCCCCATCCACACACACCGCACCCACGGTGTCCAAAGCGGCTGCCAATTCAACTTCGTTTCCTGGCTCCGGTACTGGTACGGATTCTTCAGAGGCCGCCTTGTTCAATCTGGTATTGACCACCATATCGTACTTGGTCTTATAGTGATTAAATTGGAATTTGGCTTTTGATGAGATCAGCACGGCGGGATCCACCATGGAACATCCCACCTCGTCTGCATAACGTTCCGCTCCAGTGCCGGCAAGTATCATTGGTGGAATGCGCTCCAGGAGCTGTGCACTTGACTGGGCATCACAGATGCGTCTTGCCAGTTGGATAGGATTTTTTACTCGACTGACATTAGTGCATGCTCCAAAGTTCAGAGTGGAGCCATCCATTATGGCCGCATCGCATTGCACTGACCCGTCCATACAAAGATTAGAGCCATAGCCGGCGTTTGTGTAACCGCAGTTCTCCAGCCGAACAATGGCCGCCTCGCATGCGTCTAGGGCGCTACCTCCGTTCCGTAGAATGTCCGTGGCCCGCAGACAGGCTTCTTTGATCACCCGCTGGTACTTGGTCTCGTCGATGCAATTCCCAGCCCCTGAGAACGGATGGCGATCATCAATCATCCGGCTGCCAGCCGTTTGCCCGGCGGATCGGAACCGCCTTGGCTAAATACGAACCTGTGTGCACCGCCACGAAGCCGGCCATGTTAGTATCGCTGTTTATGCTCGCGCCTTGTTGATGGCCCAACTGCAATCGGTGAGCTATACGGCGTAAACAAAATGAAAGTGTGACCGCTCTTGGTAGTTTTAAATATACCGCACTTTATAATGCTTTTTATTTACGTCAGCAGTATTGAAAAAGACCAACACTATACTAAGAAAAATTTGTAGTTTCTTGATTTAAAATAATAAACTGTCAAACATGGCAACTAAACATTTTATTTTAATGCAAATTTTGAAAATCTTAGTATTTTAAATTTAAATCAACTGCACTTGAGCGTAATACTTCACTTTATTTTTTGCCTGTTATCAAAAGTTCCCTAAAAATTATCCAAACAGTCGTATTACCAAACTTTTTAAACCACATTAATTCAATTTATTCAAAACAACTAATATTGTTAGAATTCTTCATATCTAACGATCGATACCCTATGTATGTTATCGAATAGTCTTACAATCGGCTCACGTCCGATACTTCTGACTTAGTATGTTATTGCCTATCCTTTTCTGGTCACACCGATTTTTGGCAAATAAAATATTCGCATACAAAAGTAAGCACTTTACCTATATAATGTGTAATATATAATCGATCAAATACCTGTTCGAGCCATCATAAATGCCAACGATATCAAGTTTACATCCGCGAACCCAGTGAAATGGAAAGAAAGTGATTGCTTATTCGCCCCACGAACAATTGTTTGTGTGTTTGTACTTAGTGACGTGCGCTCGCTGCGCTGCCACTGCGCTGCTACCGCGCTGTCTCTGCCCAACTGCAACGCAAAAGGGGAACCTAAAGTATTGGATATCTAGATCACGTAGGATCGTAGGATCGCAGGATGGAAAAGTTTCCGCTTAAGGGGAGCAGGGAAGCTGCCGCGGAAGGCAACAGCTACATAACCGCCTATCAAACGGTCATGAAAAAGGTTCGTGGTAAACCCATTGGGATTTCCTCTACACACATACACATCACATTGCGAACAAATAGAATATTCCGCTTAATTTTAGATAAAGGAAATTCTGGTTCATTCTCTATCTATCTGTTTCGAGGAAATATTTTTACATGTTTCCGTTCTCATTAAAAATAGTCATCTTAAAATTATTGTATTCTAGTAGACAATTACATTCATAGGTCATTGTTTTGGTTTAGAAAACGTTCGTTATTTCTTGATAAGTTGAATCTATTACGAATATATTTATACTTTGTCTCATTATTTGATGATTTTTTAAACTAATTCAATATATTACTAAGTTTCCAAGACCCTTCTAAAACACAAAAACTTAATAAGCTAAAATTAAATTGTAAATTACCTCAAAACCCAAACAGTTCATTTTGAAATTTGGTCAAAATGGGTTTGAGAAGCACTTTGGATAAGGGCTTATTGCGACACCCCTGATTTCAACAGTATTCTCCGGAACGATACAGAAACATCTGGCATAAAGGGGCGGAATTGCTACCTAACGTAATTCTACGTATACTTGTATGTTTATTATTCTATTTAACTTGCTTTGTCCGAGATCTTAATCTTATCAGAGTCTATGCGTAAACAAAGCGTTTGGTTACCTCTCCAAATTCACAAACCGTACCTTATAGCTTTTCGGGTTTTTCGCTTTTTTCAGTCGAACGGCCACACGAACGGAGCTGGCGGTGACGGCGACCTAGACGGATCTTTTCGTGATCACCCGCTAGCCCAGCACTCCAAACTGACCACCTCGCTGACGGCACCGGGCACCGACGACGAGGACATGATCGACATCACACCGCGCTCCAGTCCGGGAGACGTAATTGGCGGCGGCGGCGGAAGCAGCAGCGGCTATCATCGGGAAACGGCAACAGAATCGGACACCGAGCGAGATTTCGGACACTTAGGCGGCAGCGGTGGCAATCATCACAATCAGCGGACAATGCACCAGCATCACCACCAGCATGTGCCAACTCACAGTGCCTTCGGCGATCCCATGGACGGTGAGTTCAGAGGGATCCATTGCGTAAAGTACCACTGTCACTGTCTGTGGTGTTAATCAAGATCACGATCATATGAGTAACGCGACGCCAACTCGCCTCGTCGCCGGTACCCAGTTTTCGGTGGCGTGGCATACAGCTGTACTCGTTCTCTGAGCATTTCAATTAATACGTACGAAATTATTAGCATACAGACATGTGCATATTTGTGGAGACACTGGTTGGATACTAGATAAATTCATGATATATCATAGAAAATACCAATACATAGTAATAGTTGACACACGTGATGCTAATTTAGCAAAATAATCAGAGAGTTGTCTAAATCAACATCCAGCTGGCGTTTCCATTGATAATAATTTATTCGAATGACAATGGTTGGATTAAATTTGTTGGGTAAATACCAATACCGAATGTGATGACTATTAGAATCACTGGGCAATGATGATATTAACAATTCGATCAATATCCATAAAAATAATCAACTTTATTGTAGCGAAAAACTGAAATGTGTTTACAATGTCGTAAGCTGAAGCCGTGAATATAAAAAATCAGTTTTACAGCTTATTCATTTATATATGGCACTTATAAAGTGTTATAAAGATATATGTTTTTAGTGACACATATCAATAAAATATAAGTATACTATTGACTGGTCCTCTGTGGACTTTGACACCAAATCATTTGAATTAAAATGATGAATCTAAGCAATAGGATTCGAAGTTTACAGTGTCAAAACCAAAATGCTCATTATACTCATTTTTATTGCTGTAGGAGCACTATCCTTCTATGGTTCCTCGGATGTACAAGATGATATTCCTGGCATTGGACAGTACGAAGATTTCCACACCATCGATTGGCAGCGGGATATTGCCCGGGACCGAATGCGACATCGCTATATAGTCAAGAAGCGTCAAGACTCCTTGTGGGATCTAATAAAGGTAAATAACCTAATAGTGTTTAAACAAAAACTCTACTAAATCGATTATCTTCTTTCAGGGTTCGATTGATGCTGGATCTGGATGGCTATGCGTTTTGCTTGTCGGCATAGCTGCTGGTTGTGTGGCGGGTATGGTAGATATTGGAGCCAGTTGGATGTCGGATTTAAAGCATGGCATTTGCCCACCCGCATTTTGGTTTAATCGAGAACAATGCTGCTATCCGGCTAAGCAGTCTGTGTTTGAAGAAGGCAACTGTTCGACGGTGAGTAAAAATATATTTTTGTTTACAAAAAAGCCAGTAAATTAGCTTTTTTTCACAGTGGAAAACCTGGCCTGAGATCTTTGGCCTAGATCGTAATGGTACCGGACCATATATTGTCGCTTACATATGGTATGTGCTTTGGGCCTTGTTATTCGCATCGCTCAGCGCCTCCCTAGTGCGTATGTTTGCACCATATGCTTGTGGATCTGGTATTCCAGAGATAAAAACCATATTGTCTGGCTTCATTATACGCGGTTACCTAGGAAAATGGACGCTGCTAATCAAATCAGTGGGTCTGATGCTGTCCGTGTCTGCTGGACTCACTTTGGGCAAAGAAGGACCCATGGTCCACATTGCCAGTTGTATCGGCAACATATTCTCGCACGTTTTCCCTAAATATGGTCGTAATGAGGCCAAGAAGCGTGAGATTCTTTCGGCGGCAGCCGCGGCAGGTGTCTCTGTAGCCTTCGGAGCACCTATCGGTGGAGTCCTGTTTTCGCTGGAGGAAGTATCATACTACTTCCCTCTGAAGACGTTGTGGCGGTCCTTTTTTTGTGCGTTAATAGCTGCGTTCGTCCTGCGATCCCTGACTCCGTTTGGCAACGAGCACTCAGTGCTGTTTTTCGTGGAGTACAATAAGCCATGGATCTTCTTTGAACTCATTCCTTTTGTTTTCCTAGGTATTATGGGGGTAAGTTTTATATTATTTTAATGTTTGATACTTTATAAATACGGTTTAACTTATAGGGTGTAATTGGAACCTTCTTCATCAAAGCCAATCTATGGTGGTGCCGCTACAGGAAGTTCAGCAAGCTGGGCCAGTATCCCGTCATGGAAGTTCTCTTCGTCACCCTGGTCACTGGCATTATTTGCTACCCTAACCCATTTACGCGTATGAACATGAACGAGTTAATATTCCTATTGGTCAGCAAGTGTTCACCCGGCGATGTCACCAATCCTTTGTGGTGGGTTTTTAAAATACAAAGTTTTTGTTCTTAACAACTCAACCACATTTAAATGTCCTCTTCTAGTGAATACAAACGCATGAACATCACGATGGGCAACTCTATCATTGAGGTCACGGAGCCTGGTCCCGGCGTGTACAGCTCCATTTGGCTGTTAATGCTTACCTTTATCCTCAAACTGGCCCTGACTATCTTTACGTTTGGCATGAAAGTGCCGGCTGGATTGTTTATTCCGTCCCTACTCCTCGGCGCCATCATGGGCCGCATTGTGGGAATTGGCGTAGAGCAGTTTGCCTACAGCTATCCAAATATATGGTTCTTCACCGGTGAATGTGCGGACAGCAATCTCATTACGCCCGGATTGTATGCAGTGGTTGGAGCTGCAGCTGTACTTGGAGGTGTAACTCGCATGACTGTCTCTTTGGTAGTGATAATGTTTGAGCTGACGGGCGGTGTGAGGTATATTGTGCCCCTGATGGCAGCTGCCATGGCCTCAAAGTGGGTGGGTGACGCTCTAGGCAGGCAGGGCATCTACGATGCGCACATAGCACTGAATGGGTATCCGTTCCTAGACAGTAAGGAGGAGTTTGCGCACACAACGCTTGCCGCGGATGTTATGCAGCCAAAGTGAGTATATGCAAGGAGTTATGATTACATTTGAATAAATAATTTGTATTTTCTAGACGCAATGAAACTTTAAATGTTATCACCCAAGACTCCATGACGGTGGACGATGTGGAAAACCTGCTTAAAGAGACAGAACACAATGGGTATCCAGTGGTGGTGTCACGAGAGAATCAATATTTAGTAGGCTTTGTGCTGCGCAGGGATCTTAACTTGGCCATAGGTGAGCCGTCCTAAGCTTCAAGCTTTTTTTCCAATTTTCAATCTCTAATACCATATCATTCTTAGGTAATGCTAAGCGTCTGATCGAAGGCATCAGCAGCAGCTCTATAGTATTATTTACCTCGACCCAGCCCATTCAAAATCTGGGACCCCAGCCTCTGAAACTGAAAAAGATCCTGGACATGGCGCCGATCACAGTGACGGATCAAACGCCAATGGAAACGGTGGTGGATATGTTCCGCAAGCTTGGGCTGCGACAAACATTAGTGACACATAACGGGTAAGTTTTTAGACAGACATGGCTAAGCCAAAGATCTAATCTAAATTCCATTACAGTCGTCTACTCGGGGTGATTACCAAAAAAGATGTGTTGCGCCATGTGAAGCAGATGGATAACGAAGACCCTAATACCGTGCTCTTTAACTGAATTTATCAGCCAATCAGAAGCTGGGCGAGCGCTGCTTCTAGTTATTATTATGCGAACTATCGCAAACAACAATATTTGATATGTGCAAAATGCAGATTGCAATCTAAGCTTAAGTGAAAAGTTAAAAGTGTGGATGTAGAGTGGACTGAAGTGGATTAAAGTGGAATCGCGTGATTAGATCAGTTAGGATCGGACGTTCAAACGTGAGAGATTTAGCAAAATTGTGTGCAGTTCTATTATATATTTATATATCGCATATATCTCGTTAATGTTAATTGTATAATTTATTTTACTCTAGGCAAATGGTTATAAAGGATGTGTATTCATTTATCGCCATTTTGTAATTATGTCATTGTAACACTTTTTGTACACACCACATATTATTTTTATATGTTCACCTCGAGCCTGATTAAGAGTGTACACTATGGAACGATAAATAGTTGATAAATGGAAACTTTTATTTTGTGAATCGTACGTGAAAGACGCCGTTTTACCAAGATCCGAAGAGCAGTCTATAATTTTACGCAATAGTTTCGATATGGATATACGTTTTTTTGCATTTTGTTCAAAATTATACACAGAGAAATTCTTGTTTATAAAATATATAGTCTATATTTACATGTGGTATTTGTTAGAGATCTGAGAAATTTTAAAATAAACTCGTGTATATAGCAACCCTAAGAGAAAATGAAAACGTACATATTAACATAAGCAGTCATGCAAATACAAGCGATTATTTCAAAGCTAAGAAAAGAATCAAAAGTGTTTTTAATATTCGACGTAGAATATCTGAAACTCATCGGCATAGAGTCCTGCAACTAACCAGCGGCTGTAAGATAATTATTATGAGTAATTTTAATTTACCTATTTAATATGTAAATAGTATACCCATTGTCGCTGCAGCGGATAAGGCTTCCTTTGCCGCGTAATCCTCCCTTGACATGGGCGTGAGCTCCGTCACTCACCCTATAGTATTCCAGTGCTCCATCATCGGCTGGGCAGTAGATGACGTTTCCATCTCGACTGCAGGCAATGACGTTTTTAAATGGCAATGGAATCTGCACTATCAACTGGGCCAAGTCCTGTTTAGTATAGGAATATATTTGCCAAAGTCACACAATGAGTTGTTAATGTAATTACCTCATCCACAAGTCGCATATCGTGATAGAAAGCTTGGCCACTGAGATCGCAGCTCAGGACGAACTGATTGCCTCCCACTTCGGTTCGGAGCAGCGTGGAGACCATGAATCGATGTCGTCGTAGTGCTAACAATTGAATCTGCTTTGTGGCGGCTGTTTGACGACCGTTGTTCCAGCAGCGGTATACGCCACCATCGTTAGTGCCCAGTACAAAATCACATGGTCCAAGAGCCACCAAAGCTGTAGGCTCTGAGTTAATCGAGGCGGGAAGGGAGTACCTGGTAGTACAAAACGAGATAAATTATGGAGTACAAAAACTTCTTTCTGTAGTCTGATTAAAACATACTCCCAGTCTAGAGTCATCTGTCTACTCAAATCCCACTGAAGAACGCTGCCATTGGTATAGCAGGCCATTAGGAGCTTTTCACTGGTCCAGTCCAGAGCAACTGCGGCTCCCTGGGAGGACGATACACTGTAGAGCTGTTTTATGTCCACGCTAGTATCGGCACCCCTCGCCTGTTCATACAACCAGATGAAAAGCTCTCCATCCATGGTGGAACCAGCAAACATGTTCTTGTTAAATGGATTGGTGCATAAACTTCGAAGGCAGGATTTCAATGGGAGAGTTTTGGCCTCGTTGTAAATTACAAAGTTTCCATTGGCCATTCTTTGGGGAACGAAAAGCTTTAGCTGCTGATCCACGTGTTCGCACCAGTCATCATGTGGAGCCACCGTTGTGGCCACTAGAACAGGAGCATTATTGGTATGGACACACAGCCAGATGGCCAGACCTTGCGAGTTTTCTACCGCACCCATCGCCAACTTTTGATAGGTGTAAACTTGCAGTTCCTCCTCCAAGCGACATTGGCTCATCGTAAGGTCTTCCATCAGTGGAGTGGGATTCATTAGCTCCCGCTCCACCATTGGACATATTTTGTGTAACCACTTGACCAATGCCCTCTCATCATATTCGACGTCCTTGCTGCTAACTACTCGTTGTTCCGTTTGTGTGGCCACGTGCAGTTTTTCTTGTGTTCCCGTGGTTGCATCTTTGCTAGGAGGCGGCGAATCAGTGCCTGTGCAATTATCCACTAGAGCATACTGTCTTTCCAACGGCTGTGTTGCAGGAAATTCAATCACAGGTGAGCTGTAATGTGATAGTACGTCCATTTTCCACTAGCTTAAAAACCCAACTGTTTTGGTTCTACCACTCGATTATCGGTACCCATGGTAACCATTTAAGGCAACCCTCAGGCCTAATCAAGTAAATACCCCAACTGATGATCGATCATAGTCTGAACTACTCATATGTACTTTTAAATATTTTTTTTAAAAACATCCCAATTCAATTTTACGAAGCCTTAATTTTTTGAAGAACTTACTTTTAAGGTGTATTTATAACAAATTAATTTCTGTATTAGGTTAAAAATAGTTCAAGCTTTTAGTTTATACAATGAGCAAACTAAAAATTATTTTAAAAAAACATTTATGTATTATTAAAGCTGTTTTAAAACCATTTTAGGTGGCAACAATGTTTAAAAAATATAGGTGACAACCAATACAAAATACTCTAATCCAATTTTAGCCCTACATATCAGTAGGCTTATTCATCTGTCAAAAGACTGTCGTCATTATAAGCACAATTAATTTTCAGCAAAGACGTTTAAGAAGCAGAAGAAAAAAAACTAAAAAAAAATGTTGGTGTCATTGGTTAAAAAGGCCACTGGTAAGACTAAACTTATTTTATTAGCTAAGCCTTTTTTATAATAAAAACCAATGGAAGCTTGTGCAAGGATGGGCATGAAGATTGGGCAATTAAATGCAAATCAGGGGGGAGGCTACCTGGGTAATTCTGTGCAGTTTCCCAACCTTGCCCGCTCCCTTCACGCATCCTTGCCGCTTTGGGATGACAAAGACAAGACATTCGATGAATGCGAACCTGAGTTGAAGGACATTACCAAAACGGACCTTGAGATGGTAAAGAAGAAAGATGAACGTAAGTTAAAGGAGAAAGACGAATGTGAGGTTAAGGAGAAGGACGAATGTGAGGTTAAAGAAAAGGACGAATGTGAGGATGAGAAAATGGGCAAAGGAGACAAGGAATTAGAGAGCAAGGGCCGTAAGGGTGTCATCCATGCTGTCATTGGTCCCGTCATCGATGTCTACTTCGAGGAAGAAGTTCCAGAGGTGCTTAATGCTCTGAAAGTGCAGGATGCTCCCATTGATAACCTTGTACTGGAGGTAAGTATAGGGCGTAAGGGGTTTTCAAAATTATTTGTTACTAATACTAAAAAAAATATATATATATGAGCGAGCAATTTTAATGCAGGAAATTAGTAAAACTTTTAATATATATAAACTTACATATCTTACAAGCAACATCATTTTTGGAAGAAATTCTTAGGTCCTATGGGATTTTTATAAATATTACTAATACTAAGATACAAACTATACATATTGCCATAATGTGTAACTGAAGAGTGACTTTTATTCATAATATTAAAAAAAATATATGAAGGAAATTTAAATATATTTATAAATTATTTAAACATATATTTTACAAGAAAAAACATTTAAACATTAATTAATTAAAGGTTTTCCACCACTTGGGCAACAATATCGTCCGCTGCGTAGCCATGGACTCAACCGAGGGACTCAGGCGTGGTCAACCGGTCATCGACACGGGCTATCCAATCCGTGTTGCGGTGGGAAAGTCCGTCCTGGGTCGCATCCTTAATGTAGTGGGCGATCCCATTGACGATCGTGGTGAGATAAAGTCGGAGTTCTATTCATTTATCCACAATGAAGCCCCGGAGCTGAACGATCTAAGCGTAAAGCCGGAGATTCTGGTCACTGGTATTAAGGTGATCGATCTGCTGGCTCCATATGTAAAGGGCGGCAAGATTGGTCTATTTGGAGGCGCCGGAGTGGGCAAGACAGTGCTCATCATGGAACTTATCAACAACATAGCCAAATCCCATGGCGGATATTCTGTATTTGTGGGCGCAGGAGAGCGCACCCGCGAAGGGAATGATCTCTACCACGAGATGATTGAATCAAAGGTTATATCCTTGGAGGATGATACCTCGAAAGTGGTTTTGGTCTTTGGACAGATGAACGAGCCACCAGGCGCACGTTCCCGTGTTGTCCTCACAGGACTGACCATTGCCGAGTATTTCCGCGATGTTGATGGACAGGATGTACTGCTTTTTATTGATAATATTTTCCGTTTCACTCAGGCGGGATCTGAGGTTTCGGCCTTACTAGGACGCATTCCCTCGGCGGTGGGCTATCAGCCGACTCTGGGAACTGACATGGGCACCATGCAGGAACGGATTACTAGCACTCGCAACGGTTCCATCACATCCGTTCAGGCTGTCTACGTGCCTGCCGATGATCTCAGTGACCCCGCTCCGGCGGCTACATTTTCGCATTTAGATGCAACCACCGTACTTTCTCGTCCTATCGCTGAGTTGGGAATTTATCCGGCTGTGGATCCGTTGGATTCCTCGTCCCGCATTCTCGATCCCGATGTTGTGGGCGAAGAGCACTATAATGTGGCCCGAGCGGTTCAGAAAACCTTGCAGGCTTATAAGTCCTTGCAAGACATTATTGCCATCCTGGGAATGGATGAGCTTTCCGAGGATGATAAGCTGACAGTGGCCAGGGCCCGCAAGATGCAGCGCTTCCTCTCGCAGCCATTTCAAGTGGCTGAGATCTTCACTGGACATCCGGGCAAGTTGGTGCCCATCGAAAAGTGCGTGGAGGGTTTCAAGAGGCTGCTAAACGGTGAATACGATGACATCCCGGAGATTGCCTTCTACATGGTCGGGGATGCCGAGGAGGTCCTGGCAAAGGCCACCCAACTGGCCGCCAACATGTCTGGTGAGGCCGAGGGTGGGAAAGAGGAAGAGGCTAAAAAGGATGAAAAGGACAATAAAGAGGCCAAGCCCGAAGAGGGTAAGAAGGAAGAAGAACCCAAGGCTGATGCAAAGAAGGAAGAGAAGAATGACAAGCCAAAGAAAGACAAGTAAACTCGATTTTGTTCTCCAGAAATTGGAGATTTTAGTAAACATTGTATTTTAGTTATTGTTTGCTAAATATTTTTAAGAATTTTACGTTTGTAATTTTGCAAACCAAATTAAAATAAATGAAATATTCCATTATTATAATTCATTTTTTATTGTTTAAAAGAACCTAAATTTATTAACAAATTTCGAAACAAAAACATTTTTTTTAATTTTATTTGGGAAATAAAATTAACTCAACCGGGAACCAATGTCGGGGAACGGAAATTATTTGGATATTTTGTTTTAGAGTTTGTAATAGTATGAATATTAATATTTTAAGTAGAACTACAAATGACAACCGTATATCTTCCGTAAAATGGTTGGTGTTATTGGATTAAATATATGTCGCGTTCCTTTGCTTTTCCAGCATGTCCAAGAATTTTTTTAATTAAATAACTGCGAACTTACGATCCACATGTTTTGTGGTGTAAACGGTGCTTACATCCCACCTAATCATATGTTTTCCAAATAGCCGGTTAGCTGTTGTTACGTTTAATCTCTTCCTCATACTGATCATCAAAATGCTTGGGATTTTACAATTTCGCCTTGGAAATCGCTTATACTCTGTGAAAGCGGTCAAAAAAGACGCCAAAAAATACACAGACACAATCAACCTACCAAAGACCAAGTTTCCCAACCGTCTGACTGCAGCAAAACGCGAAGAACAGGAGCGTTTGGTTTTAGAGGCAAGTTCTTGCGTATGTGAAGTAACCAAACTTTTAATTGAACATAACATATTTCAGAAGAAAATCTCTTTTTCATATGAGTACCAGGAGCAGCAATTGGCGGATAAGGGACAGCCAACTTTTGTCCTTCATGATGGACCACCGTATGCCAATGGACAACTCCACATGGGTCATGCTGTAAACAAGATTCTAAAAGATATTACCGTACGCCAGCATGTGGCACATGGTCAGCAGGTCAATTACATTCCTGGGTGGGACTGTCATGGCTTGCCCATCGAACTAAAAGCCACTAGTACTGCTCAGGGTCAGAATGCTCTGGAAATCCGGCAGAAATGTGAGTTATCTTTCCTAATTCCTAATTCCTAATAAGGACAAAATTTCTTTCAGCTCGCTCCTTTGCTTTGGAGGCCATACAATCCCAGAAGGATGAGTTTAGCAGCTGGGGAATACTGGCCAACTGGCGAAAGGATGAAATATATATGACTTTCCAGCCGGAGTTTATAGCAAACCAATTGAAAATGTTCCACAATCTTTATGAAAGAGAACTGGTCTATCGCGATTTGAAACCGGTCTACTGGTCACCTTCATCCAGGTGAGTTTGGGAAACTCTTAAAAAATGATATAATGTTATATATCATTAGGACAGCCCTGGCTGAGGCGGAACTGGAATATGACCACAATCACATAAGTCCTTCAGTATATTTGAGGTTTGCCCTTAATCCAAATGACTTCGATATAGAAGATAAGCAGATATATGCCCTCGTATGGACCACAACACCTTGGACATTACCGAGTAATCAAGCAATTTGCTACAACTCCTCATTGGATTATGTATTAGTCAGATTGTCTAATCGTAGCCCAGATGAGCTATATCTCATAGGCTCAGCACTTTTGGAAGACTTTGAGGCCACTACACAGATCAAGTGTGAGCTAATCCAAAATGTGAGTTGTAAATCCCTGAGCAAGCAAAGCTACAAACATCCAATTGACACAGAACAATCGAGTCTGCCCTTTTTTGATGCTAGTCACGTGCAGGATAGCAAGGGCACAGGCTTGGTGCACACAGCTCCTGCCCATGGACCAGAAGATTTTCTAGTAAGCTTGACTAAGAAAATACCCGTAAAATGCTTCGTAAATGATGAGGGCATTTATACAAAGGAAGCTCCTGATTTTCTACGCGGATATTCGGTGTTGGAACAGGGCAATCCTTTAGTTCTTGAACGAATAGCAAACGATATAGTGCACTCCTCCAAGCTTGAACATTCCTATCCGATAGATTGGCGCACAAAGCAGCCGGTGATAATCCGTGCCAGCGAACAGTGGTTTATCAATACGGAGAAACTGAAGGCACCAGCTGCTAATGCCTTAGAGCTAGTGGAGATCTATCCCAGAACCAATGCCGAAGCCAGTAAGAAGGCATTGCTCACTCAGCTTCAGAAGAGACCATATTGGTGCATCTCCAGACAGAGGGCGTGGGGTGTTCCCATACCGGTTCTCTACAGTCGGGAGAGTGGAAAAGTGGTACTTAATTCCACTCTCATAGAACACTTTTGCAACCTATTGCGCCAGGAGGGATCAATAGACTTTTGGTGGGCCAATTCGGTTGAGGAACTTGTACCCGCTCAAATATTAAGTGAACTTGGATATAAAGCCGAAGATCTCGTTAAGGGTAGTGACATATTAGACATTTGGTTCGACTCTGGCAGCACATGGTCTGCTGTACTGAAGAACGATAAGGTAGCCGATCTGTATCTGGAGGGCTACGACCAATTCACCGGATGGTTTCAGTCTTCCCTGCTAATGAGTATTGCCGCCCGAGGATGTGCCCCCTACAAGTAAGTAAAGATCTGGAAAAACGTAATGAAAAATGTGGAATTATTAATCTTTTTAAGGGCGCTCTTTGTTCATGGATTTACCGTGGATGAGAAAGGCTATAAGATGTCCAAATCCCTAGGAAATGTCATCTCCCCTAAGCAGGTAACCAAAAAATACGGGACCGATGCTCTGCGTTGGTGGGTGGCCTCCCATGGAACCCAACACATGTCCATTACGGTCAGCGATAAAATGCTGCAGCAGGCAGCTGAGAGTCTTAGCAAGGTCCGTGGAACCCTGCGATATCTAAAAGGTGTCATTGGCGATAAACATTCGAAGGTGATAATTACAAATCCCGATTCAAGCTACTTAAACCGCTACTTGCTAAGTCAGTTGGTTGATTTTGAATCAGAGGTAAGATGATAAGACTTGTGTTTGTTCAATAAATAATTTTCATGATTTTAGGTAGAGAAGCTTTACGTTGCCTACGAGTATAATCGCGTAGTGGCCTGTGTCCAAAACTTTCTGGCCAATCAGGTGTCTGCCATCTATGTGCATCTTATCAAAGATCGGTTGTATTGCGGAGACGATCAAGAACTTCTTGCTATTCGTCAGACACTCACCCACTGCTACCAACAACTTTGCAAATGTTTATGGCCCATTGTTCCCTTTTTAGTAGAAGAAAGCTGGAGCTATTACGATACCACAGGCGCAGCCTTCCATGAGCAGAGTGTCAGAGCTAATCCAGAATGGCAGGACAAAAGAGCAACTGAGGTGGTTAACGCGGCGATAGATGTGAAACGTCTTATCAACCAGCAGGCTGGTGAGGTGAACACCTGGCACTTAGATGTGACTATCAAAGGAAAAAGAGGAAGCCAGCTGGATTTGCTACACGAACTACAGAGCACTCTTGGAGGAACTGTGAGAAATTCCGAACTGTGTGAGATACTCCAAGTGGGATCGGTTACTCTTTTAGAATCAAATAGTCCCGACTTGGAAATAACCCTAAATACAATTCATACATCGCTGTGTCCACGCTGTCGTCGCTACAGTCTAGAGAAAGAAAACGAGCAGGAAACCTGCCAACGATGCTCTAACGTAATGAATACTAAGAAATAAAATTTAAGATTTGTTGTTTTTTAGTTTTAAGGAATACATTTGTGTTTTTAAAAACTCTGTAAGCACTTCATGATGGTGTCCCTCAGCTTGAGACGAGTGGTTGGCTTTCCGCCACAGATTATATGCGTCTCGTTGTCCTCAAACTTAATCACTGTATCCTCATTGACAAGGTTGAGTGTCAGAGCACCGCCAGTGCGGTCTAACTTGACATTAGAGAACCCATCTTGTGTCAGTCGCTTCATCACAGCCTCCACATCGATGCTGCCATACTCATATTTTATGTTTTTGAGCACTTCCTCCTTTGTAGGAGCGGTGTTATTTGAGTTGGTCTCTTCTTTGATACTATCCGCACATGGCTGGATGCAATGGACCTTGTCCTTCACCTGCAGAACGCCCGTCAGTGTAGAGAAAGTCACGCCGGCAGCCACCTCTCGGGGCGATATCTTTTGGGCTAGCTCCGAGGTTATGTAAATACGATCCAGCTTCCGTTTCAACGGCAAACGTATGATCTCACCGCACTTGAACGTTATTATCTTTTTATCTGGCTGTTCTATGAACAGATTTGGAGCCGACGGATGTGGCTTTGTGTAAGCTTCAGGGATGACCAGCACGTTTGGCTTCAACTCCTTGATCAGCTTGTTGGCCTGCTGATAATTCAAGGATGTGTCGATGGGACAGTAGAATGCCTTCATGGCCAGCGGTTGGAACGGCGCTAATACTTGAAGATACGGAAAGTCTGGTTCTGTAAATATGATGGAGTTATTGGGATTATTACCCCACATCTCGATGAAATGCACGGCGTCACCGAAACGCAGACTTGGATGTCCACAGAAGACAACGCAGGGCTGTAAGGTACGGTATTTAGTTTAAATAAATTTATTCTGCAAATACATTTCTTAATAGAAACTTACCTGCCGGAAATCCTTGCTGAAGCCCTCAGAGAACACATGATTATAGTGCTTTAATTTGTTGTTGCGAAGGTAGAAGGCATGTGGGAAAGGATCGTCTGGAAGATAGACTTTATTTTGCTTGGCCGAACTGAGCCACTCAGCTAGGATGTTGGAGTAGGCTAATGAGCTATCTGCTACTGGTGAAATGAAGAACATGGGCACGTTGTTTAAACCGGCGTTTTCCAGATTCTGTGTGAGGCACTCAAAGAGGTCGTATACCACACCAGAGGGATAGCAGGGAATCAAAGCGGATCCATTATTTCGGATCGTCAATGCAACATTCATGCAAAGCTCTCCCAGCTTGGTGTCTGGATTGACCGTCGGAGCCTGTGTCAGTCCTGTCATGATGAGAACATCAGCGTGCTTCAACGCCGACTGATTAATTGGCCGCGGATGCGTGGTTAAAGTGGAGGAACCACTGACGTAGCAAATCTTCTCGTGGGCAGTGCTCAGTACCCAATTGCTTGAGCCCAAACAGTAGCCAGAACTCACAGGAGTGGCGATGAACGCGCCTAGAATGTCCAGCTTCTCATCGTAGCCCATGATGGTCACCTTGGAGAGACTGCCCTGGACATCTTTGAGGCTGAAAATAGTCCGCCACTTCTTAGCCCGAAATGCTTCGCTTAAAGGACTGGGCAGCAGATGGAGCTTCTCCTTCCACAGGCGTGCGGTGCAGGCTTTGGGAGAAACTTCGATGTAATCCACCAGCTCCTCCAAGAAGAACCTGCCAATTTGCAAAGTTGGCTCCGTGGCATAGACTTTGCCCTTGAATCCCGTGTTCTCGGTAATATACGGTAAAGCCAGCATATTAAGATAATTCGAGATAAGTATCACATCCACCTCGCTAAAGTCCAGCATTTTATCCATGGGCAAATTAAACTCCGGCGTGGAATCCACGAACACTCGGCCGCAGCAATCCTTCAGCTCGCCGTCCATCTGGGGATCGTGATCCCGGCTGGGAACAAAGTTGGGCAGATTGGACCATTTCAAAGACTGCACGAAAGGCAGCGGCAGGAAATTTAAAACTGTCTGCTCCGTCAGACCGCAGTCCAGCATTATCCTCAGGCCCTTGAAGGTAATGATGTAACATGGCTTTGCCAAATCGCCACTGAGACAATACTGCAAATAGTAGTGTCACATCCGCTGATAAAGGTGTCTTTTTAACGGCCAGATGACTTACCAAACGCATATTTAGAAACCGCCAATGGCAATGACAGCGCTTTTGATTAAACGCGCAACTTTGTTTATATTTTAGACCAGGAATGGAGAGCAACTTGTTTTCAAATGATTCACTTTTGAACCGGAACTAGTAGTTACAGATAAATTCGTAAACATAAGAATAACAAAGCTTTGTTAATTTCTGCTTATAAGCTAATCCTTTAAATTAATAATATTGGCCTTTAAGCTGAATATGCTACATTTATTTAATTCCAGATTAGTCAAAGTAAATTTTTAGTTTCTACTTCTGAGTCCTCATATCGTTTTCCATCCCTGGCCATTTCAATTGCGTTCTGATTTTTCTCCCGGCTTAAAAATGTCGGAATTTCGTGTAATACAATGCTTGAAATGCAAAATGTACCAGGTGAAAGAACGCATAACATGAATAAAATTCTCGTATTTAGTAAATACTTTTCCAATTATGCAGGTGGATTTTGTAAAGAAAACAAAAAAATGGCAGTGTAAAATTTGCCGGGAAAGGCAAGATTTTCTTAAAGAATTCTTTCGGGGTTCATCAGCCGAATGCCGAAATCAGGTGCAGCAAATGAATTTGGTGCGTGGAATAAGAGAGGAAAGGCGAATGGAAGATCTATTTATCACAGCGCGAGAAAAATTGGAGCATAGCAAGGAAAACTGCGAAAAACAGGAAAACACATTACCTAAGAAGGAAACAAATAAATGGGCCAGTTATGTGGATGAAACCACTAAAACAACTCCACAATCTCTGGGAATCGACAATAAGGAACTGCACGAAGGGCTCCTGATCAACTCGAATAAAAGAGTATCAAAACGCTATTTTAAAATTAAGCCAAAAGAGTGCAAAAAACTGTGCTCTGAATCAAAATGGAATGGTTTTTTGTAAAGATCTACATATGCACATATTAAAAAAATATTCCGAATATATCATATGTTTAGACGACAAATCCGTTTATAAAAAAAAATAATTTATTTATATTTATTTATATATTATATGATATTCAATTGGAATTGAATGCCAATTTAAATACCCAAATTTGTAATTTTTAAAATTAATCAATGTTATATACGTCGTTAAAAGTATGAGTTTTCAGACGAATTAAAATCTTTTAATAATTCAAAAATTTGATGATCAGGCCAATAAACCCTTTTTTATTTTTATAAAAATAATTTGATCGTTAAAGTTCTTTTATACGTTTTATTAAAATCCGCTTCGTTTTGGTAGTTTTATGTGTTTAAATCAAGGGAGGACCAAATGTTCACATATCTAAACTGAATACATTGTCATCCGTTGCACTAATGCTAGAAAAATACAAGTTGTATAGTCCGCTAATTATTGTAAGTTAAAGTTTGTGTATAGGGGGTTTACTAATAACCAATCGGGCAACATGTTGGACATGCATAGCTCCTTATGCCCCAATTGGTTTAAATACTCGTTTAGAGATAAGTGTGGGTTATAGTTAAGTGGCGCTTGGACAAGCGTTTATCTTGAGAGAAATTGTAATATTAGTAGCCGACTACGTGTATATAAACTATTTCCGCAGCTTAAGTGCTGCCCCCAGTGCCACCGGCGCCCTCCTTCTTGGCCACCTTTTCATCGGAGCCTGTCTCGTCGATGTCATTGGACTCTGTCTCCCCGCCGGGGGTACCACCCGCCTTTCCCGACGACCTGCGTCGCTTGCGGTTGACCCGCCACGGGCGCATTGGAAATTTCATGGCCGGAAGGGGCTCCATGCCGAGCACCTTGTAGATCTGGCGGAAGGCAATGTACCGCAGGAACAGCTGTGCCGACACAGTGAGATCCTCGCGTTCCTGTTTCGTCAATTCGAGTAGAGCGTCGGTAGGGTCTTTTTCGCATGGATCCAGCAGACCAGGTCCGTTGATCAAAAAGCCCGAAGATAAAGCCTCCATGATGCGTCGCATACAGTCCCCAGGCGAAATGGGGAAACCAGCCGACGAGATCACCTTCTCTACGAGGAGCTCCAAGGACCATTGAGGCAATGCCTGCCAGGAGGCCACGCGCTGGCACAGATCTCTGAGGATGCGAATCACCATAACGCATGACTGCAGTCCTGTAGCGCGAGCCTGGAACCACTTGGCATGTCGCAAGTCAGCCAAAGCCTGCAAATAATATTAATTTTTAGTTGTACCTTTTTGAAAAAATGTGAAAATGAGTTTATCATTATGTAATTATGGCTACTTACACGAAGGCACGGCTCACGAGCCAAGAATTCAGCATCGCCTTCGCCATCCTCGCTGGTGGAAACCTCTGCTGGATTGGTATCGCGCAGCAAAGGCGAAGTGAGGGTTATCTTAACCGAGACAGCCTCATCCAGTACAATAAGGGCAGCCTCTTCAGCGTTTACCTCTACACGATAATTTACCGGAATTTCGCCTGAAATCGAGAAAGCAAAGAAAGAATTTTTCACACGGGCGTCTTAAAAGGAGGATCAAAAAAATTGAAATACTAGATCGACTTGGAAAAAGAGACAAACATTGTGGGTGAAATAAAATTCCAGTGTAGGCCCGAAAAATGCACGTATGTATATACATTGTAAAATAGTGATTAGCAACAATTGTATTGTTCAAATGGGGACTTGATGCACGGTATGAATAGCACGAATAATGTTTGTTTCTTCCCACGTATCCTCGTATTCGCTCGGTTCCCAGCAAACAGGAGATTCGTTCGACTTGCGTGCTGGGATCGGTATCTCCGTTTGGGGTCTCGTAAACGGAATTGCAAGCTCGAGAATCGGACTCGGCGTCATCCACCCGTTGCAATTCCACTTAGAGCGCGCACTTCTGTATTTTATTGAATTTCGACTTGAATTATTTAATGGAATTATCTTTTTTCTTTGTTTGTTGGTTAGTTATTTGCATTAAAATATTGAACGAAATTTATGGCTGCGGTAAACGTTGAGCAGACGTCTCGTTCAGTATTCTCCATATTCACCGTGCGCAACGCAAATTTCGGTCTCAATTTTTTTTTGCATTTATATATATAGATAGATATATATATTTTATATATTGGACAATCAAGCTTGATACACACAATTCGGCCGCTTGGACATATATATGTATACGAGATTATTGAGTATAAATATATTTGCTTGGTTTCGAGTGAGAGATGAGGCGCCACATCGGCGCTGCAATTTTGGCTCAAGCACTTGCATTTGCATATGGCAATCGCGTCTCGTGTGTGGATCAACCGCATTGCTTCTTGGCGTGTTGTTGTGTTGTTCAACTTCTTGGCCAGGCCATCAAAGGACTTTATTTACACAAAGTTTAATTCGAGGGAATTTCGAATGGATTGCGCGCAAACTTTGTATAAATATATTCCTTTGGTTCAAATTTCAGTTGGTTAAGAGTTTTGATTGTTTCATCGAGGACACCACACCACATCAGACTGCAGGAGGCTGGACTTGTGGCACCGAGTCCGCGCTTGTTACCGTGACGATCCGCTGGCGGTGATTGGATTGGAGTGGAGCGGAGCAGCAGCAGCCGATCGGGAGGAGGAGCAACCTGGGAGGGCTGAGCTACAGCTACAGCTGGCTAACTGAACGACACACTCTAGACTCTAGACTCACAGAGCTTCTAGGCTAAGGCTCGAGGCTCGAAACTTATCCTGCAGAGAGAGAAGCTGAAAACGGCAAATACGTTTTTATTCGCAATTAGTTGCTATGTTGGCTGGGGCGTTGGGCGCGGTTTGGCTGGCGTGGCAATCTATATCCACCGCAACAACAGGGCTCAACTCAAGTTGTCCTAGTTTCTATGTACAATAATTTTATTTAATTAAATTTGATTTATTTTGCTGACTTTTTCCACACAAATTGCCCGTCGAATGTGAACGTAATGAATAGCGAATGTGAACGGATCGTGACTTGCGTTCATCTTGCATCTTCAGCGCTCCGAAATTCGTTCTTTTTTTTTTTTGTTTTTTAACGAGTTTTATTTAACTATCCGCTTCCAATTTGGCCAAATTCACCTGCACTGGTCAGTGTGAAATTGGCCAAGCTAAGAACGTGTTCATTTATTTTTGTTTTGATCATGATTCAGTGATGCTTTTAGCCGCATATATCACTCAAGCCATTTCTCTGGAAAAAGTTTTCATCTGTTCCTCTCAATAGGACAACCGAAATATCATTTAAGAATAGTGCTATGCAATAACTACTATGACAGCCGGTTAAACACACTTACCTGCCACCTCCTTGAGTTTGTCGGGCAGTACATTGGCCACGCGCTGCAACAGACCAGCCGTTGGCTTCTCCGCACAAAGGACGACCAGCTCGACGGCATTATCACCATGAAGTAGCAGCCCCTTGGCCAGGTAGCCCACACGCATAACTCCCTTGAGAATTCGAACTACGTTGCCACCATTGTCGGCATCCTTGTGGAACGAAAATATCTGGTTGTCACGTCCATCTTTTTCCGATGGCTTGTCGGTTTTATCCTTCTTATTAGCCGCTCCAGCATCGTTGGGCTGTTCGGCCAAGGCATCGGAGACCAATTTCAGAGCCCGCTCTGTGTGCGAGACAATCCGCTGAATGGTCTGTAGTTCCTCCTCTTTGGGATAGATCTCAGCATGACGAGCAATGGCATGTCGATCATCGGTGCTCTCCGGGCGGCGCACATTTCCACCGGGCATCATGCCAAAGTGCGGTGGCGGTCCATTTCCCATTCGACCAAAACGCTGGGCACCTGCAAAAATAATTTGAAAAATATTTGTGCTCAGAATAATCAACCATGATCCCATTTTATAGTCCAATTGCTATTAGGTATCTGGAATCAGCTGCAATAATACTTTCATAACAGATTTCATTATAGGTATAGGGCGTTTAAAAGTTTAACTGGATTTCATTTAGATGTACCTCCTTGTTATTATCTCTCAATTTGTGTGCACTTATTTCATTAATTATTTATGCTGCTTTTTAATTTTCTTCTTTTAAATTAACTTTTATATTACGCTTAGAATCCTGCAGTAGTGTTACGTAATTGAACGTGCTTGTGCCTAATAAATACTTGTGTTCACAAAGGGGTGGTTTTAAACTGGTGCACTGACCAACCCCAACATTGTGCATGAACTCACCTCCAAAGCTCCGCGACATCCAGTTGTTGTAGTCATACTCCTCGTTATACTGACGGTTGCGTTGCTCCTCCCAATAATTTCCTTCGTGATCTTCGCCGCCGCGATGAGAGGACATCATGGCCCGGTTTGCACGGGCCTCGGCCAAACGACGCTGGCGAGGAGTGGGCTTGAAATCTACTACCAGATCGGGCTGCACCTTGCGCTTGTACTGCAAGCGATGACGGCGGCCCTTCATGTGCATTTCTTTGGCATTGGGGTCGTTAAATTTGCAGTCGCATAGCTTGCAGTTGAAACTTAGTATCTTGCCCTCCTCGTCCTTGACCTCTTCGATATACTCGCCGCCAACCGGCTTTATGTTGTCCGTATTCTCTCCCAGCGAATCGTCCAGATTATCATCAAGATCTCCAGCTGCATCGCTCTCGGTCGCGCTGCCTTCGGTCTTGTTGGCACCAGCAGCTCCTGCAGATCCACCAGCGCCAGCAGCAGCGGGCACAAAATTAATCTTGCCCATCTTTTTGGGCTCCTCCGAGGGTATTGGTTTACCCAGCTTCTGATGCAGTTTCACAACTTTCTGATGCTTAGCTCCGCGCACATGGGCGGCATATGCATCCGTGCCGGTGCAGGTCACATCGCACAGCTCGCAGTGGTAGTTGTTTCCACGATTCTGTGTGGTGCTGGTGGCACTCGCGGACATCTTTAGTGAAGCCTCGCGTTTCTTATGCTTCTGTCCCTCAAGATGCTCACGATAGGTCTGAGGTCCGGCACAAGAGATCTTGCACACCTCGCAGTAGTGCAGCTGCTGCGGGCGTGGCGGTGCCTTGGGACGCATACCCCTTAAAGCTGGAGCCCCCGGAATGGCGGGTCCCATTTTACGCTGGTACCAGTTATTGGCACCACCATTTGGCTTTTGGTTTGGATTGCCCTGATGTTGCTGGGCAACATACATGCTGGCAGCATTGTAAAGGGCCGTATCGTAGCCGCTGTAATTGTTTCCTGCCGGAGGAGCCGAGCTGGGAGGTTTGGGACCACCATTCGATTTATCCATCTTGCCCTTAACCTGATTCTTGACTGGCGGAGCCGAGTAGTGCGTCTTACTGACCGAAGCTGTCGAACCGGAGGCGTTGTAGCTGGCTGACGATTGCTGATAGAATGTTTTGGTGGCATCGTACGATTGCATGGCACTCCGGTAGTCTCCGTAGCCACCGTAACCCCCCGCCCCTGGGCCCGAGGAGGCGCCCGCGCCCGCTCCGGCTGCTCCGCCGTAACCACCCTGTCCGGCAGCTACAGCAGCGTTTTGATAGGCGGCCGCATTCGCGTAGGTGGCATTGGTTACCGCCGGGTACGATACCTGGCCCGTATTGTACTGGGTGCCGCCGTAGTTGAACCCGGCGTAGTTGTTGTTGGCCATTGTCGTCGTCGGTGTGCTGCAATTACGAAAATCGAATTTGTTTGACAATCTGTTTGCGGTTTACCATTTGCATTTGCATTTTTGTTCTCCCCCACCACTTAGCGCTCCACTTACATTAGCTATAGACCGACTGTCAATATTTATGCGACTTCGAATGCGGATTTATTCGGGAATTTATATGTGCTTTCCGCGTAATAGCCTGTTTATAGCTGTAAAGGCAAAGTGGTCTTAGTCACGTCATGTTCAAAAGGAGCACCCCCTCCATTTTCCCGTCAATTTTTCTTTTGCTTTTCTATATCGATTTTTACCCTTCCACCTTGAACGCACTTTTCCCGTGCTTGGTCAACATGCATGTAAGCACGCGCGCTTAACCCGTTTCCAATGGCTCTTTTGGACCAAGTTGCACATGCTTAAAATACGGTTATTGTAATTTTAATTACCTCAATTCAGTCAAATGAAAATTTCCTTCTCTTCTATATGCGCCGGTAGAAACAATGTTACCAGACACTGTAACGACTGTAAAACCAAATTTTGTCGGCCAACCCTGAAACTTCACTAAATGTCTACTTTTTACACGAGATGAGCTAGAAGATCCTGAAAGGTTATCTCTTAAATTAACATGTTGTATATTTGTATTTTTGTTTTTATTCTTAAAATCGTACAGCACCTGAAGCTTTTCCGCGAACCTATACCTTGGATATATAATGAAGGTGCCAGAATTATTATCCATATATATTAAAACAAATATAATAAAAATCCAAAAAAAAAGTTTTTTTTTGTATTTGATAACCGCCAAATCAAAACAGGAGATATAATTTTACTAGTGCATATCGATAGTTTGTTTATATGATCCAGCTGTTAATATTGAAGAAATTTAATGCAATACATCGATAGTTTGTAATATCGGAAACCTAATTCAAAGTCACCGTTAATATTTTTAGTATATTTCTCGGTGTAACGCGTATAGGTCGGCCATATTCCTGATCCTCTTCAGAACGGTCACACTGCACACACACTCGTCCGAACCTCGGCGGTCCGTAAACAATATTTACTCGGTTTTCGGCAAAATCGCCAGAGAAACGCAACGGGAAATCGTTTAAAATGCGACCCAGTGCACCAAGTTTGAACGCAAAATGAATTGAAGTGAGTGCATAGGCCGAAGGCCCTTGAAAATTGCCCCCGACATATGCAGGCTGTACAAAACTGATACTGAAACACACACATACAGAAGAACATACACGGACGTGGTTTATGCCACCACCCGCTGGCCGCTAAAGTTGAAATTACTAATACTACGGTTGTCACGATGCTCCATATTGCCACTGGAGGCATGCAGTAGTCAAGTTTTTTTTTTGCTTAAATATTTTTCAGTGCCTAAGAAAATATTAACATTTTCAAGTAAAAAAAAATACTGGATATGGAGTTTCACTTTTTAGTTTAACTTTTTAAATTGCTGTATTAGCAAAAACTACGAACTAGTCGCCTGCATAAACGTTTAGTATTGCCAGATCATTGGTTACGTGTTTTTGCCCGCCATCTGGCAACACCTACATCCCTCGATTTTCGCTTTGCACGCGCATTCGTGAAAATGGCGGCGTTCTGGCACCGTCGCTGCCAAATTTTTTGTACATCAAAATAATCAAAATAAAGCATTCTTCCAGTGCTCAACAATCAGTCCGTGCGAGCGCGCGCGTGTGTGTGTGTGCGCAGGAAAAACCGCCGATCGAAAAAGTGTATAAAGGGGATAGAGAAGCAAACAAAAGGCAGCGAATTAGCAAGATAACACACACGCGACGACGGATGCGCCAGGAGAAAGGCGAAGGCGAGTGCGAGTGAGCCAGCGCAGCAGCACCAAGTCAGCGGAGCACCCGCTTGGCCAAGGTGAATTCTATTACCTGTGAGCCGAATCCAGGTGTTTCACGTCCAACACCTGGTTTATGGCTTATGTTTATCGGTTGTCATCAGGTAACCGGCGGACAGGTAGCAACAGCTCCTTCATCCGCCTACCTGGTTATCCACCACCCTCTCGACTCGATTATCGTATAAATACTTAAAGTGTCATCCCTTGCCTTGCAGTTCACTTCTGGAGCGCAAAGCATGCATAGACACCAACATTACCACAGGATGTGTGCAACTAGTTGATCGGAACAGGATCACTCGCCCACACCACACAGAAGTTAAAAGAACACACTCGCCAAAAACATAAACAAAACACTACATACAGCACGATGAACACCAGCCAGACAGCTGCCGGCAACCGCATCACGTTCACCAGCCAGCCCCTTCCCAATGGCACCATCAACATAGCCGGCAATCCCGGCGCCGTTATATCAACGGCCCAGTTGCCTAATACCACCACCATCAAGACCATCCAGGCGGGGATCGGTGGTCAGCATCAAGGACTGCAGCAAGTTCATCATGTACAGCAGCAGCAGGCGCAACAGCAACAGCAGACGCAATCCGTAGGTGCCACCCAAACACAAACCCTAGTTATTAAATCCAACCACCATGCTGTAACCCTGCCGGCGGGTCTAGTCTCAAGTGCACCAGCAGGAATCGTAACCATGACCAAGACCATCAATCAGGTATCCACATTAAAGCTAAACCCACTTCGGGCGCTAGGCGATCGCAAGTAGGGCGTATCACTCGTCCAATTCTGATCCTCATCCGAACATTCCTTAACTCCTCGCTCGAATCGGATAGTAGTGACCGCACACAATTTGGTTGTATCCTTTATTTTTTTACGCTTTCATTTATGGCTATCTCTGCTGTTTAAAAATCCCATATCCTTACCCAAATGGGGTGAAGCCCAAGCTTGATCATCAATCTCCCAATTTCAAAAACATTCTTATGTCAATACACATCCTCCCTAATACTTGATAATATCCTTGAAGTCTGAAATAACTTATACAGATTAGGTTCAAATTGAATTACCTATAATTTATTTTGAAAAATTCAAATGCTATTCAAAAAATAATAGTTCAAATATTATTTTGTGTATTATAAGAGCAACATCCTTATTTCCTAATTCCTAATCAAATCCTGTAAAACCATATTTTTTACGCAAGCACCAGACCAAATCTTAGCTTATTTTATAGAATAAAAACCAAACCATTATATTTGTAGAACTATTGCTTTTAATACTCGCTTCATAGAAAACAACTAGTAGATCACACACGATTTAAAATTTGGTCAGCACAACAAGAATCGGTTAAACAACTTAAGTTCACATTTTTTGGGGTCTTCCAAAGCGCGTTTAACGCCAACTGCTGCATGTTATACGCCAACTTAGAATCCCCCAACCCCTCTCATTACTTTCTCTGTTCCAAATAGACTTTGAATTGTATGATGAGATAAGCTAACGATCGATTGATTTACTAATGACAATCTTATGTATTTCTCAGGCCGGTCAGCCGATGCTAAACTCAATGCTGCCAGCGGGCGTGGTGGTGGGCATGCGTCACCAGGCGCCATCGCAGCAACAGCAGAAAAATGTGCCCACCAACCCGCTCAGTCGTGTGGTGATCAACTCCCACATGGCGGGCGTGAGACCACAGAGTCCATCGGTAAGTGTAAACGATATTTGGAAGCTATTACTATGGTTGTTGTGGTGGGTTCTTCTCTACTAACTCACAGAGCTCCTTAACCCAACCACACTTCTCACAAATGCGCATGTGCACAGTTCACCATTCACGTACACCATACACACCATGGTCCAGCAGATGAAAACCGAGTATCTCTGTCTTCTCTCTCTACTTTTAGATAACTTTAAGCTCACTTAACACGGGTCAGACCCCTGCATTGCTGGTCAAGACGGATAACGGATTCCAGCTGTTGCGCGTGGGCACGACGACGGGTCCGCCGACGGTTACACAGACCATAACCAACACCAGCAATAACAGCAACACGACAAGCACCACAAACCATCCCACAACCACACAGATCCGTCTGCAAACTGTGCCGGCTGCAGCTGTAAGTAGATACCAACAACAACAACAACATCAGCAGCAACAGCAACAACAACAACAGCAATCGCAACAGCAGCAACAGGCAACCAGCACTACCGCCAGCACTAGCATTGCACTGCGCAAAACGATTGTCCGTACTTCATCCACAGTCCCATCCAGCAATAATAATAATAATAGTAATATCAATGCCACCACCACCACCAACACCACCACCACTACCAACAACAACAACAAACCCGCTACTAACCAGCAACAGCAGCAACAGAAGCTCCAACAGCAGCAACATCTCAAGGCCCAGCAGCAACATAAACAGCAACAGGCATCCGCTGCGGCTGCTGCTGCAGCAGCTGCCGCCAATGTGGCAGCCACCATAAAGATCAAGCAAAACGTAAAGAGAAGCCAGCAGGATATACTCCTTTTTTTGCTCTTCTCTCCTCTGTTCTCCTTTGTCTGTTATGCATTTGGATTTGACCTTATTTATATATATATAACTATGCCTACGCTTCAGTTCCGTTTGGTTCGTCACATTCGAACACTTCATTTTGATTTATCCAGAATACTCTCATATTGATTGATTGCATATATAATATATATATATGCAAATGTACTGCATGCTGCGTTGTGTAACTGTCTGTATTTTCGATATTCCTTATTTCGATTCGATTTAGTTATATTTGCTGTCCACGAGTTGCTGTTCCAGGCCAGGTATCGGGTTGCCCCGGGCTAACCAACGATGTGTGCTGGGCTGTTGTATTATTCCTGAGAAACCCCTTCTTAAATAATATATTCCTAATCAAAATCCAGTGTATTATAACGCAGTAAACCGAGGCTTACTTAATAAACTCTAAGAGTTCCATCATTATCCGATCCAATTTTGCGAAATACTTTTTGGTCGCTATTAATATCTGAATTTCGTAAAAGGCCTAGTTCGATTGTATTAAGAATATATTTTTTAACAGAAATTTATCTTGGCTTTTAAATATACAAATTTAACTAAAAGTAACTGCTTAAATGGTAAATTAACTAATTGATTCAGTACAAAGTTTTTTTTTTTTAATTAAATCAACTTTGCTTCTTAGGGCATTTTACAAAAACTTTTCCAATTCATCTCATTATCCATGCCCCAACCATAGCCCTGCCCCCTGCACACATATTTGGAGACCAGGACCCTTAAACCCTCCCATCCTGAAAAAAAGAACCATCATCATCTTTATTCTGCTATACAATATTTTTAATAATTAATTCTAACGCTTTTTGGTCTTAATTTTGCACTACTATATATGATAATATTTTATTTAAACGTATCTATAACTAATTTATTATCTTCCGCTGCAGTCTATGACCAACACGACAGCAACCAGCAACATTATTGTCAATTCGGTGGCCAGCAGCTATGCGAACTCATCGCAGCCGCCGCATCTGACGCAATTGAATGCGCAGGCGCCGCACCTGCCACAGATTACGCAGATCCAAACGATACCGGCCCAGCAGTCTCAGCAACAAGCGAACAATGTAAGCTCCGGGGGAGGAGTGGCGACGGCTGTGAGCAGTACGACGGCAGCGACGACGACGCAGCAGGGCAATACCAAAGAAAAGTGTCGCAAGTTTCTAGCCAATTTAATCGAATTGTCGACACGGGAACCGAAACCGGTGGAAAAGAATGTGCGCACCCTCATCCAGGAGCTCGTCAATGCGAATGTGGAGCCCGAGGAGTTTTGTGACCGCCTGGAGCGCTTGCTCAACGCCAGCCCGCAGCCGTGTCTGATTGGATTCCTCAAAAAGAGTTTGCCCCTGCTTAGGCAAGCTCTCTATACCAAGGAGCTTGTAATTGAAGGCATCAAACCGCCACCACAGCACGTTCTCGGCCTGGCCGGACTCTCTCAACAGCTGCCTGTAAGTTTATACGAACGCCTTAAACGACGGAAGTACAATTTGTAACTATAATTTTGTTTTTCGTATAGAAAATCCAAGCGCAAATCCGTCCGATTGGTCCTAGCCAGACAACGACCATTGGACAGACGCAGGTGCGTATGATAACGCCAAATGCCTTGGGAGCACCTCGACCCACCATTGGCCACACAACGATATCAAAACAGCCGCCAAATATTCGGTTGCCCACGGCCCCGCGTCTTGTCAACACAGGAGGAATTCGCACCCAGATACCTTCGTTACAGGTGCCTGGACAGGCGGTAAGTTAATACTTTTATTGTCTTTGGAAATTTTTAATTTTACTCATTAACTTTATTGTTTAAATTACATTAATGGCCTCTTATATTTTCAATCAATTTTATGAGTTAAATAGAAATAGATTATTCTTAGCCTGTCTGCTCCTAGTTATCAGTCATGGGCTTTGTTCTCGGAGTTGGCAAAAATGACTGGATCGTTTTAAGTATCTTGGGGATAACTTGCAAATTCAAAATAAAATTTTCGTTATTCTTGAATTTTTAACTAAAACACGATTTCCTTACAGAATATTGTGCAAATTCGTGGCCCGCAGCACGCGCAGCTGCAGCGCACGGGAGCTGTGCAGATCCGGGCCACCACCCGTCCGCCGAACAGCGCGCCTACCGCGAACAAACTCACTGCCGTCAAGGTGGGTCAGACGCAGATTAAAGCGATTACGCCTAGCCTGCACCCACCCTCACTGGCTGCCATCTCTGGTGGACCACCGCCGACGCCCACGCTGTCCGTTTTATCCACGCTAAACTCCGCCTCGACCACATCGCTGCCGATACCGTCGCTACCCACGGTTCACCTTCCGCCAGAAGCTCTTCGAGCCCGTGAGCAGATGCAAAACTCGCTAAATCACAACAACAATCACTTCGAAGCGAAGCTGGTGGAGATCAAGGCGCCGTCGCTGCATCCGCCGCACATGGAACGGATCAATGCATCCCTCACACCGATTGGTGCCAAGACGATTGCGAGGCCTCCGCCTGCGATCAACAAGACGATTGGCAAAAAGAAACGTGACGCCATGGAAATGGACGCTAAGTTGAATTCTTTGAGCGGTGCAGCGGCATCAGCAGCCAACTCGTTTTTCCAGCAGAGCTCTATGTCCTCGATGTACGGCGACGACGATATCAACGATGTAGCCGCTATGGGCGGTGTTAACCTGGCGGAAGAGTCGCAGCGAATTCTCGGGTGCACGGAAAATATCGGCACGCAGATTCGATCCTGTAAAGATGAGGTGTTTCTCAATCTGCCCGCACTGCAAGCCCGGATACGGGCCATTACGTCAGAGGCGGGCCTTGACGAGCCGTCGCAGGATGTGGCCGTTCTGATATCGCACGCGTGCCAGGAGCGATTAAAGAACATTGTGGAGAAGTTGGCTGTGATAGCGGAGCACCGCATTGATGTCATCAAGGTTTGTTAAAATGTTATTTAAAAAAAAATAGTCATATAATTATTTTAAATGTCATAGTTGGATCCACGCTACGAGCCCGCCAAGGATGTTCGCGGTCAGATCAAGTTCCTCGAGGAGCTGGACAAGGCGGAGCAAAAGCGACACGAGGAGCTGGAACGAGAGATGCTGCTGCGAGCAGCCAAGTCACGATCGAGAGTAGAGGATCCGGAGCAGGCCAAGATGAAGGCGAGGGTAGGATCACAAACGCCCTTATCCGGAGCCATTTGCTTACGTCTTTCTCTTCTTGTCTAGGCCAAGGAGATGCAACGCGCCGAGATGGAGGAGTTGCGTCAACGAGATGCCAATTTGACGGCGTTGCAGGCGATTGGACCTCGGAAAAAGCTGAAACTGGATGGCGAAGCGGTCAGTGCAGGAGTGGTATGTACATTGCAATCATTATTAATTATTTAGAGAATAAGTCTGCCATAATCCCAGAATTGTTTAATAAGTCAGTTGTATTCTCTTAAAAAGGGTTCAAGTGGCGGCGGAGTGCTGAGCGGCTCGGGAACTGCGCCAACGACGTTACGGCCACGCATTAAGCGTGTCAACCTGCGCGATATGCTGTTCTACATGGAGCAAGAGCGAGAGTTCTGTCGCAGCTCCATGCTGTTCAAGACATACCTCAAGTGATCGCTGCTGTTGCCCATCATTCGCACCGTCTTCTTCTCGATGATCCTCCTACTCCGTGGACTGTTGTCGTCGTTGTGTTTTCAGCTTTACGATTTCATCCATTTGCAATATATTTTAGCCTCAAATTTAACTGCGTCGCGTCTCTCCATGTTATTGTTTCTATTTAGTTAGGCGGCCCTATTTAAATTCTATATTACATTTACAAACTTAAACCATAAATCCTAATCGTATTTGATTTTAAGCGTAATTTAAAGCTCGTTTATTTTTTCCCAATAAATTGTCTGTAAAACTTAAACCAAACCAATCCAAAAACAAAACCAGAGTAACGTAAAGTAAACGAAGAGAGTAAAATAATAGAGAGGAATATAAAAGTATAGAGAACGCGCAGTCAGCGGGCGTTTGATTTGTAATTTGTAACATAATGTTTGCATCAACTGCATTGACGGCCTTATCTAAACGATATAAACATAAATATTAATATTTAATTATTTAGCTTAGTTTGTTAAACGAAAACGAAGCATAATTCCTAGATTAAGTAAAAAGCGCGCGAAAACAAAAGAAATCGAAACCGAATTACAGATTATTGGTTTTTAAAACCACAAGATCGAAACACGTTCAGAAAAATCTAAAACAAAACACATCAAAAACAGAAGAACAGAAATTTATCCATTTAAACATATATTGAATTAGTTCTAGTTGTTTAAACAAAAAATGTAATTTTAATTACTTATATTGTATAAACGGAAACAAATCGTTAGGCAAGACCACAACAAACCCAACAAATTGTAAATATATGCTAGGCTACGATTTTTCTAATAGATAACTAGGTAAACGCAAACGTAATTAACGAATTCTCTCGATGGCTAGGTGCGATGGGAACGCAGACATCTTAGCACACCGAAATAAAAAAAATATATGTTTTTATTAGTGGCGCTCGTTCATCCATAATGAAACACGGTTTAAACACTAGGCTCCCTGAATATTTAACGACCCAATCCGACCCGGCCTACACACAAAATAGACAAATTTTATACAATTAGCCAGATAATTCTTGTAAAATACAATCCCAAAACAAAAATGATAACAAATAAATTGATAACAATTGATTGAACTCAGTATAACTAAGCAAAAAAGAACAATTCTAAACCAATTCTTTGTGTGTACATTAAATTAATATGATAAAAACAAAAACCAGGCAGACGCAACCGTAAACACAGCGCATAGTTTAGTAGGCATATAACTGAATATATATATTATTATTATTATGTTTTAACATTAAGTAACAACAAAAAATAAAAGAAAAAATTCAGAAAAATTTAACTGAGCACACAAATTCTTAGTGGGCAAAAATGCAGAATTTATTTAAGTGCGCAGTGTTTTCTTATACAAATTATTATTTTTATGACGGATGAAATATGTAACGGTATCTCAGTTATTTAGCTAGTTAAATCATTAAAATTTATGTAGTTGAATTAATTAATTTTATAGATATTTTTATATTCATTTATTATGTTAATTAATCTTCCTCCCATAGAATGAAAATCTAACACAAAATAAACAGAACCAAATTTACGTTTGGATTCAACCAGAAACACCAAAAAAATTGGCCACTTTTTAATATTTGTTCTGATTTCTCTCTTATATTTTTAATTGAACTCAGTAATTTTTATAGATAAAAAAACCTTTTTTGTCTTATTTCCATAATTCTAATCTTCGGCTTAGAAAATCATCTTAAGTTTTTGTGTTATATTTTGAGCAAAGTTAGGTCCAGAATAGAGAAATTCGTTTCTATTTAAGATTTATTAAGTAGTAATGTTCAAGGTAATAAAGATATTTAAAGATGGTTATCAGCCCAAGCGATTTAAACTTTGGCGCTAAAAATATCAAGATGCATGGCAATCCTATATAATCAGTTTAGTATGACCCCATTTCAGTACGTATTTTTGTCATATATCGAAATGTTCATACTAGTGCACAAGAACTCTGATTGGATTGCAAAAGGGAAAAAATGAAAACATACGTTTATGGAGTAAATTAGGGTAATTAAACTAGCTTTGTTTATTAAAGAAATATTTTTTATAAAATATAAGTTCTCTTCAAAATGACATTAATTGCACTTCCAGAGATCAAGAAAATGCACAATGACTGAGTTCCTGGATGAAAACAACGCCTGTGGCCAGAATCTGCTAAATATAGTGTCGGTGGGCAATTCTATAATAGCGGAGATCCTTCGCCTTAAGGACTACGTACCTAGTATTTATAGGTAAAACACATTAACTGCTTAAAAATATTGATTATTATGTTGACACTCCCATCGCAGACTGGACAACAAGGCAGATAAGGCAAAATATGGTGAGATTATTTTGGATTTTAGCTACTTTAAAGTGGCCGAGGATCATGAGAAAAAGATCGAACAGAGCCCGGTAAAGAGGAATTGTTATACTTGCCCAAACATTAGGTAAAATAACTTAATCTCTTCCAGGAACTGACCGAATTGGATGACGAGGCACGCGCCCAGCTTCCGCTTATCACCCGATTTTACCTAGCATTCCAGAGTATCCATCACTATGCGTCGGATTTAAAGCAATACATCGAAGAGCTAAACAGTGGCTACTATATACAGCAGACACTGGAGACGGTTCTCCAAGAGGAGGAAGGCAGGCAACTACTTTGTGAATCCCTTTACCTATTTGGTGTGATCCTCCTCCTGCTCGATTTCCATCTTCCGGGGGATGTGAGGGAACGCTTGCTAATCGCCTACTATCGCTATAGTGGTGGAGATGCTACACCCAGCGGAGATGAAAGTAATATACATGATGTATGCCTGCTTCTCCGGTCTACGGGCTATGTCCATCCCACGGAGGCCACTAAAGTGCTTAGTTTGGGTGGAAAACAAGCAGCTGCTGCGGCTGCCAGTCTCGTTGTTACCAGATATCCCGAGGCCTTCTTCGCTCGCTTCCCCTTCGATGAGAACTTTGTCGATCTGGTGGTGGCACGTCTTCGATGTGATGATATATACAATCAGCTGACCCTGTACCCACATCCTGCACATCGCTCAACGGCTCTGTCCACTCAAGCGGCCATGTTGTATGTTTGCTTGTATTTCTGCCCAAAAGTTCTCCATTCCCAAAGCTCCCAAATGCGTGAGATTGTGGACAAATTCTTCTGTGACAATTGGACTATATCTATGTACATGGGCATAACTGTTAATCTAGTGGATGCCTGGTTGGATTTTAAAGCCGCCAGATCTGCTATAGAAAACGTGATAAATCCCGCGGGAATAAAAGCTCTCTGTCAGCAGCAAAAGGAGCAGTTGGGAAAGACCTTGCAAAAGACCAAGGAGATTTCCCGAGAAGGAGTCCTGAATGATAACTTTGTTCTAGAGCACGCCAACAAAATTATTCTGATGATGAGGCAATCCAATGTCTTGCTGCGCTGGTTTTGCCTGCACACTTCGAAAGAGGTTTTCGTCTTTGCTCATACTGCTACCCTACCGGAACAAATACAAAAAATGGTGCTCCAGGAACTGCAATTCGATCGGAACATGCTTTACCACCTGTTGCTTAATTGCAGCCAAATGGAATTGAGTGTTAGGGAATATCTGACGGAGATTCAGCAGTCTAAAGAGAATCGCTGGACGAAAAGTAGGGAGGAAACAATGCAAAGGCTGAAGGAGCTTAGTGAAGCCTTTGCCGGCTCCAGACCTTTAACAAAAATCGATCCAAATCCTCAGTTGCAGCAGTGGTTTGGTGAAGTGGCCGGAAGGCTTCAGAAACTAGAGTTGAGCAGGCCTCAAAAGTCGGGAAGATTAATTATTCAGGTCATGCAGGCATTAGATGAAGTACAAGAGTATCACAATCTTCATTCCAACATGCTGGTTAAGCAGCAACTGCAGGAGACACGCGAAATGCTAAATAGGATGGCGCAGGTAAGGCAGTAAACTCGAGGTACTAACTGTACTTTTAATATATTAAATAATAATATAATTTTCTAGTTAATCAACCTGAAAGAAGACATCGAAATCCACATCCAGATGATCACCGATTTTAGCTACGCATGGCACCTTATGCAACGCGATTTCACGCCCCTCATGCAGGATCACATTAAACGACAGCCGCAGGCTGTAATTGGTATCCGTGCGGTGTTCCTCAAGTTAGCCAGCACACTGGAGGTGCCACTGATGCGGATCAATCAGGCCAGAAGCGAGGATCTGGCCTCCGTGTCTAACTACTATAGTACAGAGCTTGCTAACTTTCTGCGACGTGTCCTGCAAATCGTTCCGGAGACCATGTTTAACATTCTGGCAAGGATCATACATCTGTTGACAAATGTGATCAAAGAGTTTCCCACGCGAGTAGAAAAGGAGCGCCTTAAGGATTATGCCCAATTCGAAGAAAGAGCCAAGGTGGCTCAGCTTACTAATTCCATCGCCGTTTTCACTAAAGGAATCCTCATGATGAAAACAACTCTAGTGGGAGTGATCGAATTGGATCCCAAGCAATTACTAGAGGATGGGATTCGTAAGGAGCTAGTGAATCACCTGGCCAATGCCTATAATCTAGGTCTGATCTTTACGCCTGAAAAAGGCAAATCTCCTGTGCATCTTCTCCAACAGAAACTGCAAGCTCTTGCCAAAACGATAGAAGGATATCGTCGATCTTTTGAATATATTGAGGACTATTTGAGAGTTCAGGGACTTCGGATCTTGCTAGAGGAATCGCAGCGCATCATCAACTACAATGTGGAGAAGGAGTGCAACGCCTTCCTTCGCAACAAGGTGCACGAATTGCAATCGGAGCACCAGAGCCAGATCATTCCAATTCCTAACTTCCCACCGCTGCTGGGAGATCCCTCCAACAACTTTATTGGTCGCCTAGCCCACGAAATTCTGCGGTGCACAGATTCCAAACATACTATTTTCCTTGACTTAAAGAGCACCTGGTATGAAAAGAAAGCTCCACACCAAGAAGTCTTAGCAGGATCTGGATTCTTTCGGATACTTCGAGAAGCTTTGGCTCCTGCAGGAATGGTAGGATTGGAACGTCTGTATGCCCATATGTTGGCGGATGAGCTGAAGCGCAATTTGGAAAGGCTACAGCGAAACTTAACCTCTGACCGTATGTGGGTGGATACGTTAGCCAGTTTGACTCGAGAGCTAGAGGCTCGAGACTTTCCATCTCCGGAGGTGTCCAAACAGCCGTTGAAGTATTACCAAACGTACACCCAAAGGTGGCTTAAGGTTTGGCCAACGCTACTGGATTGGGTATTGTCCATTGGACAGAAGCAGCTACTCCGACGGGAAATCGCAGGGGAGCTGAGCTTTAGTAGCAAATGTGATGCTAAGCTGCTGGAGAACACGGCTGATACCCTAAATAAGTAAGTTTGATCAAAAGCCTTCGCAAGTTTTCTAATATTTTTTTTTTTACAAATTTCTTTCAACAGGGCTCTTCTGTTGGAACTATCTCTTAGCAAGGATCTCTGTGATGAACATGGCGTGGCCATGCTGACTGAGCTGCAGGAAACCCTGCTTTATACGGGAAACTTTGAACCTTTGGAGCAGGTGTTTCTGGCCACCAAGAACACTCACAATATGTCGCTGTTTCTTTTCCTATTCACCGTAGCCCATTTGGGCCGTTTGCAGCATTCCACGAATACAGATTGTCTGTTACCAAAATCAGCCAAAGATAACATTGATAATGTGCCTTTCATAGTGGGTCTGCTAACGATCCTACAACAGTTCCATAGGAACGTAAAGATGTTATACATATCCTATATGAGTCAGTACGTGGTGACAGTTTCTGAAGCTCAGTTAGTGTAAGTATACTTTTTTAAGACATTTAAATATTTTTATACTTAGGGTTGATTTGTTCTCTATTTTTAGGGATAAGGAAATACTGGGTCCCGAAGTTGTTACTACTCTCCACTTCCTCTTGGCCTTTATAAGAATTGCTCGATTGCCGCTGAGAGTTCTGGAGCAGCGTATTCCTAATATGATACTCAGCGAGTACGAGTATCTATCCACACCAGTAAAGTAAGGACTAACAGTTTGGGCTACACAAACTTTAATAAATCCGAAAACATAACAAGGAAATGCCTCGCTGAGGTACAAGTGGAGATTGTAGTTGGATGGGTTGGTAATCTCAGTGATCCTTTCGAGATAGGAACTATTTACGTGATGACGGTGGGTGCGTTGCGACCAGTGAACTTCGGCAGCTGAGAGATCTCCAGGGCGATGTCGATCAAGGGCTTAAGCATCACGCTAGCTTGACCCAAAACGTTCTCCTTCTCATAAGAGTCAATGTACAAACTGAAAAAAAGGTAGATTACTTAAAGCAATACTTTGAGTAAATCTAATCCTAGCTTACCGCACGGTGGCTCCCGAGCTTCCAGTTCCACTAAGACGCACCACAATGCGGCTCCCATCCTCAAAGACAATGCGCAGACCCTGTTTCGTCGCCACAGACTTGTCCACTGGATCCGTGTAGCTAAAGTTGTCGGCCTCCTTAACCTTGTACGTTTTTCCTCCACTGGAGTAGCTCTTTCCAACAAACTCCGGTGCAGTAATAGTCTTTTCCATGGTGGACACCATCTCGTTGCAAGGATCCGAGGCGCATTCTTCGTAATCGTAGCGGGTAAAGTAGTTGCGTCCATACACAGACCAGTGTTGCTTTAAGATGTCCTCGATGCCCTTTCCCGTGTGCTGCATCACGGAGATCCATGCCAGAACCGCCCAAATGCCATCCTTCTCACGGATGTGATTTGAGCCTGTGCCGAAACTCTCCTCTCCGCACAGGCACAACCTTCCGGCGTCCATGAGGTTGCCGAAGTACTTCCATCCAGTGGGAACCTCAAACACCTCCTTACCCAATTTCCTGCCTACCAAATCCACAGCGGATGCGGTAGGCATACTGCGGGCGAATCCTTGGACACCATTCTTCTGGAAGTATGGTATGGCCTCCAAGTAATGCGCAATGACTGCCAGCGAATCGCTGGGGGTCACAAAGAATGCCTTGCTGCCGATGATCATGTTGCGGTCACCATCTCCATCGAAGGCTGCTCCGATATCATAGTCACCATGAGCTACGGTATCTACCAAATCCTTGGCATACGTCAGATTCGGGTCAGGATGCAGACCACCGAAATCCGGCAGCGGAGTAGTGTGGACCACAGAGGATTCAGTGGCACCCAGGCGGTTCAAGAAGATCTCCCGCACATAGGAACCAGTAACTCCGTTCATCGCATCGATACGCATCTTTAGGGGCTTTCCAGTGGCCTTTCCACTCACAAAGTCCTTCAGCTTGGCAAAGTCGAAAATCTCCTCCATGTGACGAACGTAGTTTGCCACCGAATCGATCACTTCCACAGTAAAAGGTTTTCCGGAAATGTCGAAGGAAGTTACACCGACTTTAGAGATGTCAATCTGCAGATTGCGCACCAGCTTGTACTCCTTGATCTCGGTGGTGATCTTGTAAATGTGGTTAGTGAAAGCATCGGGGGCAGGTCCTCCGTTCTCACAGTTGAATTTTATACCAAAATCATTCTCGGGACCACCTGGGTTGTGGGACGCAGTCAGAACAATGCCACCTAAACCAATACAAAAGGTAAACATATATCAGTAAGCAAATAATCTGGTGTAATGGAAATAGTATAAGCTAAGTAAGTAACTTAATTTTATTAAAAACTATAAACCTTTAAAATTTAAGCTTAGTCCTAAGAATTTTCTTTTTAAACAACTTTTCACAAAATTTATTACACCCAGTCGAAACAATTACTTTTTTCAGATTATATAAGAAAATGAACTTATTTTTAATTTAATTACATTTTACAAATAATTTACCGTCACTGCAAAACTGCTCCCTTATTATGAAATTCGCAAAGCTTGTTTGATAGATAAGAATTTTTAAATGGCAACGACACATATCAGTAATTAGTTAGTTAATTGTTTAGTAAGATATTATGAAGTTAAAAACTAAAAACTGAAACTGAACATTAGACCATATTTTTATGTTTCAAATTTGATTTACTAAAAATACTAAGAATCTACCCTTCTCAAAGTCCTTCAAACGATTTTAACCGATTCAAACGAAGTCTCTGTTAACCGATTCAATTTGTAGTTATTATTCGACCTGAGGGACCTCTGTCACTTAACAGCTCGCAGTCCGTTGATTGTATAAAGATGCCTCTTATCAATTAAAATCTTTACGAGCACAGTGGAGGCTCTCTGTATTAAAACTCACCCAAGGCCTTGTTGTGACGGATCAGACTAGAGACAGCAGGGGTGGACAGGATACCGTTCTGACCCACAAGAAGTTTGGAGACCCCATTGGCAGCAGATAGACGAACAATCAGCTCGGCAGCCTCCTTACAGTAGAAACGTCCATCACCACCAACTACCAGTGTGGAGCCCACCAAAGCAGCTCCATTGGCCTCCAAAATGGCTTGAACAAAGTTTTCCGTGTAGTTCGGTTGGGTGAAAACTTTAACCTGCGTTTGGAAATTCATTTCACAAGTTAGAAGATGAAATTGGGAGCTCTTATATTTTTTAAGACCTCACCTTTTTGCGCAATCCACTGGTTCCTGGCTTTTGACCCTCGTAGGGCTTTGTGGCTACAATTTCCACCGTTAGCGACATTTCACTGGAGTTTTCCGGCTGCTGGCTGAATTCCAACTGGACGAATGAACCGCGTTTGCGTGCGATGAAAATTGAGTGTCAAACACAGCACAGCGAAATTCGCCTCCCACTGATAAGCCAAAGCGGTTCGGCCACAGCGATCGAGATAACCCCTATCTTCGTTGCGTGCCATTAGTCAGACAGAATTTGAACTTGGGGGTGTGTCTTTAAGCCCTCAAGAATCCATAAAGCCAGTTATCTTTGTATAGGCCTTTTGAATTTCCCTACTTCGTCATGATTTATCCCAATTTAACCGTAATGATTATCATTTGAATATGCCGAAAAGCTTGCGGTAGGGTACAATGTCATTCAAGGGCATTCCCTGGTACCGGCAAACAGCTGTTTTAAGCACAATATATGCCAAATTGAAAAACAAACTAAGATAAAAAGCATAAGTACGAAGCAGATGCTAGCTTAGATAAAAATTAGAGTCATGAAAACAAGAAATATAGTTTTGTTTACATTTTGTTTTTCGCTCATTAAACAACAACTGATGTTTTTTAACAGCGGGCTAACATAAGCAATGTACGTGTTAGGGCTGTGAGATACATTAACAAAATAGTGTTAAAATTTCTCACCATAAGTACAAAAATTAACAATTCATTTTATAATATAATTCTATTTTAGTAATTTTAATTATTTGATTTCGTTCTTATTTATATTACATATTTGATTAGTTATTATTTGAGGAAAACTAATAAAATACCAAAAGATAGTTGTTGGTTATTAATAAATACCACCGAAACGCATCCGATATATCGATAAATTGAAACACCTATTGCAACCCTGATGTACACGAAGTTTGACAGCTTATCCATTCCACGTCACGAACCAACGAGAAAGCGGCAGCCTGCTACGACTGCTGTTTAGTTGCACTGAAATACTCGCAAAAGAAAAAAACATCCAAGACAAGTAAGTAGTTAAATAATGAATTACAATGTCTATGCTGAAATGCAAAGTGTTCTTTCGGCACTTTTGTTTTGTAAATAGAGGAAAAATAATTGGAAAAAAGTGCTAGGCCTTTGGGCATTTTTCGGCGACCCTTCCACGTCAACAAAAAAGTGAAACGTGCAATTCAGATTTCTAATTATCTTTAATTTCAGAATGTTCAAGCACCTGCTGGCCATATTCGCTTTGTGCGCGTTATTTAGCACCTGCCTTTCCGAGGACGAAACCCGTGCCCGTCTCTTGGTCTCTAAGCAGATCTTGAACAAATACCTGGTGGAGAAGAGCGACCTGTTGGTGCGCTACACCATCTTCAATGTGGGCAGTGGAGCCGCCACCAAGGTGCGATTGGTAGACTCTGGCTTCCATCCAGAGGCCTTCGACGTGGTGGGTGGACAACCCACTGCCGTCGTTGACAGGATCGCTCCCCAAACCAACTTCACCCACGTCCTGGTTGTCAGGCCCAAGGCTTTCGGTTACTTCAACTTCACCGCCGCCGAGGTGTCCTACAAGGCTGTCGAGGAGTCTGAGACTGTAAGTTAGAGCTGGATGTACAGACGTCAAATAAAAATGTCTTCCATCATAAGCCTTATCTAATCTTTATGTTACAAAAATCTTTTCGTAAGCAAATTATAATCTTTAAGTTTTAATTACTTTCAATTCTTCATACTTGCAATCAGTACATAAATCAATATTTATTTTGACTAACAAAAGTATACATCTTTTTAGTCACATAATTTAACCCTAAGACCATCTATTCTTTCAGCTCCAACTTGCGACCAGCTCCGAGCCCGGTGAGGGTGGCATTGTCAACCTGAACGAGTACAACAAGCGCTTCTCCTCCCACTTCTTTGACTGGGTGGCCTTCGCCGTGATGACCCTGCCCTCTCTGGCTATTCCCTTGGGTCTGTGGCACCAGTCCAAGAGCAAGTATGAGCGCACCGGCAAGAACAAGAAGCACTAAGCTGCAAGACGGACGGTTTCCTCACCTCAAGAGATTTCTTAACGAACACCCATTTTATAAAATCCGTATAATTTTGTTGCTTTAGTTTCAAATTGATTCCATGCGTTGTTCATCCATTCAACCCACACATCTAATTTACTCCAGTCTGGGACTGTCGTCTGGAGACGGGCGTTAAATCGTTTTAGATTTGATTCGAGGACGCATCGAGTAAAGAGTGAATAAATAAATTTAAAGAAATGTGAACTGGAGAATGACTTCATAGTTTGGGATTTTGGTCAAAGGACAATAATATTGTATGGAAGCAAAATAATTATATGGATATGGATGATTCTTAATTCGACTGAAAATCGTGAGGATTTTTAAATTTAACTAAATCCAGTTTATATTACAACATTACTTATTAGCTATTTGTTCAACAAATTTAGGATAACAAATACTTTCGGCCAAAAATCTCAGACTTTTTCTCGAACATTTGAGATTTTATGGGTGTGTTAATCCGATAGAAAGCGTTCATGGAGTGTTTAATATACGTGTCATACATCTCGTTGAAGAAGTTCTTTATGCCCTCATCGTTTTTATTGTCATGGACGATGATAAATCTTATTTGGCTGGCTGTGATGAATGCGGACACGAACCACTGATTAAATCTATCAATCGATTTCAGTTGCATGTTGGCCGTTTTCCATTTGTGCTCGTCTACCAAATCTAAGGCGGCATGAGCAATAAACTGGCTTAGGTGCCTGTGGTCTTCTTTCTGTGGGTTGAAACAGAGTTAAGCGGATTTTATATGATGTTTACTTGGTTTACAGACCCTAAGTTCTTTGTTAACTGTGCTGAACTCCTTCTCGTAAATGGGATTATCATTATGTCCCACAATAACAAAATAATAGGTTGACATTTTCTCGAATAATTAAAAGTGTGGACGAATACGAAAAATTCACTACAAAATACCCAAATAAAAATACTGTTGTACAGTGGAGGTCGTTCAAATAATTCATGAAATTGCATTATACAATTTTAATAAGTTTACAATTATTTTATAAAGTATTTATAAAACTATTGGGCTGATTACTTTATAAGTCAATAACAAACAAATAGTTCAAAATGTATTACTTTTTTTTATTGGTTGTGCAGTTTGCAATTTGCAGATTAAAAAAATTAGCTAACGCTTGGCTCAACAGTGTTTAATAATACGCCTGTCGCCTAACTCTTTTCAACACTATTTCTTCGCGCCTTTTTTTTCTCCAGCACATCGTGCCAACAATTTTTGCATCAAACAACTCGGTTAAAATGAGTATAATCCCTTGAATTAGAATATCTGAAAGTATAAAACCATTGGTCCCCAACTGCTGTTAGATAGAGAAGCGCGACTAACGCGAGGCCAGCGCCATCGCGGCAGTGTGTGTGCGTGTGCGGGAGTGTAAAAAATACGAAAAATCGCTGCGAAGGTAGATCTCATTATTATTGTATTGTTGTCTTTTTTGCTTTACCCCCAATCTTTTGTTGCGATCTTATGAGTTTGGCTTTCGTAAAATCTGTAGATATCAATCGCTTGTTTTGATTTTATACAAAAAACACCATACACAAACACACGCACACACTAAGCAATATGCATTAAACACAAAAAGAAATCCAAAAAAAGAGACCCAAGAAAATGACCGATGTAAATTGTCTTACAAGTGAGCACATTGCAACTACAACCACCACTGCGAGTCCACCAGGAACTCCCACCAAAAATGCTGGCAAGGATCTCGTAGAGCCTACATCACCGTTTGTCTTGAGAGCTCCGCCCAGCGCCAAGTCCAAACTGATCCTCCAGAATATGGAAGAGGTTCTCCATTCTGTGAAGCAGAAGCACCGAGAGAAACACAAGCGTAAGAGGGAGGAGAAGCGAAGAGCGGCTCTCCTGGAGGACCAAAAGAAATCCACCAATGATGAAGAGTCAGAAGTTAAGGAGAAACCCCAGCCGTTGCGTGAGAAATCCTCTCAAGAAAATGGCCTCAAGAACGGTCGACGACGTTCCAGTCCATTGAAGTCCAGCACTCCGGTGGCCGACAACCATAGCATAATGAAACACTTCTCTAAAACGGGCAAGGCGGAGAATCAATCTAGTTCTCCGATCACCATCACCAAACCCAAGCCAGCTACAAATGTCTTCGAGTTTATGATGAATGCACGGAATCGATCTATAGGGGTCAACGAAGGTGGCGCAGAATCTCCGGCAGATCCAGAGGCTGTTAGTGAAACAGCAACTCCAACAACCAAGCGAAAATTACTTCTACAGGAGTGGAATGAACGCAAGGGTGGAGCCAAGAGGAGACTGGCGGACGAGTCTCGCGGAGAGTACATTGAACTACAGATGGAACAAAGAGCCAAAAGGTGAGTAAAATACAGTACAGGAGCTAGATTGGAACTTATAATAATCCATTTTATTTCATTCCCCTAGATTGAGGAAAATGCTAACAAAGACTGACCAGAAAGAAGTGACGGCTCCATCGTCAGCGCCCACAGAACCAGCAGTCAAGCGATCAAGAGGTCGTCCACGCTCCCGACGCCTTAGCTCCGTGGATACACAGCCTCAGGTCATAGAAAACAAATCCCAAGATCCCGAAACAGAGGATTTTCTTTCAAAACTGTCGTCACCCACAAAAAAGCGTGACAGTCTTCTGGGCTATTTTGCCAAGGTGGAATCGCCCAAAGAGCTGGCCGAAAAAGTAACCATTACAATAGAAACTCCACCTATGGAAACGCCCAAACGCAGAACGCAGCGCCGGAAGAGTCAGCAAGAGACTCCAATAATGCAATCTGAGTTTACTCCTTCGTCAAGACCTCGACGCTCGTGTGCGGGAAAAGCACGTTATGATTACGACCTGGACACGAGTCCCGCAAAGCAACAAAAGCCCAAGGGCCAAAAAGAAGATGAATCCGTAGAGATCATTGATCTGGACAACAGTAATCCCGTTGCCACGCCAAAGAAACTAGCACCGCTTTTTATCCGCCAAGTACCAAAACCCAGTCCGGATCCATCGGTATTAAGGGCTCGCCAGGCTTTTCTGCAATCCGGGGTGCCAGATAAGATTAGGCAGGAGCAGAACCGTCAAAAGAACTTCGAGCAGATGTATGAAGATAGCTATGAAGTGTTTCCCAGACTGGCGCATATAGGTTGCGAAAGCTTTGCATCTAAGGATGAACTTCTGGAGTTGCCTTTTGCTTTGAGGGCAGAAGAGGAATATTTAATAGCTACTAATACATTACCCAACAACAAAAGACGGTCTAAAACCAGTAGCATGACTAGCTGTGTGCCTGCGGACTTTGTTTCCAGTAAAAGTTTTAACAAGGCCAACTACGGAACTTTACCACCGTTGGAGAACAAACGCGGCTTTGTTAAGCTCTGGAAGAATGACTTCGATCGGTTTCCAACCTTTAAGTGCTACAATCAAATGAGGGAAAAGTATCGCCATTTTAGCGCCATTGACAGTGCGCAGGATACGCAGCAAATGGGTGAGTCCTTAGTGGTCACAAGGCGTACCCGCCGATCCATGGAACATAATATGGCTTCGACTGAGGAGGATGCAAAACCGCCACCTTCCGCTCCCAACGGAGAGCTGCTGTACACCGAAAAGTACAAACCGCTGCTGTTTGAGCAGGTTCTTGTGAATCTAACGCCGGTGCAAGAGCTTAGGGAATTTCTGTCCAGTTGGAGTGGCAATGGTGGCAGCAATCGCAACTCACAGGGCATAGACGATACCTTCGATATGAGTAACGATTCCGCATCAATGGGATCAAATAGCAACACAATGGTGCTGGTGGGACCTTCATCTAGTGGAAAGACCAATGCTGTTTTCACTTTAGCGAACGATATGAACTTTAATGTCTTGGAGATTAATGCAGGAATGAAACGAACTGGCAAAAAACTTATACAGGAACTCCAGGAGGCCACGCAATCGCATCAGATAAGAAAGGACAGTAAAACGGGAGGAGGATCCTCACAGCAGTTGCTCCAAAAGTTGCAAAAGAGTGGCTTAAAAGCGAAAGCTGCGGCGGTAGAGCCTCCGTCAGAAGTGCGGAAATCTCTGATCCTTATAGAAGACGCGGATATCCTTTTCGATAACATGGATGCTGGCTTTACGGATGCCATATATACATTAGCAGCCAGTTCAAAGCGACCGGTAATTGTAGTGGCCACCGATCCCAATTGCGCTCATCTGCAGCGCCTGATGCAGCAGAATATAATCCATTTCCAGCCCCCGAATGCTTTAAACATCTCCAGATTCCTAGCTGTCCTGTCGCTGATGGAAAACTGTCCCATTGAGCTAGACGAACTGGTATCCCTTTATCTGTACAATCAACAAAATCTGCGTAAGACTTTGATGGAAATGCAGTTTTTTATTCAGAGTGGTGGAGACCCAAGTGGTGGAAAGACCAAAGGCATTAAATCACCCACAAAATCTTCAAATAGCCGGCTGGCCACCGTCGATGGCAGTCGAATCCATCAGAGATTCTTTGAGTTCTTTACATGCCCGCAGAATGTTCAATATCGAATACCATTTCCCGTGGACTTTAGCCTACTGCGCTTGAATCTCCCCGAACTTATGGCTACTTCCGCGCTTTTAAAGGAACAGCAGACATTAGGGTGTGGAAGTAGAACCACTGCCAAGCGGAAGTCTCGCTCACCAAAAAAAGCCTGGCTGAGCAGCGCCACTGGGCAAAAAAACGAAGGCTGCGATTCATCACTCGCCTGCTTGGCCTCTTTTTATGACAACATTTCGTTAGCTGCTTTGATGGACTCCGATTGCAGTGATCGGTTGCAGTGCCACCTGTCCGAGGACATTGCGCACCTGTTGGTGGAGCAGGCTCTCCAAACTGGACTCGCGACCAAGGAGTGCCCCTACAACCTATTCGATAAACCCTCTCAAAGGTAAGTTCAATATTTTAGTTAATCTGTTTATTTATCATAAAGATCAAAGTGTAGTGATTCATTTTTGTAAATAATCATTATTTATTTTATTTAAATATTTATTTATTGAAGAATTTATCAAAAAAGAAAGATTTTAAATATGCTTTTTCCGATTCAAATGTAGACGGGCTTAAAAGATAATACCACGTCTTAAATTGCCTTGTCATTTAGTTGTCACAAAAGTAATCGATGGAATAAGGAAATCGGCATTTCTTATCGCCTGGCAATTATAATAACGACCAGTCACAAGATAAGTTTAGCATAGTACAGCTTAGTTTAATAGCCATGTCATAAACATGACCGATCGTATAGATTTCTTAAAAATACAATCATTAATAAAAATGTGCGTTTGCTAATCAGAAAAACCTAAATATGATTATCATTAGTTATATTGAGGAGCAGGTGACTTGAAAAGTTTTTTAAATGTTTAAAGAAAGATACTAGATCTTTTAGTTATAGGTGGTACATAGTACGTCTTTATTTCTCTAAATAACTTGCTTATAGATTGGATTATTCTAAAAATATATAACAATTTCCTCTTATTTTGACAGGGTAACGATTAGTGAACACTTGGGCAATGGACTCTTGCGTTCCGACTCCGTCAAATCACTGGACTTTGAGCCTACCCTGCGCTCCATCTGCCGCAGTGAAAAGGAGCGAGCCGGACTGGAACGGAAGTCAAGTAGATTCTATCACTATCTGCGTAACCACACGGTGAACGTGACCAGTTTTACGATGGAGTACTTCGACGCTGCATGTAGTACGTTCCAGGGTGGTACCAGCAGCGATCCACCGACGGAAATCGAATCAAAGGATTAGCTGTCTTTCTTAGTTTATTATTTTCAATACGGTGGAGCAGCTCCACCGGATTTTTTTGCAATTTATTCAAATCGTGGTTAGAGAAGAGTTGATCTTTTTAGGATAGTTCTGTGGGCACAATGATGATGCGTAGCTATTATGAGATAAACCTAGACCTAGTTACAAGTTAATTACGCTAAATTAATTACGACCTGATCCTATGTTAATAAATCAATTATATGACACGTAAGAAAACGATGACTAGCAGCAGCAGAAACCGGAAGAGCTCTTCTTCGCGGGTTCGGGATCTTCAGTTATTGTGTTTTCCGCTGGTTTTGTGGCAGCATTAGACGTTGGTTGCGTTTGAATGGGTGCAGCTGAATTGATTTCTCCGATTTTGAACTTCTTTAGATCCTTTTCGGCATCGGATGAGTGTCCTGCCTGCTTGAAGGCCTTGGTGGCATCCTTGCCGGCGTATTCGAGGAGTACTTCGCCACCGCCTGGATGTTCGCTCAGAAACTTGGTTACATCGTAGACGTTTCCCTTGATGATCAGCCAGCAAGGTTTGCCATTCTTGCCATTCTGCTGGGCCACCTCAGAGAGTTCGTACAATTGTGACATAATTGAATCGGTTTCCTAATTGCTTTCCGATGTAGACAAATGATTTTTATGACTGCTGTTTATCTTATTTTGTTGCTCTTTATTTGCTAATTTTAGGAGCTGTTAACCGTTGGACGGACTTGAAAACACTGGACGCGTGCCAATGGCAAACCCTTTTCTTATGTTTAACATTTATCAATATGGCAAAATATCGCTTAGATCGCTTGTTTTCCCCTTTCGCCACCCTCAACGATCGATTACTATTCGCTGTTTTATTTCCACAATCTGTCTGACTTGCGGTTGATAAGAAATACGTGAGAATTTCATGGTCTTCCAAGGCGACCTACTAAGGCTGGCAGTGTCCAATAAGATTTCGTGGATTTGTGCAAATCATTAATGCAAATTGATTGAGCATGTTGGCATGGAGTGGTTTTCTATCTTTGCCTGAATCTAAACACAGTTCCTGAGTCACTAGATTCGCTGGTCTGGTCTGGTTTTTTTTTTTGGTTTTGTATTGATTTCTGGGTAGTTGATAAATTTATGGTGGGATTTTATTTGAGTCACATTAGTGCATTTACCTTTTCGATAAGGTTGATTTCATGTAATCAGTCAAACTTGAACTTTGATAAGGTCCTTTGCTTGTCAGTCAAAAGCAATATGATTTTCCCGTTAGTAACCACAAACTTTCCCACTTAAATTAAACAAAGTGTGTTTTTTTTTTTTTGATATTTTTGGCTTTCAAAGTTATATTCTATATATTTTGGAAATATATTTTAAATTTGCTTTCATTTCCCATTTCGTTTTAATGGTTTTTGGGTTTTTGTTTTTTTTTTTATATGAGACAACAACAATAATTGGTATTCATTTAATATATATGTATTCAGATATATATCGATTTTTATATAGATTTATGTATCTTAGACGATTTGCTTAATGCGTTTTAAAAATTTCGCTAGTATTGGGTGCAACTTTGCCTGCAGGGAATCAAAAATCAAATTCGATTTCTTGAGGGGATTAAGGAGATTTTTAGCTCGGATCGTTTTGAAAACTTTTGGGGACTGTTGGGAGTGGGGTTGGTTTACATTAACATAATGCTTATCGGCACATTGTCCTGTTGCATTCGGTGTATTTACAAATGAATCTCTTTATTTCCTTGTAATTTACTTTATTTATTTCTTTTTTTTTGTTATAAATATCAGTCGACGGTTTTGCATTTTCGAAACGCAGCTCGTGTGCGCTTTTATTTGTATTCTTGATCTAAATTTACAGATACAGATATCGTAATATATATATTTATATATACATATATATATCGTATATATAAAGTGTAAAATTAATTACTTGTCAATGATTGTTGATTTGTTGAATAAATCGATCTGCTTGAATTTTAAAAAATTGTAATTCAATCAATTAATTTACTATAATTTAATCGATTTGCTTTTTATTTGATTTTCTTAGTTTTCGTTTAGTTTTTTTTTTTGCTAAACATAATTCGTAGACTTGATCTTCGTTTAGAATTTAATTTTTTAATTTAAAAAACAGTTTTGGAGGTAGTTGAAATTAGGCCTGTTTACGTAAATTATATTTATGTATGTATATAATTATTTGTATAAATGTGTATATGTGTTGCTGATTCAACGATCGCTTCGATATTTTAGCTGGACTTAATTTGTTTATAACTAATTAATTCATTAATCTCTACGCGTTTAATTTAGTTATTCATTGTCTCCGGTTTCTCGCTTCGGTCTGTGATATTTCGGGCTATTTCCGGTTGCATTACTTTAAGTATTCTTTGATCCATAGACATCGAACTATAATCGTTATGTATGTATTTAAAATGTAGGCTTGTAGGACTTGTTGGCGTAGTAAAGTGTTTTCCATTATTTTTCATTTGTTATCATATTTTCCTAGTTTTTCGCATTCGATTTTCTTCATCTAAATTTTTGGTTAAATGTGGTTTAAATTTTATTTAATGGATCGTAAGTTCTTGAAACCATTTTTTGTTTTTCTTCTCTTTGATAATTTATATTGTTTGGGGCATTGTTTTGGATTTCTGGAAATGACACTTAGAATTTTTAAAATATTTTTTTGAAATCATATATAAATGAGGAAATGTACAAATTATTTAAATATATACCAAAATGTTCTAATTTTTTTATTTGTGCTTATAATATACATTGCAGTGGGATTATTCGTTAATTCTTTTATTTTTCTAAATTAAAGACAAAAGTAAAAGTTATTTTTGTTTTAAAAAAGGCGCGAAGATATAATTGTGTTGCCACACTTGGCAGCGATCGACCAGTGTTGTACTTCTACATGCACGATCGACCAAATTTGCCAGTAGTTATCGATAATATTTAAATTATCGATTATTTCATTATCAAATTTAAAATCCCGCTAAAAATCCATAATAACCGCAGCCAAATAAAAATAAAAACAAAAATTTCTCTACAATTTGGTTTACATAGATTTCATTTCATTTTTTGTTTTTTTTTTTTTCATTGTAATTCCGTTAGCAAATATACAAATACAAATTTCAATTGAACTAAAAATTGTTTGTGTGTGTTTTTCGTGTGTTCCAGCACATGGGCCTTGCGTACAATAATAATAAGGGGATATGGATAGGGGTAGGGATAGAGTATAGTTAAGAGTTGATTGGCTTCGATTTAAAACTAGAGCTATTCAAACTAAAGTGTATACAATATTCATTCATAAAATTACAATTACATATTCACTTATGTTTTGTTATTTACTTTTCTCTTTCCCTTCTTCAAGTTTTGTGGTATTGTGTCTGTCTCTTTCAAGTTTCTTGGTTTTCTTTTTTATTTCGTTTTTACAAAAAATTCTCGTTTTATTACTTTTATCAAAACGAATGGAAATGATGTTATAGAACTAAAAAAACCTTTTATGGTTTGTGGTGAGTGCTTAAAAGGCGGCAGCGCAGCTATATGTCTTCTCCATTTAACATTCTCTAACTTTCCTTCTCTCTTGTTACTCAAATTTACAAATTAAATTCTGACTAATAAACAGTCTTTTCGTACCAGCGTAAAAGTTGGCGACAGACCTACATAAAATAAATCTGTTAAACTTTAACATAATAGATAAACATAGGCTAACATAAAAAAAATATATCTGTATATATATGTAGATATATATATTAATATATATATATTTAGAGGTGCTGCACAAATCGCTGGAGATTCAACAACATTAGTGGGAAATCCTTTGAAAGTATTTCACATGCTCTTGCAATGTTTTACTTCACGAAAAGCTTTTTCATATGTTTTATCACGTTTAACAAGACCTAGGGTTTGCTTACATTTCTCGATAAAATATCTTTAAAAGTGGTTTTGTTTTTGTGAAGAGCAAATCATCTAGAGAACACTTAAAACATACATAACTAATGTTCGACAATCTCCAGTGGTTCCCGCACCACCCGATTTCTTTTACTGTAGTTAAACTTAACACGAGCTCAGTTATGAGTTGGCCGCACAGTGGCTGCAATTTCGGCTATTGCAGCTGCAGTGGTAGCTCATCATGCTAGAGTTGGAATTATTGCGGCTCATCGTGGTCAGCGGGAGATCCCCCGTCGCTCCGGCGGCAAAGGAAGACTGAGTGGTAGCTGTTGTTGTGATTGTCTCGACGGCGGGTAGACTGGCTGTACTGCTACTACTCCCGCTGCTGTTACTCCTCAGCGGCTGCAGGCCAGCTCCAATCGGCACGCATACGGACAGCGGTGGTGTGGGTATCCTTTCGGGGCTGCAATTTCCGCTTGTTCCTGTTCCCAGGCTAGTTAGCAGTTGTGCACTCGGTCCCAAACCCGCGTAGATATGCGTCCCACTGGGATTTGTCCCATAGCCGCAGGCCGTGCTTTTCAGCATGGATGCATTGGATACAGGCAGCGTGGGCAGGGGCACGGCAGCTAGCGAGGAAGCCGACGACGAGGTGGAGACACAGGCGGAGGAGGCTAACGAAGAGGCAGACGACGACATAGAGACGGAGCTTGGGGGGGAAGCGGAGGCGACCGAGGACATCGTACAGCTTGGCGGCGATTTTGGCGAACTGATCCGCGAGAAGAACTTTGTTATGGCATTCGGCTTGGACTTGCTGGACGATGATGAGGCCGACACTGTCACGCCTGCGGGAGAGTACGTGGAGGAGGCGGCCTGGAGCGTGGTGAGACGGTAGCTGGAGCTAGAGACGCCACAGCCGCCCGCTGAGATCTGCTCGGGCACATCCCGCACCGTTTTGTTGGGCGGCGGTTTAGTGTACGATCTGGTGATCTCCGATTGCTGTTTGGGATCAAAATCAAGTTATTAGTGCGTGAAATTTTTTATAAAGTTATTCGCGAAACCCACCTGATAGCTGCTCCTGATCTGCAGGTGTCGATCTTGTCCGTACTCGCTGTCCGGCAGTGGTACGTGATGGGGACAGCGGGGCGTCTGCTGCTGCTGCAGCTGGTACTGGTAATGTTGGTGGTGGTCGTTGCTGTGGCTTTGCAGCGAACTGCAAGAAGATCCGGATGAGGAGTTGCCGCAGTCGCCCTTATAGCAACCACTCCCGCTCCCGCTGCCCGTGTTGCCGTACTTTAGGGTGGTGGCTTCAATGCCACCTCGCGCCACATTACTGCTAATACTATTGTTGTTGTTACTGCTGCTGTTGGTCAGCTGGTGGTGGTCACCGCCTCCTCCTACTCCGCCGGAGTTGTGCGTGCTTGGAGTTGTCATGCGTTGTTGCTGGTGGTGGGAATGTTGTTGCTTGTTGCTGCTATTGCTGCTGTGATGGAGATGGTGTTGCTGGAGCTGATTGTTGCCGGCGCCACGAATCACAGTCTCGCCACGTACAGCCAGAAGCTCACGTGCCTGGAGCGCATCCACGCGCAATCTACATCTAAATTGATCCCTGAAAATCAAAAAAACATCGGTTAGAATGAATTTACATATATTTTCAGGAAGATTGAATACAGTTAAAAATTTGTGTAATGTTCTTTTACCTATCATCGGGTGGTGTGCTCAAAGATGTGCGGGTCGGAACGCCGAGCCGCTCCATTCCCGCGCAGCCGGCCGTCTGTACCGATAGCATCTGTAAGACAAGGATATCACAATTAATATTAACATTAACATATGTAACATTCTTAAAAGAGACCTAAAACTTCTGACCAGCATTCTCCCCTTGCTCATTCTAACATCCCAGAAGGCCTGCCATCATGACTCATGAATTCGGGATCAGGATCGAATTCTCGCCTTAGGTCGGCCATAAGAAGCATTCTGTGGACTTGGTCTCTTTTTTAAAGAGAGTGATTTGTTATTCCTCTTTCCAGGTACTGCGGTAAATTTCGAACAATGAAAAATGCTAATTATGCTCTCGAAGGAGAAATAAGGACTGAGCGAGAGGAAGCGAAGATAACAATTGAGAAGGTGGCGCAGAATACGATTGTGACGTCATTATTAATATTTGTTAAATTCAATTGGTCTCAAAGCGATAAAATCTTTGTATAACATGCTTATAATATTTAATAAAAAACATTTAAGGCGCGCTAAAGATCATAAATCGAAATAAGGAAAGGTTTTACCGCCTTAATTTTTTGACCCATTCTTTTACTAAGAACATTCATATTAATAGTGTGCCCAACTTTTTCTTAGTAGCATTGGAGCGTCGGGTTCTTAATAAAAAAACAGTTACAATTTTATGAATCTGTGTACATATTTTTGTACTGTTTAGTAATTACATAAATGTATGAACGCTCTACACCCTGAGTATGCATTCTCTACACAGGCGATTCGCATAACTCAACATGTTCCACATTCCGTTGGCCACCTTTTTCTAAGTTTTTTGTATTACTTATTTTTTGTGTGTGTCTTAACCCCCTATTGCCCCACCACACCACCTGGCGATTGATGTGTGCAAGCGAGCATGAAAGAAATGACAAATCTTTGCGCGAACAACAACAAATAATAGAGCACACGAATATTTTCGGCGACGTCGGCGGCCGCGGACTTTGTAAATTATACAAATATGCAAATGCAATTTTGTAAATTAAAAACTCATGAAACTATGTGGTCAGAGCTCTGTGAGTAAGCATGTTCCCTATAATTTGATTGTACAAGCCAATTTATTTAACTTGAATTTATTTCGCAATTTTACATCATTTTAATTCGAGGGCTTTTTATTTTACATTACTTTGAACTGCAAATACTCTATATTCGTGGTACGGAATTTAAGAGTTCACTACACTTTTTACTACGCCTAGTTTGCTGTTAAAAAACGTATTATTGTACCTTTTTTTGACTGGCGCGAAAGTCCCCAGCTTTAATGGAAAACTATTTTAAGGTGGGCTTTAAAGTTGGTATAAGTCAACCGAAATACTATGGAATACTATTTCCCCTTAATTAAAAATGATTACCATTTTAAGTCAATCTATTAACTTGGTGCGAACACTTGTACTTAAAAAACATAATGCGATAGTATATCTCTTGGTACAAAATTTGTTGACCATTTTATAAACCTCTCAAAACTGAAGTTTTCAGACAATTGAAGGCTCTGATCTTTATTAAACACATATTTTCGAAAACGTTTTTAGCTAGAAATCATAATACATCTGCTTTTCTTAAGTTTCAGTTGTACCATCAGATAAAAACCTGCATTTCCCAAATGATATCTGACCTTTTCGGGTTCTCTTAAGGAAAATCGTGATAAAGCATATGCGTAGTTTGCATTATGGACGTTAGACTGTTGTGCTCTTTTTGCAATCTTTTGCTTCTTTTTGGGTAATCTGAGGCACCAAAAAAATATCGCATCACATTGTCTGGGGCGTCTCCGTTCGCAAGCACATATATATGTATGTGTAGGTAAACAGCCCCCCCCTCCCGGTCTTGCTCCCATTGCAAAAAAATTAGGTTAAAATGTTTACTCGAGCATTGCAGACGGGATTGGCAATAACCTCATTTTCCGTTTGTGCACTTGTGTGTGTGTGTGTGGGCCAGACTCTCTGACGTAAGAGAAATGTCTGCCTTTGTTTTTGTTATTGTTATTGTTTTTGTTGGCCTAAGCCCAGCCATAAGTTAACATGCTTTTCCCGACTGCTCTGCATCTGTCGCTTTTTGTTGTTTATCTTTTGGTGTGTTTTTTTTTTCGTATTTTTTGTGAATAAAGTGACATAATATTGAGGGTAAACCCTTGTTTTTTGTTCTTTGCCCGCCTATGTTTGCCTTTGGCCTTGTTCGAATCCTTGAAAGTTTCCGACTTTCTCTGTGTTTGTTTAGGCCAGCTGAAAATTTTCCAACTAGCTGAGGCCTAGAGTGCGCTAGTTGATACTTAGTAAATAGCAAATGTCTACCAATTTGATTCAATTTTCGAAACTTTCTTTTAGTTTTTATTATATTTATATAAAATACTTTCTTTTATTTTTTATCTTTAGTAATGAATGACTTTTCCTATATTCTGGATATGCTCAAACCTACATATGCAGTAAGAACATTTCTAGACCGCCAAAAATTCCGAAACAGGAACAGCTGTATGTGTGTGTGCGTGCGTGTTTTGCGCGCTCTCTCTCTCGCCTCGCTGTATGTAATTGTAATTAATTTATGCACGTCTGCGTCTGGTGCGTGCGTCTGGCATAGATAACGGTTTTAATGAAAGCCCGCTCTGCTCTCACACATCCACATCCACATCCTAATGCTGCTAATGTTAACGCCTACAGAAATTCACACAGTTTAACACACGCGCACATGCGAGCGTACATTTTAATAATCAATTTGAATTATTCATTGGCTAACGGCGGCAAATAAAATTCGATTAAAACACAACGCCGCTGCTGGCGTCTCTGCCTTTTGCCGCTCTGCCTCTGCTTTTGATTCTGCTAAACGCCTTGGGTTATTAGCGGCAATTGTGTTTCACATTTCCCGCCAACAATCCCGCCCACGCACTTGGCCCCAACGTTTCCATATCCATAACCAAACCATAACCATTTCCACATTTCCATCCGCATCTTGGGCATCTAAATGGCTTTTGCCCACGTTTGAGGAGAGGGGGAATATGTTGAAGAAAAAACATTCATTTATTATGTTCTCACTACAGTAGAAACTCACGTAGCATTCTATTTCGGTTTTTACTATACGATAATTCTCATAAAACCTTTCGGTCTTATCATAATCTCTTTACAATCGCTTTCTAAATTTAGATTTTAATCATATGACTTTCATCTATAGAACAGGGCTGTAACAGAAATCTCTAACTGCTTAAACAACTTAATTAACGAATTCTACAAAAAGAAAAGGTTTTGTTGGTCATTCATCTTCACCCTTCTTTAAACCTTTAAACCTTTCGCTCTTATCATAATTTCTTTATAATCGCTTTCTAAATTTAGATGTTAATCATATGACTTTCAACTAAAGAACAGGGCTGTAACAGAATTCTCTAACTGCTTAAATAACGTAATTAACGAATTCTAAAAAAAGAAAGGGTTTTGTGGGTCATTCATCTTTAGTCTTCTTCAAGAACTTCATTAAAATATATCATATAAAGCATACTTTTATGCGCAAGAGGAAATGTATAAAAATTTCTACAAAACTTTAGCGAAGTTGTAAAAATTTTATTTCTTAAAGTGATTTTATCTTTATGAAGAAAATAGTATTTTCTAAACTAGTCAAAAACAAAAAATATATATATTTAATTTGATAGATTTTTGAATAAATTCTCTTGTATCACATTCCTCTTTATTAAGTCCCCACCGTACCTGATGTGTTTCATTCATAATGTTGATTTGGCGTGGGCAAATTAAACAAGAGAGGAAAAAATATGAAACAAGATTCTAGATGTGGAAGAAAAATGAGCAAATGCGCACTGGAAGATGTCAGCAAAGCGAGTAACAATTTGTCAAAGTTGCCGACTTTAATCTTTTGTAATGGGCGTCACACGGCACATCGGCACACCCCCACCGGCTCGGCTCCCATCGTAATGGGAAATCTTAAAACCACAATCTGAAAAGCCGCCTTAACAACTTTGGCCAATGAGCCCACAAACGAGAATCCACAAAATCCACACGTGTGTGGGCGTACTATATTTTTTATTTATTTTTTTTTTTTGAAGAGTTCCTTTTTGTGTCGTTGGAGTAAATCGCATGGCCTCAAGGTTAAAGCCGGCGTCTAGCGCAATATTCAATAAGCAAATGCGCAGATGAATAAAATATATAGACAAATGGAAAGCATTTAAAGTCGGGCAAATAGACAAAGTAAAGCGCTGATGGAGAAATTGAATTTGTCTTGTCCATTATAATAAAGACGTACACAAGTGCCAGACACAAAATGGAGCTCTCTTACCAAAAACCAAAAACAAAAATGAGAGAGAAAAGGACGTGCTGTGCATTCAACAAACATTGCATAACACTCCGGAATACACACGAAAAAATTTGCCAACTGGAATTGGAGTAGTGGATGTAGCCATAAAGGGAATAAATCGGTGTAGGCGCAGTTACATAAGACTTTTTTGCGTGGGCGGCGACGAAAGCAATTTAGGCATGTCTGCCACCCGCTACTCCCGACCGTTTACTCCCCCCTTTTCAAGGACTTTTACTGCATTGGCAGAGTGAGCGGAGAGCTCTCTCTTTCTCTGTTTGCCACCCACTTTTCCTCAGCCCTTTGCGTCTGCCACTGTCTCTCTGTTTCGCCCAAAAGGGAATGCATAAGATATTGGCAAGAGCGAAGGAAAATGCCAAGAGGCAGTGCAGGAAAAAAAAGGAAAAAAGAAAACTTTCAACACGTGTCTCCTTGCTTTTATGGCTATACTGGGAAAAAATTCGATTATTTATTTAAATTGGGTCAAAAAGGTTATTAGTAAGCATGTGCAACATAAAAAGCGCCAGCACGTAATAGCAATGAAAATATTTCCGCCTTTAATTGCGGTCTTATCGCTAAATTATTCGCTTGCTAATAAAAGTTACACAATTGTAAGATTGTCAACGGACTTTTGAAGTATAGAACACGAAGAAGAGGGGATTACTCAATGGAAAATACATTTTTACAGTTTACTTTACTGAGAATATATTTGAATTAATTTTAAGAACTATAATTAATCGTCTAAAAGCTGAAATCTCTTATAAGTTAACCCTGAAAGTCCTAAAATTCGTTATACAAATTTTGTTGCATACTTTTTGGTAAGCTTGAGGAAAGTTTGCAAATCTCTAATGTAGTAAAATCTTAAACCTTTCTAGACTTCCCCCATAATTTCGACAAGTGCATTTCCGAGACAGACATATCCACCCACTTTCCCGCCCATCGGCTGTTGCAAAACTTTTTCTTTTCTTTTTCTTTCCCGTATTTTCTTGTTTTCCTTTTTGTTTTCTATGTTTTGTATTTTGTTTTTGCGAAGGGTAAGTACTTACGGGTACAGAATGTTCCGGCTCGGTTGGCAAAAGTGTTGTTGTTTCTGTTGCTGCTGCTGCTGCTGTTGTCGATACTACTGTTGCTGCTGTTGTTGCTGCTGCTGCAGAGGCGGCGGCGGCGGCGGCTGCTATAGCTGTCTGATCCGCTACTGTGGAGCCCGATGTTGATGTTGTTGCTAGCGGCAGGGCCAGAGCCGTATTGGTTTCCAGACCAAGCCCGATCCCGTTGCCAATTCCAATCCCAGATGACAGCACCGCGTTGTTGTTGCTGCGCCGTCGTTGCGACGAGCGACGTTTGTGTCTTATCCTTCGCGTTGTTGCTGCCTCTAATGTTGCTCTTCCTGTCGATGATGATGATGATGTTGTTCTTGTTGCTGCTGCCGCTAAAGTTGCTGCTAATGTTGCTGTTGCGTTGGCAGAGCGGCGCAGGGCAATCGCGGCCACCAACACACTGCCACAGGCCAGGCACACGGATAAACTAATGGCGATTAGCAACAAGCGACCTAAAACGATTGCAAAGCGGAAAATAAATATTAGCTGTTGGTTTTTTATATGCATTTATCGGCTATATATATCTTTTGATTTCTATATACTTTTATTATATAAAGAAATTACTTTTTTGATGTTAAAGTAAGAACTTTCATTAAAATGGTTTGTAAATTTGCCTTTTCGATCACTTTTTCTTTATCTTTATTTTAAAGATCTTTTGTTTTAATTTATTCCACACTTTGGTCTAGGTTATCAGATACTTTTAAAGTACATTTTAAATTGATTTGTTCAAAGTTTAAACTTCAAAGTATTCACTGATAGGTGTCCGTCTGAAATGTACTTACAAAATCATCAAATAAATATTTGTTTCTCTTTTTAAATTATACCACAAAATAGCTTTACTTTTCCCAATGACATTTGCCTTTCACAAATATTTTCATAGAACGCACCTTCAATTGCATTTCCTTCAATTATTTTTGCAACATTTGATCTGCCATTCACTCAATTGTAACTACAATATTCGTTCTTAATTTTCGGCTTATTTGTTTGTACAATTTAAATTTGAATAACTTATTCCCACTCACGAACGCTTTTAATTACTATAAATAAACGAAACAAAACGAATGCGGCCCACAGCACCGCCCAAATAACAATGAAAGAGTACGAAAATTTACAAAAAAAAAAACACACACTCTCTGTCGTATTTCGTAGATACTCGCACGTATTTCTAGCCGTATCTACAAGGTGCGCGTCGTTCTCAGCGTTCTGTTCTCTCTTTTTCGATTTCGATGATTTTGCCCTGTAGAAAGACCCCGTGCAATGTCTACGTACGTCTACGGACGGATTGGCGACGGACATGGCGTACGGTTATATATATTTACACATACCTACATAGCATATATACGGGCGTCTGCGTCTAGACTAGATAGCAGACGACTTAAGTGATACAAGCACACATGCGCAATCGGGGCGCAGTAAGTGCGAGCGAGCCGGCACATGTAGGCGGACAGCGGTTCGATAAAAAAAAGCCCATTGAAGGGATTGATTGACACGTTGGGCTACCCTGTAAGTGGTAAAATGGGTGGGGTGTCTGGTAGTGATTGATTAGTGATGGGTTTGAGTAATCAGAAAGTCAATATTAAGTCAGTTTGAAGGGGAATATATCATGAAGTGTAATTACCAAAAGTAAACCACAAAACGCAAAAGAATAATTAAATTTTCCTTCTATTTTCTGCCAAATCACGCTTACAGCTACAAGCTTTTTTCAATAGAAGATCTATTTTGGTAACTCTACACGCTTTCACCCAAAAAAATCCCCTCTATTTTTAGATCCCCACTTATAGTACTTTACACATTACTAACATTCCGATACTAATTCCATTTCCTTAGCTTGCCCATTGTTCACCCTAAGTAAACCCCCTCGAAACCCACACATTACAATCCCAAAAATGCCTCAATTAGTAATGGGTATTATATAGACGATATGGCCGGGCCAGACGCTGCTGATAGAATGGCAGACAGACGGAGGCCACCCGTCGCGGTCGCAGACCCTGTAACAGAGCAAACTCACCGATACAAAGATACAGAGATACTTGGCCCGACTGAGATACAGATACAGATATACACGCGAAAAGCTTGCGCAACAAGATTTTACAAAAACAACGTATAGTGTGTATATATATCATGACGCTTTGTCTGATATACGGTTACAAAAACAAACAGCAACAACAACAACAACAACAACTACAAACGATCCGCAGCGCAATTTCATCAAGGCAAAAATGACGCAGCCATGTAAACGTTGCTATCTCTGTCTCTCGCTGCTAATCAACGATCGCTGTTGGCTGAATGAAAACATAAATATTTGGATTTTCATTAATTTATGATTTGTGATGCGGCTTGTTGGCTAAGTAAAAGAGAAAATGATGGAAAAACCCAAATGAAAAGCCAGACATGAACGGAATTGTTTAACAAATTCCAGACAGAAGTTAATCAACTTAAATTAAAATATATACTAAACTACGTAGTGAAAACTCAGCCAAGGCAAGCAATTAAAAAATGACAACAATTTCTATGACTCTTTCTCCGTTTGACTTCAAGCCAAGCGAGACAGCAAATAAAAAAAAAAAAAAAAACTAATATTAACAGGTAGGTACTACAACAACAACAACAGTAACACCAACAACTACAACAAGTGGCACTTTAGACTTTTGCGCATTCCCAGCCGCTGTCACTCGGATTCAACCGTCAACCGTCAACCATCAACCATCAACCGTCGACCGTCTCAGGTGACTCAACCTGGTGGGTTGTCATTTGCTTTCGGTCTGCCTTTTATGGCCTTTGTTTTCAGATAATTATTTTTGCCTGCTCAGCTACCCTGTACTGCGAACTGCAGAGCGTGACAATAGCTGATATCTACGGTATATAATGGCGTGGTTGGGACTTTAAATGCCTGCCTTTAAACCCAAATATCATCGTCAAGGTTAAAGATATAGGCTTTGATTATTATTTAAATGGTGTAATTAGTCATAGGTTTTCCATTTACAGAAATTTCCTATCATTTTTGTCAGTTAAATATTTAATATTTTTTATTTAAGTTTTACTATGTTTTCAAAAGAGTAGATTGGTTTTAATCATGAAGATTTTTGAGGATTTATGTTTTTCAAACTGTTACTAAGGGTAATCATATCTTCAAACATTACGAGTTTTGGAAATTTTCCACTTAAAGTTTGAAATATCTATTCCATTTAGATACTAAAAGATCATCAATGTGTTAAAACCAAATAATATCATCAGGGTTAGAGATAGGGTTTGGTTATTATTTACATACTGTATGACATATATCATAGGAAGTTTCCATTTATAGATTATAGGGTCTTAAAAATATGATATGGAAATGCTTTTGTCAAATCTAGAGATTTGGAGGTTTGATTAGTTGGTCATTATTTTGCTATTACAGAAGTTTACTATCTTTCAAGTCCTATAAACATAGAATATTTTGATTTTACTCTTTACTATATACAATATTTTAACGTTTTTAAAGTTTTTATTACCCCAACCTCCAATTTAACTATACCAGATTCATAACTCCCCAACAAGTCAGAGTTTTCAAAGCCTCCTTCATTAGTTTCCTAGGGTACTTGATCGCTTGATCATACCCCATTCAGATCGTTATTTTGTATTTTTTAATTGTGCCGCTCGTTTCAGCTTGTTGCAATTATTTTTATCGCAGGTGAAATGATTGAGCATGTCTGGGGACTTCGTTTACGTCTGGAGCCGCCGAACAAACATGCATATAAATATATACTATATATACATAGAGATAGATGTACATGTGCAGCTAGACAAATCACCTGATACCCTATAAAAACCGGGGCTATGAAAGAGAAAGGAATACCTGGCAACAGTTCAACTGTCCACCGTCCAACGTCCACCATCCAACGTCCACCATTCCCACCCGTTTTCTATTTGATTGAGACTGTGACGCACGTGTGCCCGGCCAACTATTATAAAAAGTGCTAAAATAATTGAGTGAATATACAGATAGATTCAATATTTGAATTGATCACACCAGACGCAAATCGCCGGCGAGTGCCAGCCAGCCAGCCAGCTAGCCAGCCTGCCAGACCTCAGATCTCGAACCAGCTAGACCAGACCAGCTAGACAGATCAGACAGTTGGCTAACACTTTCAGAGATCCATAGCCAGACGAGCAAAACGGCTTTCATGGTTACTTTTATAGGGGAACGGACATTGACTAGCTTACAAATCGTGAAGAAACTTGTTTCAATCTCTCTTTCCCTCTCTCTCACTCTATTAATTTTTAGCAAGTTCCTTGACCGACAGAGATAATGTCTCTATATAATCAAATCTCTGTCCTTATTTTTTTCGGGGTTGACAATTGCATTTGATTAAGTGCCGCGCTTCAAGACTCGCCCAGAAGATAACTTTCGATCAACTTTCCTTCTTGCTCTGCCGCACAACAAAAGTTATTAATTCAATGATTATGATCACCGCGCTAATGACAGTCAAGTGCAGTACTTTATATACCACCTCCCACTCAAAAAAAAAAAAAGAAGATAGAAAAAAAGCAGAGAAAAGCGTAAAAAACATTTGAAGGCAATGCCATTGACACCTTGATTGGATGTCAAGGTTGTGCGAGGATCGTCGCATTCTCGTTGGGTATATAAACTAACTAAAGGCATTATCATCAGTTTTAGCAATCATAATACATTGAGGTGACATTGAACTTGAAAATCCAGTTGAATTTCTATGGTTCTTTGTTGTTTGTGAAGTTTAGATTTTCTCGCCATTCTGTGTGATATTTTTTTATGCAATTTAAGTGCGATTTATAGCATTGGATTAAAGGTGTTTTTGCTTAGTTTTAAATATTATGATACTTAAAACTATAAATTAGTGCCGTAAATTAAGGAAATTCTATACTTTACTGATAAATAAATTAAAATAATCTCTGATCAAGTGGAAAGTTTTGTAGTTTGGCTCATATGTATTACCTTTTAAGAATGAAATCGTAAAAGTAGAACTGAAATCCAAACTGGTTTTAAAACCTATCTAAACGTAAACAAAAACATTATCATAAACTTTTGGTCTGGCTTTGAACTTGAAATAAGCAAATTAAGTTATAGATTTTCTTAAAAAATATCTTGGTTAGCCTTGAAAGAAATCGCTTTTCTATATCCCATATAGGAAGTGCATCTAACAGCATCAGCATCATCATCAGCTGACGTCAGCTTCGTCTGCATTTGGTTTTCTATTTATTTATATTTTTGCTGATTTCCTTTTTTTCTTCTTCTTTTTGGCAACAATTTTTGTCTAGTTTTTGCAAAAATATTACAATGTTGTCTGGCGCAGAAGATGAAAAGTCGGAATGCCCGCTCTTTAGCCACCTTCCGTCAGCATTTTTACCACCATTTTTTTTTTTCTGTTTCTGATTCCCCTGTGAGAGGCCAACCCTTTTTTTCCCAGCTAGACTGCGCACGGCAACAGACAGCAAA